ATCAAGCTTGATGCCTCGTTTGTCAGTCCCACCAGATCCGTCGCTCTCTGCCTCAGCGTCTTTCGTCTTTCGCCTGATCTCGTCGATCCAGATGTGAAGAAGCTCGACATAAAGCATGAGTGTTTTTTCAATATGCCCTGGGCCCAACATCCCACCATCAGACATGGTCGAGTACCGGTCGTCGAAGTTGAAAATAAAGCGGGCAAACCCCATTGTAACTTGCTGGGCATGAGACTGCCGAGCAATGGCCTTGAGTGACTGCGCCGATGAACGCGCAATGTTTGATTGGACATGGGCGGTGCCGGTACACAGAAGGTTGATCAGCGTATTGAAGGGGATGTCTACCGACAAACACCGTGGTAGGGCCTCGATGGCGACGTGAAACAACTCATAGAATGCCTGTTTCTGCTCGTATGCGCTTTGTTGATCATCACGGCGAGAGAACTTGAAAGTATCTGTCATGGGCGTCTTGGGGCCAGGACTATTGAACTTTTCGTCCTTGAACTTTTCATCCAAGGCAGCCTGTCCACCAAATGTGTTATCGCAGATTATGGCGATTTTACCGAGTATTTCACAAAACCGGCTGTAGTAGTCTTTCACCGTGTCAGACAGGACTGATATTTGGACCGGTTTCGAGAGACTCTCTTCTTCGACACCGACAGCCGGTGTAGCCGCCAAGCTGCTGTGTGGGTATGCGAGCACGGAGAAAATAGAAATTCGGTCCATGAGGGATGCCGAATAGGAATAATTCAGAGGGAACGGCGGCTTTCCATGCTCTCCCTTCTCCAGGTCCGCCATCACCGCGAGAAAAGCGTGTATGCCAACCACCATTCTATCGGGGTCAAGAAACTCGATCTTAAGATCCTTGTTGGATGCAAATTGGTCGGCGTTGACCAAAGGAAATATGATGTTGCGAAAACAGTAGTCAGGGTACTTATACCCTATAAGCCTGATAATCTGGACCAGCGGCTCAGTGACCGAAAGGTCTGCAGCGCTAAAGGCTCGCTTGGTGTTGGGAAGGGCAATTTTCACGACTTCGTCCAACTTCCTCGTAGAGTTGGCGACGCTATCGTTCGTGCGATAAAGGTAGGTCCATAAGAGCCTAGAAATGGCCTGCAAGCACAGCGGCCTGGTCATGCGGTCCTGAAGCTTGCTGTTAAGCGGGTAGATCAACTGCATCCACTGACTACCAAAATTTTCGGGCACATCGGCGCAAAGCATCGTCGCCGTGAGGGCAAACGAATAGGTCCAGTGCCGCGGTCTCATAAACATGTGGGCTAGTTGGGGCGTGATGGTTGTCACCACCTCTTTCCACTTCGGATAGGCAAGATCATTGCTGCTGGCCGTGGCGGCAATGGGAAGCACGAGCATTTCAAGCACCTGGCAAAAGGCTGCCTTTACCTTTTGGCCATGGGAATCATTGAAAAGCTTGCCGAGAGAAGTGAGGAAATTACAAGAGCGCTCCCAGGCATCCGGAGGTGAGAGTCTGATCCGAAGGTGCTTCATTCCAATGAGAACCAGCTCTATCCTGCTTTCGACATCTCGCCCACCGGTGGAGATCTTGGTGTTGAGCTCTTGCATGGAGCGCTCCAGGTCGTTGATGAACCGGTCGGCCACACTCGTGAAGCTGATTGCGCTCATAGCACCTAACAGTTGAGCAAAGAGGTTCCAATTTGCAAGTTTCAGCGGTGAAATTAGCAATGAATCAGGCTCGGTACTTTTGAGCTGCTGGAAAATGATCTTCTCAAGCTTGTCCTCCATCTCTGGGGTGATGGAAGCAAGTGTGCTCTGAGTGAAGACCTCGAGGAGAACACGGCAAAGGATGTAAATGGACACGGTGGACCGACGCTCAGCCACAGCGACGGTTTGCGCAATATCGGCCTGTTCGGCATGCTGGACTCCGGGCTGGCCAGGACCGGTAGACTGAACGGGCTCGGTATTCCTCCTTTGCAAAGCAGCGCCGGGGAGGTGACTCCGCGCTTGGTGAAGTTGCGTGCGGGCCTCACGGGCCTCATTGGCAGCATCACTTTTGCTCTTCCTCCAAAGCATCATCAAGTCTATCAAGGGCTTGGGTTTTTGTTTGGCAAGATGGCCAAGAGCGACAATGGACTGGTCGAAGGCAGCGTCTACACCGGGCCCGCATATTTGTTCGACGTGAGGTTCGGGGTCGTGGAAAGGAAGGCTTGTTATTTCCGTCAACTTCTCTTCCGCTTGCGCAATGAAGGACGTAAAGAGCACGTGTAGCGCGTAATCACCGACCGTCTTCGGGTCATCCTTGTGCCGAGACGAATGAGCATGGTGGTGCGAGTGGTCCCGCCTCGACCTCCCGCTGGCCATCCTTTCTGGCTTTCTAGGTGTCCCCGTTTGCCCTCCCTGGCCGGCGAGATCGTTCATAGCGGCAGCAGACGACGTTCGTTCGGGAATCACGGGCACCGATGCCGCCGTCGTTCCGGACAGAGCCGTCTGGGGCCTCGAGCCGATGGAAGAGCCGTCGTTATCCTTGCGCGAGAAGCCATGTAAATCTGCTCGATCGGGGGAAATGCCTGCGCCGGCGGCGGCAATCATCTGGGGGCTGAGAGGGCTCGAGTGGTTGCTTGCAAGACTCCCATTTCTCGAATGCTGGATGCCAATGCCGTGTACGATGGACGTCTGTCTGTGATGGCCGTACGAGGATAACTTGGGGTCGACTAGTCGCTGGGGCGCATGGGCACCGCGAACAGTGCTGCTAGCAGACCACTGTAATTTTTCGAGAGACGATTCGCGGGAATGCGCAACACTTCGGCTGTCGGGGGCAATCGGCCTCAGTGTTCTCTGCCAGTCGGTGTTGTCATCTTCCTCTTCAAGCCGGGCGATGGTTCGGGGCGAAAACTTCAAGGGCTCGTGGTCCGAAGGCAGCGTCTGAGACGGAGCTGTGGCGCAAATCGCGAGTCAGCAATCTGAACCAGGATCTCATTTCCTTATAGTTCCTTCTCTTGTTGGGCGCGCGCAGAGGCGTTGTGAGAACCCTTCCGGCCTGGGATGGAAACTGGAAGTTACTACTCCATCACCCGCTTGGTGTCGCTCTCGAGCCATGGTTTTGCGCAGGACGGAAATGACTGTTCTACATATGTAGGAAGTAGAGGAGACAAGGAGGCAGAGGTCGGTACTAGTCGAACAACACCATCACAGGACTCACCCATTTTGCCAACGTCTCGCCTCTCATGATACTTCTTCAGCGCATTCAGGGCGGGGTCGAATCCGCGCGCGTTGCCTTGCAGACTGGCAGCGGCAGCGGCAGTGGGTGTTGTTTCTTGTACCGGCAAGGCCTGTATCGATACCTATGCACTGGTTATTTTGGAGGAAGTTGGACAGAAAAAAGGTGGCGTCGCGACTGGCCGGCGCGAAGGTGACAGAAGCAAGCAAAACAGTCTGGAAGTTCTCAGCCTCTGATAATGGATGTCCGCGGCTAGATTCACAGGCTAGTCCCATCCAGGACGGGATTCGAAGTCGCCTGTCTGTGGCAGCAGCAAGTGGAAGCCCTCTCCCCGAACGTCTCCCGTGCAGCGCGTTCGCTCCCTGGTTCCCCGTCCCATCTTGTGGTTGCCCTGCCACTCACTCAAGCAATGGATGTACACATCGGATGGATGTGCAAATCGAGCTTCATTATGCCAAACCACGCCCCTCTCACTTTGTGACCGATGATTGCGCGAACAGGCCTGCAATGTACTACATAGTTTACCAATGACGGTGCCTTGAAACGCCTGACAGCCAGCCAGTCGCATCACTTGGTTCTCTTGGGTAGGTGGGCCAAGCACCTCCAAGCGGACCCTAGTAACCAAGTGGAAGTGCAATCGAGGTGTGCGAAAAATAGTTCCACACTTGCACTGAAACAAACCAGATACATACCATAGGGGTACCTCTATTATTCGATCTTTCATCTTGTTTTTTTTTTCTTTACACACCTCGGTGATCTGTAGGGCTGCAAGGGGTCCAAGAGAACATCTTAGCCCACCAAGAATTGAATCATTCAACCAGGTGATCGGTCCTCTCCTAGAGGCTTGCGGTCGATGTTTTCTTGGTTAGAGAAATGGCTTGACATGGCGGCCAAAAGAACATCAATGAGAGAGCCTCAACTGTGTAGGAGGGATCTTGGTGGGGGCCCACTCCGAATACCTCAGCTATTCTGTGACAATATCTGTGACGGCGCGTATACGCACCCTGCTGTCCGGGCTTCAAGAGCCGAACGATGCTCAACCCCAGACAGGCCCGTCACAGGCAGGTCTGCAAGATGGGGTTCGCGGAGTTTTACATGGAGGCTCTCCACACACGTCATGTCACTACGTATGTAGGTACATACGCTACATACTTACCGTTGACCGTTGAAAGTCTGATACTACCTGCCACTATGCGTTCCGTTCTCGAGCCAGTCTCGAACAAGCTTATCTCGCTGTACCTGAGAACATGGATTAAAGCATATAAACTGGATACGTTTGGGGAACACAGTCCAGTAGTGTCAATGGGCCTACACACAACATACAGATCTCCCGAAGGTTTTCGCGAGGTGCCAGGGGGCGGTTGCGGAGCGATCGTTTGCAGAGGCTGACTGGAGACTGTTATCACCCCGGGACACAACCGAACCCGGGCTGAACATTCTCCAGCCCCCCCTCAATTCAATTCAAGCCAAGCTCCCCCCGCAGCGCCTTCGTTCCCTTGTTGATCAGAGGGCGCTCGGACCATATCTCGTCGTAAGGGTCAAGGGTCTTTTGTTACCCCTTCTCAAAGTCTGGAAAGGGATGAACAGGGTTCATACTCCATATGTACCGAGCTTTTGGGACTGCCAAAAGCGAACCTTGCTGGTCTAACCATTGTTTCTGCAGATGTGAGCTGTTTACGCGAAACCTCAGGCACGCAATCATGTATCAAGATACCTCGAGATTACCGTCAGTTGTGCTGACTTCGGTAACGACAATTCTTACAGAAACAAAAATAGCTCCAAATTTGAACAGCCGTATAATCGGTTTGGCCGTCTGTGTACATGGTAGTATGTGAAATGATGCTAAGGTTTCCAAATTCTCTTTGATGCCCTGAGAAAGTCAAAGCCATGAAAACAAACCCGCATCAGCGCCGGAAAGCTACGCTCCCCCCCCCCCGCGGCGCGGCAGCCGCGGGTGTCAAGCGGACGTAACCCTGCTGCAGGGCCGAGATGCCAACCTACTGTACCACTTTCACACCATTTGAGGCAAGAGATGGGAGCGTAGGCGAATAGAATCCAACATCCTCGGCGTATAGGCGACTGCCGGTCACCTCTAAGCCTCTGTGGGAGTGAGGAGATGAAGGAAGCCGATAGGATCTTTGGGGACGAGCTCGGCGATCTACCCGTAAAAGGCCGGGCCGCAGAAGGAGGAGCGACGACGCGAGCAAAGTACATAGATAGGTAATGTTTGGCAACCACCGACTTCTTACGAACGATCTTGTTCGAAACCCTCAAGCGCTCACCCCACAAAGAGACCAGGGCCCGAAGCAGTGGAAAGTTGTGCAGGACATCCTTCATGGTCCACTTCTGTTCCTGGTCTCGAGGCTCTTCCTGGCCTCGTGCTCGACTACCGACCAAGGCTTGGGCGCCGAACCGGCTGAATGTTGACGAGTTGGTGCGGCAAATCGATTTCCGAAAAGTCCAATGAGTCGGAAGCGGAACGGGGTGGATAGGATCGGTTTGTGCATCTTTGCATCGTGTGAACTCGCTTCCGCCAGATGTTCAGACTCCATGTGGGGTACGATGTGGAATTCGCCCAATGCCGGCTTACCTACATATCTCCCTATAACGGGAGTTCGGGAGAGTTTTACGGGAAGAGAACAACATCGCTTTTTCTTTTCTTGGATCTGATCAAACGGTCTCGTTGCTGGCATCTTTGAGCCCGTCATTGATGTCATGTCGAAGGCGACAGAGGAATCTGAGTTCCGTAGAACGCTGCGGCTGTCGGACACACCCCGGCTCTAAGTGTAAGCTGCCCAAGCTGAGATGAGAAAGGGTTCCAGTCCAGTCACCTTTGTATGTACACAGTATGTGTATGATTGGCCTCGCTCGTATGGACCTCGACTTCTGCCGAAAGATCTGTGGTGAACCATGGTGATTTCTCGAGGCTCGAGATCCCATCTCTGCCTCCGCGAGCAACCTTAGGTAAGTACCTCTCCTGGTCATGTGAAAGCATCATTTGTAGCCTAAAGTCCACTGTCGCTTTGGAACTGCACACCCGGGCCACCACCTGTGATCATTGATGCCCAGGGCGGCCGCCGGTATCAGTGGAGGGGGGAACGTCGAACCTCGAGGAGCAGGATGGGCAACTCTTTCACGGCACTAGCTGGAGATCAATGAGAGCTTCAGAGTATCAACTTTCGACACCAGGAACGGTTGTCCTTCGGCGTGTTGTTCGGCGAACTGAAGGCTCCCGTCAGCACCACTTGGCTTGAGAGTACAGTGGTCGGGTCCAAAAATCAAAGTGGAGCCCACGGGAGGGGCCCGGTCATCGGGACTTTAGCGTTGAATTATGCATCGGATCGCGTGGGTCCCGCCCGCGTCCATCGGCCAGGGGGGCATGTGTCCCTCAGTTTCCAGTTTATCTTCGCTCTCGATCTTTTATCTTTTAAGGGTGAGAGACCGTCACCCCCTTTCCTGTCTTCTTTTCGACCACCAGCTGCCATTCTTTATTTCTTTCTTGAACTGTCTGAGCTTCGGGTTCCGTCGCCTCTGCCATTTCCCTGCGCGGTTCGTCCCAGGTACGTACATCGTCTTAACTGCCGGACAGAAGCCGTCAGCGATGGCAGCCGTGGCATGTCTGGTCTTGCCATGTGGCCTGACCTCCCAAGCATACGGCACGCCGCCGCCCACAGACCACATGCCAATCTTGCGCGAGCAACAAGCGGCGCTGGCATCTGTCATCGGGTTCATAGAGCCGTTGCGTTGTTCACTGGGCTAACATGGGATTTACGCGCAGGCCAGCTTCTTTTGGCTCCCCCCTCGGCCAGAAGCAGCCAAGCGAGCCGAGTGCGTTACCGGCCCGGTCAGGTACTCCTCCCTCTAGACATCTCCATATCCGATAACTTGCAAGACTATACCGGTTGTGCCCGCTTCAGTTCCTCGCGCATACCCGCCCCCTCCCGTTTATATCGCCGTCATGGCCGAACTCGATACGCTGGACCTCGTGGTCCTGGCGGCCATCCTTTTCGGAACGGTCGCCTACTTCACAAAGGGCAAACTGTGGGGCGTTACAAAGGATCCTTATGCGAGCTCTCTGGCCAATGCCAGCAGCGCAAAGGCTGGCAAGACAAGAAACATTGTGGAGAAGATGGAGGAGCAGGGCAAGAACTGCATCATTTTCTACGGATCTCAAACCGGTACTGCTGAGGATTATGCTTCGAGACTGGCCAAGGAGGGCAAGAGCCGGTTCGGCCTTGAAACCATGGTTGCCGACCTTGAGGAATACGACTTCGACAATCTTGATACTATTCCTGACGACAAGGTGGTGTTCTTCGTACTCGCCACCTATGGTGAGGGTGAGCCTACTGATAACGCTGTGGATTTCTACGAGTTCATCACCAACGAAGACGTCAACTTCACGGAGGGCAACGAACCTGCGCTTGGCAACCTGAACTATGTCACGTTCGGTCTCGGAAACAACACCTATGAGCACTACAACTCCATGGTTCGCAATGTGGACAAGGCTCTCCAGAAGCTGGGTGCCCACCGTATCGGAGATGCTGGCGAGGGTGATGATGGCGCTGGTACCATGGAAGAAGATTTCTTGGCCTGGAAGGAACCCATGTGGAAGGCTCTCGCTGAGAGGATGGGTTTGGAGGAGCGCGAGGCCGTTTACGAGCCCGTCTTCAGCATCGTCGAAAGGGAGGGCCTGACCAAGGAGTCCCCTGAAGTCTATCTCGGTGAACCCAACAAGATGCATCTCGATGGAACCGCCAAGGGTCCCTTCAACGCCCACAACCCGTACATCGCTCCCATCGCCCAGTCCTACGAGCTCTTCTCCGTCAAGGACCGCAACTGTCTCCACATGGATATCGATATCAGCGGCTCTAACCTCAACTACCAGACTGGTGACCACATCGCTGTTTGGCCCACGAACCCTGGTGAGGAGGTCGATCGCTTTATGAACGTCCTGGGTCTCTCCGAAAAGCGCCACACTGTTGTCAGCGTCAAGGCTCTCGAGCCTACCGCCAAGGTTCCCTTCCCGACTCCCACCACCTATGACGCTATCGTTCGCTACCACATGGAAATCTGCGCTCCAGTGTCTCGTCAATTCCTCGCCCAACTCGCTGCTTTTGCTCCCGATGCAGAGGCAAGGGCCGAGATGACCAAGCTCGGCGCCGAAAAGGATTACTTCTACGAGAAGATCAGTCTTCACCATCTCAACATTGCCAGAGTCTTGGAAATTGTTGGCAAGGGTCAGAAATGGACCAACATCCCCTTCTCTGCTTTTATTGAGGGCATCACCAAGCTTCAGCCCCGCTACTACTCCATCTCGTCCTCATCCCTTGAACAGCCCAAGAAGATTTCCATCACTGCCGTTGTCGAAAGTACCCAGCTTCCTGGTCGTGATGACCCCTTCCGCGGTGTTGCCACCAACTACCTCCTCGCGCTCAAACAGAAGCAGAACGGCGAGCCCGAACCTTGCCCTTTTGGTCTTTCCTACGAACTCACTGGCCCCCGTAACAAGTACGATGGTATCCACGTCCCCGTTCACGTCCGCCACTCCAACTTCAAGCTCCCCTCGGATCCCTCCAAGCCCATCATCTGCATCGGTCCCGGTACCGGTGTTGCGCCCATGCGTGGCTTCATTCGTGAGCGCGTCCAGCAGGTCAAGAACGGCGAGAAGGTTGGCAAGACTCTGCTCTTCTTTGGCTGCCGCAAGTCTACCGAGGACTTCATGTACAAGAACGAATGGGAGGTAAGTCACGCGCCACACTGAAACCGTTGCTGGTCACTTCGATCTGCTGACACAAATGGCGAAAATTCCAGGAAGCCAAGGAGATCCTCGGCGACAACTTCGAGCTCATCACCGCCTTCTCCCGCGAGGGCCCCAAGAAGGTCTACGTCCAGCACCGTCTCAAGGAAAGGGCCGAGGAGATCAACCAGCTTCTCGAGCAAAAGGCCTACTTCTACGTCTGCGGCGACGCTGCCAACATGGCACGCGAGGTCAACACCGTCCTGAGCCAGATCATTTCCGAGCAACGAGGCATCCCCGAGGCCAAGGCCGAGGAGATTGTCAAGAACATGAGGTCATCGAATCAGTACCAGGTACGTTTACGTTGTGATCTTCCCATTAGGTCCCTCTCCTCTCCTCCCCTCCCCTTTCTTCCCAAACCGTGTTCGGTCGCATAGAGGAGAAATATGCATACTAACCGGCTGCTGCTTTACAGGAGGATGTCTGGTCATAACCTATATATATGCAGTTATAGTAGATGCAAATAAGATCAAGAATGTGATCCGATAGAGAAGGTTGGAAGGCATGGGGATGGAAGACACTAGACACACCCTTTTTTTGACTCTTTTTTCTTATGGATAGTCGGGATTATCTTCTAGTGAACCAGCTCCGGATGCAATAGCAAATACCCACCAACAAGCGCACATTCATAAGGAACATCATCATCCATCGAGATTTTGTGTATTCTTTGGGTGTGTGGTTGTTCTTCTGTGCCATGGCCTGACTAAGTATTGAACTAAGCTAGACGGCAGACTGCGTCAATCACACACGCGCGGATACATGTACATAGCGTCAAAGGGTTACATGTACACTCCCTCATCTCACCACAGTGGTTGGTGTTCGAAACGAGAAGGAATATCTGGCGGGGCGTTGCCTTGCGCGTCATCTTGCTGATAATACAATACATCCTCAGCAATTTGTATTCGTCATCCTTTCGAACCTCGCCGTGTGTAACTTCGGTAGTCACTCGTCCGATGTCACTACGATACTCCGACGCCACCCATCTTATGTACCTTCCTTCAAACTTCTGCCGTTTGAATCACAAAAACCCTCCTTGGGGCGTCTTATCAGCCAATAAGAACCCAAGCTTTCGAGAACTTGTGCTACCTTCTCGCAAACTTAACCTTTTCCTTCTTCATTTTTCTTCGTGGCCGTAGAAAGTGGAAGTTGTGTGGTGTTCGCCGTTTGCTTTGCTGCGGACTGGAGAGCGGAGGGCTCTGATTGGTCCGAACTTGGGCCACTGTTTTCCTTGTTGCCGATATTGCAACCTCGCGGCCCGCAGCTACGAGCCTACGGCAGCCCGTTGTTTTGTTTTTATCCATCGCTCTTGTTTTCCTTTCCATTATATCTTCTTTTCTCAAACATCAGTACTCCTCTTTTTAGTGTCTTTTTGAAAATTTTTGTATAGTCTTCTCGTTGTTTCTCACCCGTGCTTTCTTTCTTGTTCTTGGATGTCGACAAACGTTCAACACCCGCAGATGCGACGACAGAACATACGCCGTCGGCCGTCCTGGACGCTGACGGGCTTCGCCCACAAGTTTCCGACATCTCGGTCGCGGGGCTTTAGAGGATCGGGGGTTTATGGGTCGGCTTGGCTGAGCTTTGACTTGGGGGTACGCCTGGGTCCAAGCGCTGTTCGAACGTCAGCTCCTATTCAGGTTCAGCGCGAGTAGTTCTCGCCATGTAGAAACATGAGTATACACGTACATTATCAGTGGCAGAGCAATAAATACGTCAAGACTTGCTACACTGAGTAGAAGTGAGTCCGTCTTGGTTATGATCTTCCATAGAGGATGCGAGAAGTGATCACCGTCTAGTGGCCCAAGTGGGCAGGTGATTCTTAGCAGACAACCCCTGAGAAAGATCGATGCAAGCTCGTCGTAATCAAAGGCGACGACACCTTTCGGGTTGCTATCGACTGTTCTCCTGGCCCATCGCACCCGAACCTCTACGGGCTAATCTCCAAGCCGGGCTCAAGGAGCCATTACGAATTTGTTTACCCACGATGAATTCGATCAACGAGAAACGACTGCAAACCCGAAGCTTCTTGGTCCTCTTATGGCATGTCGCCAAGCAAAGCTACCACGGCAAGCAAGACTGAGAATGTTTGTTCATCATGTCTTTTGCTGCCTGCGACCATGACCAGGATGACGACATGGTATGGAGGAAAGCGCACATGTCCTAGGGTCGAGCTCCGTAGTGGAAGCCAAGATGGGGACAATACAAAGCGTACGACACTGCCCATCCGGAGCAAAAAGAACAACCTGGGCTTACACCCGTTGACGAAGACTGTCACAGTCAGCACGACGTATGAGTAGCGGAAGGCATGTCCTTATGTCTAGCCTCTGCAACACGTCCTGTGGAGTTGCTGTCGATGAAGTCAGGGCACAAATCTCGGGCAGTTCTCTCCCTTGTTGCTAGTATCGGCTGTCGAGCTTGAAAGTTTGGGTGATGTAGGCGGGCGACACTCCGGCTGTGGCCGGTCACAGGTGAGTGAGTGATGGCGGAAGCTGTGACGATTGTTGGGCAGGCAAGCTAACGTGTGTAGGGTTGTTGCGATATGCTTCAGTCAAGCTCACTCCTTCGCTGGTCGAACAGGAAAGCGATCTCGGACGGGAAACCGAAAGGGAATCATTCAGTCAATCGACTGCCCAGGACGAAGGCGATTTGTTGAACTGTATTGTGTCAGCTGCAATCGTTATCTCATCTTTGGGAGTTATGCTGTATCTCCTGACCTCACGACCCATCCTCCTCCTTCTGTGAAAGAAAGTCGTCGCTAACACTGCAGTCGTGCAAGAATCTGCTCGTGGACGAGAAGGTTCAATGCCCCCGGGTGCAATTGGTGAAGGTGGATCGCCCGGGCCTGGATGCCAGTCTTGCCCGGCGCCTGGTTGCCTGGAATCATAAATCCGATCCGTGACGAGAAGGAATCCCGGAGACACTCCGAGTTCGGCTATCAATGGTAGACTCGGCTGTTATTTTGCACCTCCTCCAGAAGGACTGGCAGTGTTTGAAAGCCAAGTGGAATGGGATGGCACTGCCTTCAATCTGTCCTTACTTGATTGGTATTTTACATTACACCCTGCGACTCTTTCCCCCAGTGTACCTATGTAAGTACCTCTACCTATCTGGGCTTCGGGCATCTCCAATCCCCGGCCCTGACCGTCATTGGCCAGAAGATGGTCTCTGTCACATAGACGGCAAGAGCAAGGAGGAAACACCAAGCTAAGATTCACACCTGCATCATGAGCAACACCATTCACAGCGATTGCTTCAAGTTGAAGTTGTGTCATTACTTTCCACTTCGTTCCCCTCACTACGAAGTGGATGCCACCAGCGTCACTGCCTTTCCATCTAGACCACGGCACTAAGTAGTGAAGGACACATCGTTAGCTCAGTCAATTGTTCTACTCCCTTCCTGTCAATAGGGGGGGAAACAATGGAAAGTTGAACTTGGAATTGCCGGCCTGGTGTGTAAAGGTAGTATTCACAACGGGGTCTCTCCTTCCTCCATTGAGCTCAAATCTGATCATCGACTTTCAGAGTAAGTAGTTCTCTGTCCTGTCGATGATCCCAGTCCCTGCTGCGAGTGCAGTCTCGAGAAGCATGGCCAGACATCTCCTTCTTTTCCTTCTCGTCGTCTTCCCTTCAACATACCCTTTTCAACGCAGCAAGCTGGAGCTTAGCATACGGGAGTTCTTCCTTATTTATCATTATTCTCATCCTCAGCTCTCCTGGAGGATACCGTGGGTCCTACCTTGACAGTAGTGCAGGCTACTGGGGAACATCGCCTCCTTCCTTGGCCAGTCTACGTCGTGGCTGCCCTTGACATTTGTTTACATCGTGAGGAAGCAACCTCAACGGCACTGATCCATCACTCCATCTTACTTAGGTACCAGACGAAGATCGATTGACGGGAGTTAAAAGACGGCCCTCCCTCCCGCCATCCAGTCCAGCTCAACTTTCCTGTCTCTCAACTCTTGGTAGACTCTTCCTCCGATCATTACAGCATCAACACACAATCCATCCCAGCGACCACCACAGTCTCTTCAATTCATCTTGCTTGATAGCTCGGTTCATCTTCTTACTCCCCCTGCGCTCGCTTGCATCAGAGTCTTTGGTTCTTACATCATCGTTGCCGGCCGCCGCTTTCTTGTCACCAAAGCATCTCTCCAAGCCTGATCCAATCAGCCGTTTGTTACAAGGACCACATCTCGTTTTGGAGGTAAGTTGACGTTCGACGTAAGTATGCTCTGCCTGCGGGTTCATGGCAGCCTGAGGATGGAAGGTGTTTGCCTGCGTTTCCCGGCCAATCACTCCGGTCTCCCGCCGAAGTCTCGGTCCTTTTCCGTTCCAGATGAACCTTTACCCTCTTCTCCTCCTCCTCCTCCTCCTCTTCCTCCTCATCTCCTCTTCCCCCACACAATCCCCCAATTGATCACAACAATCAAAACTCTCACGGGTTACCACCAGATATCATTTTGAATTGGTTCTCTATCATCTTCACAGATATCTATTGAGCTCCATTGAGTATCAAGCACCTCTTCTTTGCATCTTTTAAAGCATCCCCACTATCACATCTCATCCTCAGCGACGCGTCAACAAGTAGTCAATCAGGCACAATGGTTCGTGATAACTTCCCCTCCGCCCCTCGCTCTGTTCCCCCATCACGTCGCGCACTTTGAATCACCTTCACCCGTACAATTGCCCCCAATTGGTCTCTCAGGATGTCCGAGGGATTCAAGCGCGCCACCTTATCCAATCTCTCGGGTCATATTTTGCTCAATGAGAGTGCGCCAAAGCAATGGTCACCTGTCTCCTGAGCATCATTCCCACCTGTCAAGCACCTTCATCACTTGCTTTCAAGTCATCGCTGCCCTCAGGATGGATACTCGGCGAGTGTCCAGCATCAATGCCAAGGGCTTGCGGTCGCACGATCAATGCAGGGTTGACACTTGCCATTTCTACTTCTTTGGCGTGACTTGGTGGAACTTAGGGCATGGAGCTAACTATGGCAAACCCAGACCAACGTTCTATCAAAGATGTCTGCCCATTATCGCATCAATCCGGGTGTCGTCACCGACACCGGCAACAACCGCCAGGGCAACTATCAAAGCTACCTCACAACCGAAGTTGGCAGTACTCAGCATGACGGCTCTGCGACCCATGGTCATCAGGTCAACCATGGCGTTGACAACATGAACGCCGTTATGAGTCAGTTCAGCAGCCTTGCCTTGCCTCCTGGTCCTGGCAACCCGACTGCCCCTCAAAACCAGGCTGGTCACCAGTATTACATGCAGGACCAGCAAGTTGCTTACCAGACTTACCCTGTGCCCATGCACGTCGGCGTTCCCCCCGAGGCGGCTTACCAGATTGGCGTTGCCGGACAGTACCCTGTTCAGGCTGGATATGCGCCCCTGCCTATTCCTTACCATTCTGTGCCTTACACGCCTGGCCGTGTCGCCTCGTACGGTGAGCGCAGCAGCGAGGCTCCTGGGCTCGAGAACCGTAGGGGCTCGTACTCCACCAACGAGTCCACCCCTGCTACCCCTTTCTTTGGCACTTTCTCGGACCGTGGTGGTAATGGTCGAATTGCTGTGATCCGCTCCAGCTTCAACACTCCTTCCCCGGAGCAGGTTGTTGCATCTGGCGGTGTTGTGAAATCCGCCCCTATTGTCGACGAGGAGCTGCTAGCTCTGCTCAAGCAGAATCCTCCCATCCCTGACGCGGTTCCTGCCGTGTTCACCCCGCCCACTCACACCAAGTCCATCGAGCAGTGCCTCGAGAACCGCATTCAGGGCAATCGCAACGTTTACATTCGTGGCCTTCATCCCACCACTGACGATGAGTTGCTGCTTCGTTATGCTTCCCGCTTCGGCAAGGTTGAGCAGAGCAAGGCGATCATTGACACGTCTACTGGAGCTTGCAAAGGGTATGTTGTGTCCCATTGCCTGATAGTACAGTCTTTCATCCATGTCCTGACCAAACCAATAGCTTCGGCTTTGCCAAGTTTGCCAATGTTCGTGATTCGGAGAAGTGCATCCGTGGCTTCCACCATCTGGGCTATGAGGTTGGCTTTGCTCGCGAGAGCTTTAACGCCCGTCTCAAGGCAGAGGGAGATGAGAGCTCCACCAACCTTTATTTGTCCAACTTGCCCAAGCGTCTGACTGAGGCGGTGAGTAACTCGTTTATGTTGTCTCGTCGTGCGTTCATGTGGACTCTAACATCGTTCCAGGAGCTGAATGCTATCTTTGTTGGCTATCACATTGTCTCCAGCAAGATTCTCAGAGATAGCATGGGTAACAGCCGCGGTGTCGGTTTTGCTCGGTAAGTCCCATCACTGCTTGAAGTTATCCGTTATCTGAGGATATCATCTAACATGCAACACAGCTTCGAGACCCGTGATGAGTGCGAGGATGTCATCAAGAAATTCCACGGTGCCCCGATTGGAGAGGAGGGAATGCTGATGCAGGTTCGCTACGCCGACACTCCGGCGCAGAAGGAACTCAAGCGCATCACGGCTGAGCGCCGCCAGTTCCGCACCAACGAGTACAACATTGGCGCATACGGAACTGCGGATGTCGGCATTCATCCCAGCATCTACAACCACCAGGCTCCGTGGAACCGTCGCATTAGCGCCGGCCACTCGTCTGATACGTAAGTCACCCTTCACCCTGAATGTTCAACGACAGCCAGGTGCTGACTAACTCTGGACACAGTTCGTTTGCTTCCGGCGCCCGTATCCTCATTAACGTCAACAGCGACAGTGGAATGGGTTCTTCCATGTCTCAGGGTGGAAGCCATGCGGTCAGGTACAGCTCCACCAGCATTCCGAAAGCATCCTCCTGCACTATCGCCCTGGGAGCTCAGGCATCACTCTCAAGCGAGAAAAGCGGCATGCGTGTTTTTGGAAGCTGGAAGATGACTTCAGTTCGTCGTGACAACTAACCGTCTTCTCTGCAGGCCGGGTAACCTGACCACCGGCGCATCCTCTTCGGATGACGGATCAGCGGACGAGGGCGTCACGATCGTCGAGTCCGGTACGGTTGCAAACGGCAGCACCCAGTCATCGCCCACAATCAAGAAGGAGAAGCCGTAGTTGGCTACGAGGGCTTTGCCTCGATATTCCTGTCTTTGATCTGGCTTCCCTTTGTTCAAGTATACGATACAACTGATGTTTTTCTTGGGAAGGGCTCAACAGCTCGGCATCGCTAATCTGTGGCCATCATTAAGTTGCTTCTGACGATAGGTCTGGAGCACATGATCGATACGGATGTTTAATCAACTGGCTATGCCAATGCATGTGGTGGGTGCTTAATTACTAACCGAAACTTTTTCATGGGATGGGGAATCTTTACAGTTCTGGCACGTGGTAATAATAACCGGGAGGTTGGAGGATTACTAGAAATTACCAAGGTTTTCTTGTACGGTTATTGATATTCAGTTCTCTGGGACTTTGTACTTCTAATAAGGGAAGCCAAGCAGACAGTATCAATCGAATGAAAAATCATCATTGTTGCAGAATGAGGAAGATGGACCACTACTTTGTGACAACTAACCAGTGCATGCCATTCTGTCAAGTTCGTCGTGATGCCCAATGTGAGAACTATGATGTTCAGGGCAGCAAAATCGGGGGCATACAGTAGGGAATCAGGTCTCAACGTCAATGTTCAGTAGACTGGTCTTTATATGGTGGCCCCAGGCGCAAAGACAGGAGTGTGTCCATGGACTTGATCACGTTCCCTCTTGATATCACCATTTTGGGATAAACGTCATCTGCCCACTTTGGGAGCATCACTACGACCTGGTGTTGTGGCGCCACCAACCCACATGGAAAGATATATAATATGCTCTCTCACCTTTTCCTTTATCGATAATTCTATGAATTGTTAATTGAATTTCCCCAAGGTGCTGGGGGCACATGGTTGTGTGAAATGTCGGCCTGTATGCTCCCAGCTGCAGGATCGTTCTTTGCGCTATTGCTTCAAAGCACCCAACGTTCCTTCCCATATTTTCAACAGAACACAGCCTGCACCGAGCCCTGAGCTCCCACAAATTGTAATGGGAAACATGATCTTGAAACTGGACTTTTTGCCAACTTGGTCTTCCTCACAGTTGGACATCAATTTGTAATTTGACGAACCAGGCAAACGCATCTGCTGGAACCATACAACAAATGGAGGCTCAGGTTCCGTTTGAAGATTATGCTAGGCCTCGCCCTTTGCGTACCTATTCCCACAAAGTGCGGACTGCCTCGCCCGGTGTGCTTCCGTTGTTAAGGGCCAGACATTCACCAGCGAGCCTTGCGAGGAAGCATCAACGTGAACCCGAGCCCCGGAACAAAGACCGCCTTGATAATGGTATAATACCTGAAGGAGAGACTTTTGCTTACCAAGCTGAGTATGAATTTGTGGAAGCAAATGAGCCAGAATTTGGTACGTGTTCCTGCATATGGCGGTCATAACCCGGTGCAAATCCAGAATCTAACCATACAATGCACGAGTTCCAGAACTTCAATATGCTTCAGATACCTCCCACAGCCCGGGCGATAATGCGACAGAAGAGGATACCGGCTTGGAGTATAGCACCGACGAAGACAAAGACGAACGAGGGACTACCGAAGAATCCAAGACTACTCCTACTTCATCGGTGAGGTCCAGCAGTGGCACCAAGTACATACCCAAGCCTGTCACAGATCAGTCGAATCTCTTGAGACGTCGTCCATTCTTGCTCTTTGACAAGCTACCACCACGCGGCTATAAGAGACTGAAGCCCAAGGTTGAGGAAAGCACCACAACAAGCTTGTCTGCCAAGTACAAGCTGGGCGACGGGTTCTCCAAAGACGAAGCAAAACCAAACGGGCTGGTTCAGTTGGGCTTGCGTCCAACTACTAAGAGGAAAGCCCCTCAAGTCAAGTCAAGAGTGGGTGCTTTAGACTTGACACAATCCAGCTTCACAAGTTCTCCCCAAAAAGATCATATTGTGAATCACAAGAAGAAGGTGACGAAGAAGAAGAAGAGGGCCTACGACAACTCATTTCTCCCTGACCCCAAACAAACCGAACGTCAGAGGAAGAGACACAGACTACTGAAGAAGAAGAATAACCCCTTGGAGGACAAAGAGATGCTACCAACCGTCTTGAAGCCAAATATCATTCTCGAAAGCGTTATTTTGGGAAAATACGCAAATCAGGTGGAGGGACGACAACACAGAACAACTCTAGCAGCCTCGGAACAACAACGAGAACAGACACAGACTGTAATGGAGAGTGCATTGGAAGGTGAAGGTAATGTGCCCCTGGAGGACCACGAGGAAGACAATGTTGAACCCGAAGCGGCCATTGCTCGGGAGCCATCTGTTGAGCTGGGTGAGTCTCCGGCAAGGATGAATGTCTCTGCACGTTCTTCTCCCAATCATCAAGAGATACGCCACCAACAACAAGAGGCTCTTGAAGAGCAAGCAAGTAATGCAGTTGAAGTACGTACGGAAGAAGGTGGTGAATGGTATGTTCAAGAGCATCTTGAGCAACCTCTTGAACCCTTTTTCGAAAAACCTCTCCAAAAGCCTGCCCAAAAGCCGGTAGAGGAACAAAAAGAGCCGGGCAACAATGACCATTCCGGAGAAGACGACCCCAAGCCAGCCATTTCGAAAAAACGCACCGGTGCCAAGTCTACGACCACGACAAAGTTGTCGTCGTCGAAATGCGGAACTGTAGATCAGAGCCAGATTGATACGACAACAGATCCCGCCAAACTTACCTCTCACGACACACTCGGGAAACAACACTACCGTCAGAGTCAGAAGAGCCATCAAGCACAGGTCAAAATTCAAGGTCAAGATGCACCGCCAAGTGAAATGACCTCCCCAGGTTCAGGCTGGGAGACGTACATCTCGGAGACTGACCTTCGTACTCCTACTCCTCTACGACCTCTGAATTCGAGAGCGAAATCTGCAGTTCCTTCCACCTCTCGCGGAAGGGCGAATCCGGGGCTTAAAAGGTCGAAGTCTGCGGTATAGTAAGATGACAGAGGATGAGAAAGAAAGGAGTGTGATCTTTGTATTTGTATCCAAAGTATTATGTGATTTTGGTGGAGGGTGATAATGATCGGTTTACGGGATGTAGTTATTTGTTGGAACTTCTGATAGGAGGTCAAAGACATGTAGGTATCAGGAGTAGACATGTATCAATGGGGTTGTGTTATCATACCAGCGCCAACGAGCCAAGGGAATGTTCAATATTTTACTTTCTAGTCTGCATAGGCATCAGGCTCAACAACATGGTGATCCTGACTTAAGAAAACTGCATCATGTAAGAATAACCATATATATTTTTGTCTATCTTGTTCTTAGTTGTCCTGACGTGGACCAGGATAATCAATTACCACAACTCGTAATGTCCATTTACCTTTTTTTTTCCGACGACGTTTCCGCAAATAGCAATGCCACACAATAATCCCAGCCCGCCCTTTGTCCCATATCATATAAAACGCCGATTACACCCAGATTATAGCCGGAAAGATGTTACACAAGACAGTAAGACGTGAAGAGAGACGACAGACAACCAGCAAAAAAGACAACTGAAATCCGAGTCTCACTTGGGGCCCTTGCCCTTGGCCTCGGTCTCACCCAACTCCCTAATAAACACCTTCGTCCTCCCCTCGCTATTAAAGTCCTCCATATCGGTCTCGAACCCACGACACACGCCAATGGCAAGATACTTGCCATTATTCGAGAAGGCCAGCGCCGCGACGCTGTCAGGGAACTTTTGATACTGTCTCATCCTGCGCTTGGCCTCGGCGTCCCACAACGCCACGGTGCCGTCGCCGCCGCCCGAAGCAAACGTGCCATACACGGGGTGGAAAGTCAGCGCGTTGACGGGATAGACCACGTCGCCGCCGCCCTCCTCCTCGGGCGCCGTCTGCCGGTGGCACTTGAAGGCGTATTTGCGCGCCTGCGACTCAGCTGTGTCCTCGAACCACTCGACCGCGACGCGGCCCTCAATCGAGCTGGTGGCGTAGCCAGCGTCGTTGGGCATGCAGGCCACGGCGCGCGTGAGGAATTTGAGCGATGACTCGCGCTGTTGCCAGGGGGTGATGTTTGCCGAGGCAGGGTCGGCTGACGAGAGTGCCGTGGCGAGCGTGGGTAGGTCGTAGATGTGTACTAGTCGTGCGGTCATGGCGACGACGACTTTAGAGGGGCTGGCGGCAAGGGCGTGCGGCTTGCCTGGAAGCGAGATGGTGATCGGGGTCGAGGCCGGCGCGGAGGTGTTATGAACGTGGAGAGTGTGATCCCACGAGGCGGAAATGAGCATGGCTGGGAGAAGAAAATGCCAGATTAGTTGATGTCTCAAATACTTATCGAATGTAATGCGTGGACTTGTGGTTGGATGATTGGACTGTAATGATTCGGACTTACAGTGTTGAGGGCTGTAGACGACGCATCGGACGGGCTTTTCGTGCGTGCTTAGTACGGTCTGCTCTCCTGTGGATAGGTCGATTCTGTTTAATTCGCGTTAGCATCCACAAAGATCTGTGGCAAGATGCTGAGCATCCATAGGTAATAAGCTATGTGTGCAACGAACCTCTTGACTGAGCAGTCCAGACTCGCCGTGTAGGCCTCATTTCCATTCGCGCCAAAGCAGACATCAAGGACGGGAGCACGGTGCTCGAACTTGTTAATTAGGGTGGCGTCTTCGGTCCCTTCGGCGATCTCGTAAAGGTAGACGTTCCTATCCCATGAAGAAACGAGCAGGCGGTTGGTGTTATCGGGGGCGAAGATCACGGCCGAGATAGCGTCACTGGGCGGCTGTGACACTTCGAATTGCGTTGCTAGAATTACGCGACGTTAGCTTGGGAGGACACATATGATAGTAGCTTCTTGAGAGATATTCCGAGCTTACAAGGAGCCATTGCGGTGGTGGTGTTGTGTGTGGTGGGTGGTGTGTAGATTAAAGCCTACGTGGTATTGACGTAGCTTCGAAATCGTTAACAATCGCCGGACGACGAAATGGGGGATTGGTAGAGGGGAGGGAGCTTGACCGGGAGTGCAACTCCAAGTAAACAAAGTTCTGCCATGGGTTACCGCCTGATTCAAGGTCTCTTTCCGAGCTGGGTCAGGCAGCTGATTGGAAGTTGAGAGGTGGAGTGAGTTGCAGATGCCGTTCGGGTCAAGCACCAGACCCTGTCCATCTTGACGCAGATCCACAAGGCGTTCTAGAATTTGGTGGAGGGGTGGGCGCCGTTCCGTCATCTCATGAAGAGCCGACCCGACATTTGGTGGGGTTGCATTGTTGAAGGAAGCATTCCCGTCTTTCGAACAGCTTCCACTTCTCCCTCGGACATCCGAATTTCGCACCTTTCTTTTACGTACGCCAGTGAAAACCAACGAGAGCGTCACGCCGTATTTAATCACATCACATTGGAGCAGCAAGTTACAATGCCGTTTGGACAGTTAGTACTCGGCAGTCCCGGTGCAGGAAAGAGCACATATTGCGATGGCAGTAAGTTGTGAACCTTCCTTGTGTTAGTACTTTCACGGGTGCTAACATGACCTCCCCACTGCCAGTGCAGCAGTTTATGGGCGCCATCGGGCGACAATGCTCGGTAGTCAACCTCGACCCTGCGAACGACCACACCAACTACCCATGCGCGCTCGACATTCGCGACCTTGTCACTTTGGAGGAGATTATGGCAGACGACAAATTGGGCCCCAATGGCGGTATTCTGTACGCACTTGAAGAGCTGGAAAATAACATGGAATGGCTCGAGAACGGCCTCAAGGAGCTTGGAGAAGACTATGTGCTTTTTGACTGCCCCGGTCAAGTCGAGCTCTACACCCACCACAACTCGTTACGCAACATCTTTTACCGGTTACAGAAGCTGGGCTACAGGGTGCGCCGTTGTTCCTCGTCTCTCTAATCGCAGTCCTTCCCGCTAATTCTCTTGCAGCTGGTAGTTGTCCACCTTTCCGACTGCTTCTGCCTCACACAACCATCGCTCTACATCTCCAACGTCCTCCTGTCTTTGCGCGCCATGTTGCAGATGGACCTTCCCCACATCAACGTCCTGACCAAGATTGACAAGATCTCGTCCTACGACCCTCTTCCATTCAACCTCGACTATTACACCGAAGTACAAGACCTGCGGTACCTCATGCCGTCCCTCGACGCGGAGTCGCCTGCCCTGAAGAAAGGCAAGTTCACCAAGCTTAACGAGGCCGTTGCGAATATGGTTGAGCAGTTCGGCCTTGTCAGCTTCGAGGTGCTGGCAGTCGAGAACAAGAAGAGTATGATGCATCTGTTGCGCGTGATTGACCGTGCAAGTGGGTACGTCTTTGGCGGCGCTGAGGGAACGAACGACACCGTCTGGCAGGTTGCTATGCGCAACGAGTCGTCATTGCCCGATGCCCTTGATATTCAAGAGAGGTGGATCGATAACAAAGAAGAGTATGACGAGATGGAGCGGAAGGAGGAGGAAGAACAAGAAAAACTGCGGGCGAAGCAGGCACGGGCCGCTGAAGAAGCAGGTCTCGGTGACGGCTCGGTCCCTGGAGTGGCGCCACAGTTCACCAGTGGCTCGGGAATCCGTGTGACGCGTAAGCAGAACACATGACGATCGAAGGGCATGGTTGTTCATCCATCAGAGACCTCGCCCTCGTCAATTTTTGCGTCATCGTGGTCATCGTTGACCAAGGCGAGATTGCGGGCTGAATCTTTGCCGCCGCGGAAGAGAGCATTGAGGGCGTCTGATGATGCCTTGCCGGCCATCTCGTCCTTTGCTGCCAGGACAAGGAGCTTGGCACGGCGGATGGCTTCTTCTTCGACTTTGCGGATGGTGCCGCTGACGCGGACAACCCGGAAGATACACGGTCGGCCATCCTTGACTGGGAGGCGGTCCATAAAGGTCAAGGCAGCCCAGACAAGCCTGTAATGGGCTCGTGAGATACGTAGAATGAAGGTTGAGGTCGCAGTAGAAAGGTACTTGACTGTTATACCAAGTTAGCCTAGTGGCCGCTTTTACCAAATGTAAGTTTTAGAGTTCAGTGGTGTGTTTACCTTGTAGGCTGCGCTCGACAGAGCCTGACCCGCAATCACCAAATAACGCATTCACCTGACTGCGAATGCCCTTCAAGATGGTTTGGGGCCTGAGTTCTCCAATGGTGGGCTGGTTATAAAGTAGCAAATCGGGTACAGGCCCCTTTTGTCCAGGAGGAATGTCTGCGTAGACAATGTTGACTAACAGATAGCGATCTTTGAGGCGGACCATGGTTGTAGGAGTTTTCCCGAAGACGTCGTTTCAAACGGAGAAGAGGAAAAACTAAAACGGTTTGCTGAGAACGCCCGTACAAATAGAATTAACAGAGCTTGGTCCGGTGCAATCGTGGATGAAAAAGCTGAAGGTGCGCTATCACTGACGTACAATGGAGTGAAATGAGAGTGAAATCAATGCAATTGTAATTCAACTTTCAGACATCAAGTTACAAATAATTGCCGCCGGCAAAAGCATGCAAACTCTCGATCCTCACACGCTCCACTTCCCCACATGAAGTTTTGGTGGGGAACTACACCAGGTACCTTGAGGTACAGGGCATACAGGGATGCCTATCTTATCAGCTTCCGAGTGCCGGCATGGCACATCAACACCATGACACCATCACAATACTCCCTTTTCTGCAGAGTTCATCAATAAGGTAGTTGGCACAAACGAGGAGATTCTGTTACACCGTGTCCACAGCGCAGTACCGTGTGTCACTTTTCTCAATCATGTCCTCAAGTACTACTCCAGCAGCGCTCAAAGCAGCCATCCTGATCGTCTCAACAACAGCAGCTCAAGACCCCGCAACGGACTCGGCCGACGTCACTCTCCGCCAGGTCTTCGATGAACAACAAGCCCAATGGGAGGTCCATGAATCCAAAATCGTTCCCGACGATGTCGTGCAAATCCAGAAGCAAATCATCCACTGGACAAACCAAGCCACCGCCGCAAATGGCGACAACAACAACACCAACACCATCAACCTCATCGTAACCACAGGCGGCACCGGCTTCGCCGTGTCCGACCAAACCCCCGAAGCCGTCTCGGCTCTCCTACACAAGAATGCTCCTGGCCTGGTCCACGGCATGCTGGCGGCTTCGCTGCAAGTTACCCCCTTTGCCATGATGTCACGACCTGTGGCTGGCGTCAGGAACGGCACCGTTATCATTACGCTGCCTGGGTCCCCCAAGGGCGCGAAGGAGAATCTGCAAGCAGTGATTAAAATGCTGCCCCACGCTTGCATGCAGGCTGCTGGTGCCAACTCTAGAGCTTTACATAAGGGGGGAGTGAAGAAATTGGAGCAGGAGGCGGGAGTGGAAGGAGGTGGTGGACGTGGACATGGACACGGACATGGACACAGCCATCACGACCACAGCGAGCACCGAGGAGGAGGGGGAGGCTGTGGCGTCCATGGGCATGGCCATAACCACGGTCACGGCCAAGGCCACGGCCACGCCGGTCTAGTCCGACACACCACCCCTTCTGAAAACCCCAAGTCCAACGATCCCAGCTTAGGTCCCAGCCGCCGCCACCGCGAGTCTCCTTACCCGATGCTCTCCGTCTCCGAAGCGCTCTCCCAAATAGCGCAACACACGCCGATCCCGCAAATCGTCACCTCCAAAGTCGATAGCTCGCTCATCGGCGCCGTTCTGGCGCAGGACGTTTCGGCGCGCGAAAATGTGCCCGCTTTTCGCGCTAGCATCGTCGACGGCTATGCCGTAGTCGTGCCCCAAGACGGGAACATGCGCGGCGTGTTCCCCGTCGTGTCGGTTTCGCATGCCGCTCCTGGAGATGGGGAAAACATGCCGACGCTCAAAGAGGGCGAGATCGCCCGGATCACCACGGGTGCGCCCCTACCTCCGGGTGCGACATCGGTTATAATGGTGGAGGATACGGTGTTGGTGTCGACGACGTCATCCAAGACGCAGGATGCGGAGGATGGAAATGGAGTGGAGGAGGAGAAGGAGGTGGAGATTTTAGCAGCTGATAAAGTTCGCGAAGGCGAAAATGTTAGAGAGGTGGGAAGTGATATTAAGCAGGGGCAACTGATTCTGGGCAAGGGAGATCAGGTGTCTGCTGTGGGTGGTGAGATTGGTCTGTTGGCCGCCGTGGGTGTGGGTGAGGTGCAGGTGTACCGACGTCCTGTTGTTGGAGTTTTATCTACGGGTGATGAGATTGTGGATCATGATCGCCCGGGAGACTTGCGGCTGGGCGAGGTGCGCGATACGAACCGGCCAACTCTCATTTCGGCGGCGAGAGATTGGGGGTATGAGGTGATTGATCTTGGAGTGGCGCGGGACAAGGCCGGGACTTTGGAGGAGACGCTGCGGCAAGCGTTGAGGCAGGTTGACGTGGTGATCACGACCGGCGGAGTGTCCATGGGTGAGCTGGATCTCCTCAAGCCGACAATAGAGCGTTCGCTGGGCGGAACAATTCACTTTGGTCGGGTGGCAATGAAGCCCGGCAAGCCTACCACGTTTGCTACCGTTCCGGTAAAGGATAACGACGGAGAGAGAGTTTCCAAGGTAATCTTCTCGCTACCAGGTAACCCGGCATCGGCTTTGGTTACTTTTCACTTGTTTGTACTGCCCTCTCTGCACCAAATGTCGGGCATCTCACCACCTGGCTTGCCAAAGGTGCCTGTGACACTGGGCCATGACTTCTCCCTCGATAGATCTAGACCCGAGTACCATCGGGCCATTGTCTCCGTTAGCAGGGACGGAGTGCTCACCGCGGTCAGCACAGGAGGACAGAGAAGCTCGCGGGTGGGAAGTATGAAGGGGGCCAACGCGCTTCTCTGCATGCCTTGCGGACCAGAGCCGTTGCGCAAGGGTGCCAAGGTGGAAGCGTTGCTCATGGGCGGTTTACGCAGTGATGTGTAAGTGATGATAGAACATGATACAATACAGACAAGGGTCACAGCCCCAGGCAAAGGGACATTTTGATGGACTCCCTCCATAACGATACTGACCTCTTTTTTTCATTTTTGTACGAAAAGGATTTAGAAAAACTTCTACCCTCGTGTCTGTTCATGTGCGATGATGCCGACCGCGCCCTAATCGTTTAGCCATGCGAATGCCTCTTCCAATAAACGCCGTTAACAATGTGACCTTGACTTAGACACGCCCGCTAGCTAGCGCCAAAAAGGCTGCTGGTTCGCTAGCAGCCTGAGGAAGTTGTTTGTTGTGTGTTGTTGTTGTTGTTGTTGCATATCAAGATGCATGAGAAAAAAGAAAGCAAGGGAGCTTCTTCTTCTCCTTTATAGCTTCATGTTCTACTGTGCGCCGAAATCGGGGGCCTTGCCGGAAACCAGCAGGCCGACAATGAGGCCGAAGAGACCCAAAACGGAGCTGAAGATTTCAATAACCAGAATTTTCACGAAGCTGTTATAGACAAGGACACGTTAGTAACATGACTCGACAACCTCTTTATCCGGATCGCGACAGCAAGCTTACAGCGTAGGGTCAGCAGCATCCGCCAACGCAGCACCACTGCCATTGATACCGACGGCAACACCGCACACCAGGTTGCACATGCCAACAGTCAGGCCGGCCCAGAAGAGCGCAAAGCCCGTGTAGTAGCTGTCACCCGAGTAGTATTGTGCGCCGGTGACGGGTTGGAGCTTGGCCGAGAACACGATGGCCATGATGACGCCGTAGATGGCGACGACCTCGCAGAAGATGATAGAGATTAGGTTCTTTGTCCGGATTCGTGGTGCCTTAACACCTCCACCGAGAATGGAGGAACCGGTGATGAAGATGCCCCTGTTCCGTAGATCAACCCGGCGGTTAGCCCAACTCTAGCTGGCTGTAGCGGACGCCGTGCGGCGCAGGGGGAAGGGTGTAGCCTTTTCCCTAACGTACCATGCCGCGCCCACCACGGAAAGACCTATGCAAAGCGCAATACCCAGATCCGCCCAGGCGTATGGTGATACCGATTCGAGGAAAGCTCCGACCTATTCAAAACCCATGCGTGTCAGAGGATGACGTCGAGTGGAGTGGGTGATGTTGGAAACTTGGTGAAGCCTACATTGAAGGCCTCGCCGCTGCCGGTAAAGAGCATATCTGCGAGAATTTGTTAGCCGTCATATTTTGAAAGTAATACAGGCGCGCATAGTATTGATGTCAGTGCTGAATTGGACTAGGCTGGACCGGCTGGCTGGGGATGCAGCCATTTCCAAGATGCCATATACTCACAAGCTCCAATGACGGCCAGAGACGTCCCTATGCCACCGGCGCCGTACGTCAAGCTCATGTTTGAGGGTGTGTGGTGTTTGTCGAGCGATATGAAGGATTGGGATTTCGAAAGAATCTGACTGAGTCCCGGTGCGACCTTCTTGGAGCTAGCCGTCGTCGTCGTCGTCGTTGTTATCGTCGTTTAGGTGCTAGCCGGGAACCTCGATGTTCATGCCGCTGGAGTGGATGGTGGATTGATCAGGACGGGTAACGCGCCAATTCGCTACGTACCTTCCACCACTTGGTTTCATCCCAGGCGCTGTGGTCCAGTGACGGCGGCCTACCAGAGTGTGCCTTGCCAGCCTGCCAGCCACCCGTGCCACCGCGACAGCGCTATAACTTCAGGCCACACGTGACTGATGACGCTGCCTACGCCTTCTGCTGACTCAGCCGGCCACCTATTGTCCCCTTCCTCGTCTCCTTCTCCCAGACTATTTAAGCCAACCCTCACCTTTCCATCAACAAACAACAATCTATCTTCGCCGTCGCCGCCCCGAACGTTGCCGTGCATCTCAAGTAAATCGAATCAAGAAGAAAAGATGGCGGCTAACGGGAACACCAACTATTACGATTTGTATCGCCATGGCAGGTACATATTGCCAGTCTCACGGTGGCCCTTTGCAGGGCCCTTGGGGCGCTGAATACGCTTTCGGATTATAGAGGACAATCTGTATGCTAATCCTTTTCAGTCTTGGGTCGACCCTGACCGATGCACTTGACGACCTCATTGGGGCCGAACGCATCGATCCTCAGCTCGCCATGAAGGTTCTTATGCAGTTCGATCGAGTTATCACTGAGGCTCTCAGTGAGAAAGTCAAGGCCCGTTTGACCTTCAAGGTGAATATCTTGCTTTCCTGGATCTTACATGACCCGTAGATACTCCCTCTTGTCTCCAAGGTCATACCAAGAGACATCGCTTGTCCCAACCACACGTGCGCTCTGGACATAAACATACAGAATCAATACATCATCTAATACACACCCTTTCCGTTCCTGTGTTCATGACACTGTGTCACGAAGGAAAATGGTTCGCTAACTATTGCTGGCATTTGCCGGCGAGCAACATACAGGGATCTCTTGACACCTATCGCTTTTGCGACGAGGTCTGGACTTTCCTCATCAAGAACGTCACCTTCAAGATGGATGGCGGTCAGTCTGTCGTTACGGCGGACAAGGTCAAGATTGTGAGCTGCAGCGCAAAGCGCAGTGACGAGAAGTAGAACCGAGACGATCGAGAACAGTTCAAGACGGAGAAGCCGACCAGCCCATGCCGCGTCAAAACCGGAACTTTACTTCAAAAAGTACCCCTATCTCCAGGCCCAAAGGGTGGCACTTTTGATTATCCCGTCAAGAAGAAGCATCGAGGATGGGGTAATCATTGCACAGCACGCAGTATAACCACGCTCTTGGAGACGGGCGAGCTTCTCGAGAGTGAGTCGAAGGTAACTTTCCAACGACACCAACGGCTTGGTTGCGAGATGCACTTAGCTTACGCTATTGTTCCTTCATCTCGATGTCGCCATATCCAGGGTGATGTTGGTCGAGGAATCCTAGTCAGACGCCAATTTCCCGTCTGTTAACTAAGAAGCGGCATACTCGTACAGTTGAGGAGTATCATAGACGACATCGATTGCTGAAGGGAGCCGAGGTAATTGACGACAGATATAGCCAACGTCTCGAGGGAACCTAATACAATGACGCTTGTATATGTGCTGCTGTCCTCGATGCCATCGAGGAGTGGTAGCCACTAACGTACAGCATGTTGAGATATGACAATCCGGGCAGATCAATCGGTCGTCTTCGGTCTCAATTATTAGATAGATGCCCGTGGCTGGGTTCCGGTCCCTGATAGGTCGAATAATATGGCATTCCGGGCAAGTAAACTTGTCGTTGTCGCCATGTGGATGTTGCTGTGCCTGCGCCTGTGTCTGTTGACTAGGGGGTAGACTCTTGTAGACTGGGATGTCTCCGAATAATCAACTTTTGCTAATAAAGGGGTGGGTGTAATGCTTTGTCCTCTCTGCGCTTTCGATGACGATATTCGCCTTGAATCTGGTCTCTGTATCGACGGGCTTCAAGGGTCCCTTGGTCATCTTATGAATGTCATTCACCGAGCTTGTACCTTGGGGTATCCTGTCTAGTACGGGTGCCTAGTTCCTTGGTTACTTGGAAGTGAGGAGATTAATAGTGTTCGAATTGAATGGGCGGAGGGGGCTGGGGTGGTAGGTGACGAAGTGATGAATGCCGAGGTGGGACTTGGACTAGACCTTCAGGCGCCACATTGACTGCCGATATTCTTCGAGTAACTCAAATCACAGGACGATCTGGGTTCGGACCAGCTCTCTAAGCCGGCTGGGGTTGGACTGCTGCACTGACATTTTCTGGCTTCGAAATGTTGCCGAGTCACAGACTAGAGGTCCAAATTGGCCTCTCTGCTGCAGTTGAGCCTACAATAACTCTTGTGTTGAGACGTTGACATCTTGGCTGCCAAAACGTTCATGACGCCGGAGGGGCGTCGCATTTTACCATTTAACTACCTACTGGAATCTCTTTTGCAGACAAAATGCTTGTATCGGTTAACTTTTTTACATGTGCCACACTTCCGAGTCGTTCCCTCCATTTTGAATGAATAACTGAGTGATGCAATGACTGAGTGATTGCACTGAATGATCGTTGCAGAATTGTGGTTATGTATCGAATGGAAACGAAAAGCCAAAGAGGCAGGAAAAGATGCTGACCCAGAAAAGCTCCAGATGCGTGGGGGCTTTAAATGTACTGAACGCTTTTGAATTAATGTGGGTGGCAACGTCTCCTGCCTTTTGTTAACAACGCAAGCGTCATTCTTCCTCAGCCTCAACTTGCTCGTTTTGTCGAGACGCTGGTCGCCTTCGTTGATGTGACTGGAGCTCCGTAGAGCGAATCGAGGTCACTCAGCTTGAGTCTTCGATGCAATGGAAGTCACAACGTTAGCAGAAGAACATATAGATTACAAAGAAGGGAGGTAAACCAAGCTTTGTGGCTATCTCCTCAACCATGCATTGTGTACTCAACCATTCAGGATTGATTAAGTCGTCCACAGAAACCTCGAGAAACGGGACCGAGTACTGAAACTCAGACGAAGATGGGTACAGTAGCCGTGGTCGTTGGTTCCTGCAAAAACCACTTGCGCCGTAGCTGACAACGTGAACTGGCCGAGCGATGATGTACCGTCGCGATAACGGATGGTCGAAGAACGAACTTTGTAAACTAAAAGAGTTAGATAGGGGGCGGCGAAAGGAAGGCAAGGGAGGAGAGCGGAACGCACTCCTTGAGTAACAGAGAAGTAAGCTCGCCGGCTCATTGGCCAATGCGTTCTGCCTGGCGCTGCACAATATTCTGACACGCTTTTCTGTAAGGAAGATATTAGTAGTTGAAACGTAAGGAGGGGAGATGCGAACAGGGGAACTAACTCGTTCGTGCGTTTGCTTTGCTGTAGTGGCGAGTGCCTGTTGTCGAAGGGTCAATAGTTAAGGTTAAGCTGCTGTTCTGGGATGGTGTTGAAGTAGAAAGATAATTAATATCAGGCATTGAAGTTGCTGTCAAATGCAACATTGTACGTAAGTATATTTAATTCAAGACGAGATAGTCTCAAAACCAAGAGTTGGTGGAGGCCAAACTCTTATGCCCTTCTAGACAGGTAGCTGGGAGGCCGCCGACAAGAGCTAGAAATTCCTACTGCCCCATATGGCACGTTTATCGTCGTCGTAATTACCTGCTCTGAAGTGGTGAAAGGTAGTGTTAAGAAGGAATGTGGGATGATTTGGAGTGACGGTTGCGGGCTGTGATGGGCGAGGTGGTGTATACACTTGCTTGATGTTTTCAGGCAGTACGAGGCAAACATGGGGTTCTCACAATAGCAGTGTTCAGCATGCATCATGAAGGTGGTGTATTATTGGAAGCGAAGGGTCCCTTCAGAGTTCAGATCCAGGGGTTTCTTGACTTCAGTTCCAGACACATATTCCCGTTATACAGTTTGATCTCTGACCACATGAACGCCGTAAACATGAATTGAAGGCAAGATGAAGCTTCGAAAGACCTGTTTCCGTGGACGGGAAAAAAGACTATTAGAACAATGAACTGGTGATCGTCGTAGTCGCGTCGACACGATGTTGTTGTGTTTGGAGTTGACTGGAGGGAGAATATTACTGTGGAAAACAATTGAACTGAAAGGGAATAATAAAGTGGAGGACTAAATCTAGCCTAACCCAATCAACCTGTCGTGGGGCTGATGCCCGTGGCTGAATGTGCCTGGCAGACTTCAAGTTGCCAGGCGAGCCCCCCGCTGGTGCGGCACGGTGCAGCCAACCAGGCGCCAGGTTGCCCTGCCGGCAACAGTCTCTAGCCCGTGCATGCCCCCACTCCCCCCCCTTCCTTAGTTCTGCAAGATGTCCATCTCGCCCTGGACAAAATAACTGAGACCTTTGACATCATCCCTTGGCCCCCTTGGGTATACTATTCCTACTACGCATCCAAGCGTCTTTGTAACACCTCTAGTCTCAAGTTCTAGTCAATTCCTGGATAAAAAAAATATGCAAATGGGACTCTAGCCGATGTCTTTGCGAATTGTTGTAATACCGATCACAGTCTTGCAACGGCCTTTTCTTTAACCTTGACGCGCGGTAGTGGACTGTTTTACCTAACCTGTTGGTTCGTCACATTTATTGTGTCTCGGACGAGCTCATTCATTGCAAGAAAACGACCCGAAGAAATCGACTGTGTGGAACCTAAATCGGGGGGACGCTATCCCGGCCCAAATTTCCCACCCCGAGCATTTAGCTCAGCATGTATGTCTCCCAAGACATCAGTACTTGGCAATGCATTCCAATTTCCGTACTCTCCACCAATAAAATCAAAAACCGTTTTATCTCTTCAACTCAAACCGAGGGGAAGACTACGTGCAAGGAAAAACATGGATTCCGCTCAACGAGTGCAGACAGACGAGGACGAACGCCGGCCGTTGTTAGATGGTCGCGGTCGGGCGGAAGGGTTCAAGTCTGCTGCTGCTGCTGCTGCTGGAGAACCGGCAAAGACGACTTGGGCAGGCCGGAATCAGTGGATTGTGCTTGCTATGGCTAGTGGAGCGTGTGCTGCGTTCAATGGAGCTTTTGCGAAGCTGTAAGTTTGCAGTTCGTTGAAATTATGGTTGACCATGGTCGGGATGATGACTTGAAGAAGAGGCTAATGAATACTTGACTAGGACAACGACGGAACTCACTTCGAACTTCTCTCAGGCTATTGCTAGGCTGCTGCATCTTTCCGAGGAAGAGAAGGTGATTGAGGTTGTTGTGAGAGGTGTAAGTCAATATGCCCGCCGTTTATGTTATGCTGATCTGCTTGAGAGACAATGAAGGCTGACCTGATAACTTTCATGATAGGTCTTCTTTGGACTCAATCTCCTCTTTAATGGTGTCGTAAGTCAACTGCCTTGCCACAAGCTCCTCTTCTGTTTATCTCACCCTTACTCACCTCTTCTTATTCTCACAGATGTGGACGCTCTTTACCAAAGCCCTCAAGTGTGGTCTTTCCACTACGCAGGTCTCCATCATGAACACGTCATCTAACTTTGTCATCACCGCCATGCTCGGTTTTGTCATCTTTTCTGAGGCGTTACCACCTATGTGGTGGGTGGGCGCTGCTATGCTGGTTGCGGGGAACGTAATAATCGGACGGAAAGACGAGGGCGAAGGTCAAGGGAGTAGTGACACAAAACAGGATGGAGATGGACATAGTACTGGCAATGGTATTGGCAACAATGATGCTGCTTCCGTCGGTGGATCGACGGAAGGTTTGGCTGAGGGTGGGCTGGGGACATACAGGCGTGCTGTCCAGGCTGAAGGGTCGGGGAGTCGTGGAAGACAAGGCGATGGAACACCGGCGGTGGATGATGCGGAAAAGGAGGACAGTGATGAGGATGTTGCATAACTGGGTGGTGGAGCAACTGGTAACGGATGGTGAGAGTTCAGTGTATAGAATTGTTACTTTCTGGCAGATCTCCTCAGCAGATATCGATTTGGATTTATCTTGTGTCAATGGAATGCTCTTCAATTTTGCTATGTTGAGTGGTATGGTGCTTCTTGTGTGATGGTAGAGTCCAAGCGCAGTTTAATCTATCAGAGGAACTTCAAATTCTGAATTCAAGGTGAAACGCAATCCAACATGGCTCGCAAAGGCGTATATTCTCTGAAGTATGATTTCCAGTCCCTCATGATGAACCTTGGGGGGGAGTCTCGAAAGCCTGGTGCCGTAAGGAGTGTATAGAGCGTGTGTTCGACCGACGCCCCTGCGTCCCGGCCCCGCAAAGCGCTAAAACGAAAACCCCACAATTGCTTGCAGGGATCTCAAAAGCGCCGTTCCACTTCCGTTTTTAGTGTAGCTCCATCTTAGTGCGGGGCAAGATTTTCTACCCAAAAACTTTGACAGAAAGCCTTCATGTTTGTGTGGGTGGTTTTTGCAACAGCAAACTGAACATCCGCAAAACTCGGTTGCGTATGTGGTAGCCTCTCCCTTCCAGGGAAACCAACAACGCCAGACCAGTCATGCCTTTCGAAATACCAGGTCTGAACCCGGCGGCCGTCGCCGAGGTTGCTCGCTGTATGTCATTCCATCTCGAAATATTTTTTGCCTTCTCTTGGGTCTCGTGCCTGCGCGCGCACAAGTGGATGGTGTTGGCGTGACACCGGAGTTGCATTGGTTCGCCGAAGCTAATTGTACTCTCTGCGCCGGCCCATATCAGATGCCGTGGAACTGTGGCACGAACACCGGATCCCAATCCTACTTTCGGCCGTTTTTCTATTGGGTCTACTGAGAGCCTACCTCCATCTACATTCGGAACCGAGACAAGAGCTACTCGTCCTGCCCAAGATCTACGAAACCAACGAGAAAACGAAGGAAACTGCGCCTGTTGAGACGGAAGTCGAGGACAAGAAGACTGGCGCGGCAACCACAAAGAAGGCGAAGACTGCCAATGGTGGTCCAAAGAGAATAAAGGGCGACAAGGTCCGCACGAAGAAGGGAACCAATGGCAACGACAGCGGTAGCGGAAGCGAAGGGCCGCGGAAGATTCAGGTCCTCGTCTTTTACTCGTCACTCACAGGCAATACGGAACGGTACACCAAGGATTTTGCAAAGGAGCTCGGAGACTTGCTCGTTGGTCAATCGGACGCCGAAAGCAAAGCCGAGAGCAACTTTTTGGCCCCCCAGGTCCTCGACCTTGCCGAGATCGACTTTGACGAATATTTCCTTTCACCTATGAAAGGTCCCGTGGACTATTTTTACTGCTTGATCATTCCCAGTTACAATATTGACTCCATCAACGACACCTTCCTTGCGCATCTGGACGAGACACATAACGATTTTCGCATCGATACATCCCCATTGGCGCCGCTTATTGGATACTCAGTGTTTGGGTATGGCGATAGAGATGGATGGCCTACGGAGGAGGAGGGCTACTGCGTGCAGGCTAAGCAGGTGGACAGGTGGATGGCCAAGCTTACAGGGCGTAAGCGCGCATTCCCACTCGGCATGGGCGACTACAAGCGAGATGGTAAGGAGAGACTGTCTGAATGGCAAAACGGAATCGTGGACGTTCTCAAAATGATCGAGCAGACTGGAAGTCTTGGAGAGGGCGTTCCCGGTTCTGGCGACCCCTTCGAAAGCGACGAAGAAGATATCGCGGAGGATGACGGTGAGGTTGTGTACGAGGAGTCCGAGTCCAAGAAGACCCTCGAAGATGTCGAGGATTTGGGACGCATCATCAAACAATCACAGGGAGATGGTCAAGCCGCGCCGATTGCGATCGACTTTACCGACTTTGGAAAGACCGGAAAGACCGTTCACGCAAGGAAGTCAGCGACTGTTACCGTGAAGGAGATGGTCCCGAAAAACTCACCAACCTATACATCCTTGACTAAGCAAGGTTATAGTATTGTCGGCTCTCACAGCGGGGTGAAGGTAAAGTAATACCCTAATTACAAAGTCTATCAGCGAGGCTAACCCTAACCCTGGATAGATTTGCAGATGGGTGAAGAGCGCTTTGAGAGGGAAAGGGTCATGTTATAAAGTAAGATTTACACTATGGTTGTGTATCGAGTCGAGATCTAACTTAACCACTGAGTAGTATTCTTTCTACAACATTGTTTCTTATAGATGCATGGAAATGACGCCCTCGCTCTCCTGCTCCAACAAGTGCGTCTTCTGCTGGCGTCACGGCACCAACCCAGTCGGCACCTCCTGGCGCTGGGTCGTCGACCCTCCAGACCTCATATTCAACGGCATCAAGGAGAATCACTACAAGAAAATCAAGATGATGCGTGGCGTACCAGGCGTCATCTCTTCGAGATTTACAGAAGCTTTGCGTATCCGGCACTGCGCCCTTTCGCTGGTTGGCGAGCCCATCTTCTACCCGTACATCAACGAACTTTTGGGCATGCTGCACAAGGAGCGCATCTCCTCCTTTCTGGTCTGCAACGCCCAGCACCCGGACCAGCTCGCCGCTTTGCAGCACGTCACGCAGCTGTACGTCAGCATCGACGCCTCCAACAAGGAAAGTCTCCGCCGCATTGACCGCCCGCTGCACCGTGACTTCTGGGAGCGCTTCCAGCGCTGCCTCGACATCCTGCGCGAGCGCCGGTTCCGTCAGCGTACCGTCTTCCGCCTGACGCTGGTCAAGGACTTCAACATTGAGGACGAGATCGAGGGGTACGCGGACCTGGTCGAGCGGGCCCTTCCTTGCTTTATCGAGCTAAAAGGCGTGACTTATTGCGGTACCTCCACTGCCGGCGCTGCCGGGCTCACAATGGCCAACGTCCCCTTTTACCAGGAGGTGTGCGACTTTGTAGTTAAGTTGAACGACGCGCTGAACAAGCGCGGGTTGGGGTACGGGATAGCAGCCGAACACGCGCACAGTTGCTGTGTTTTGCTGGCTAGCGACCGGTTCAAGGTTGACGGAAAGTACCATACTCTTATTGATTACGAGAAATTCTTCGATCTCTTGGAGGAAAGGGGCCCAGATGGCGATTTTGGCCCGGCGGACTACATGGGAGCTGCGACGCCCGAGTGGGCGACCTGGGGCAATGGCGGGTTTGATCCCAGAGATCAGAGGGTGGATAGGAAGGGTCGACCGATTGAGAGACCATAGAGATGGGGATGAGCATGGTAAGCAAGAATGTACAAGTATTCAGGGGTAAATAACGTACATACCCAACTCATGATGTAAAATGATCTTGCTGATTTGTTTTTTTTATCCACACTCCAACTCTGGTCTGATTGTTAGCTTGATACTGGGTAGAAGGTACTCCTGATAGCGTACAATACCGTATAGTCCCAAAGCTCACGTGGACAAATTGAGTGGCTAAGCATGACAAAAGGCATTAACCTGATTCAATATAACATTTTGAATATCAGAAATAGCGTATTCGAGGTAGGGTCACGCATTGATTAGCCATAAAAACGCAGAGAAAAGTTGACACGAGGTCTTGAGCTAACAAACAAACTGGTACTGGACTGTAGTGGGAAGATTGGCAATACGTTTCTTACGTTCTTGTCTCATTAAGCACCCCTGAAGTGGCCTGCAGACCTCGTACCTGCCTGTCCCGTTTGCGCATGCTGAAATCACCGTCCGTTTTCCTGATAGGACCCAATTTTCGCTATGTACATGATGCTACAGGATAAAATAGGAGACGCACCACTATCCCGCGCATCTCCGGAACATGAACAGAACAGAACAGAAATATTGTACAAGGTGGTAGGTAGATAGTTCGGGTGAGCGTTCGACCCTCAAACGCTCGGTCGAGATACCAACCAGCCAATGAGGGAGGGAGTATGGTGCTCGTAAACCTGCTGACCGGTTGGGAGTTCAGGAGTGGTGATGTGAGAGAGCAATACTGCCCGGGGAGAGAAAGCCAAAGTGCGGTGCAAAAGGACGTGCGTGAAAGGGGAGTTATGTGTCAGACAAGCAAAGGACCGCTAGCCTCCCCTTTTTCTTCTAGCTGGCTGGGTATAAATCGATCCGGGGTCGTCTGTTGGAATGCTCGTCCTGTTTCCACTATTCCTAACTTTCTTCCTTTCGTCCACAAAAGCCATCGTTGGTGCGTCACGCGCCGTTTTCCCAACAACCGTAACCACCCAATTCCCCTAACCCCCTTGAGGGACTGCGAGGGGAACCACCGCAACGTCAACTGACAACCCCCGGACGTTTATTTTCTTGGCAGGTGGACTATTGTTGTCACTCTCCCTAGCGTTATGCTTCTTGCTGTATTTGGTGGACTCGTTTAGTCGAGGCCAACACCGGGGGCGGAGGCCATCTCGCGCATGAGCTCGGCAACGTCGACGCCGCCGGTGTAGTTGGTGCCAATTTTGAGGCTGGGGTCGTAAGCGATCATCTCGGCGAGGATGTCGAGGATGGGCTAGTGTTTGTCGGGTCAGTAAACATTCCACCCGTGCTATGCGGCGTGTTCCTCTTACCTTGGCAACGGTCTTGTCGTAGATGCTGATAAGGTCGCCGGGCGTGGGGTAGACCTTGAGGGCCTTGTAGAAAGCGAGGGAGGCATCGATGGCCTTGGTGGCTGTTACGAATGGAGTGTTAGTAGCCGACACATGTCCCGGAAGTTCCGTTCCTTCTTCTCGCTTGGTTGGCAAAACACTTACGATCCTGGCCCAAGATCTCACCAGCCTGGACCTGCTCGAGGAAGTAGGCCTCCTTCTCGTCCGAAGTGGTAGGGAAGCCCTCCTCCTTGGCCTCATCAACCATTTGCCTGATTCGTTGTCTCTGGGCCTGCTGGCTCAGCTCGGCGTATTCCTTCTCCTGACGAGCCTGTCGCCTGGCGCTGCGCCTGAGTTGTCTCCTGAACTCGGGGTCATTGCGCCTCTTGTAGTCGAAGTAGACGGCGTAGGCTGGAAGGTAGGGGAGCGCAAGGCATCAGCGACAAATGGTTACATCTCGAGAAAGTGGTGACGTTGTGATCCAAGTGCAGACTAACCGAGGAAACCCGTGGCGACGGCCGCAACGGCAGCGGTGGTGTAGGTGACGGCTTGCGACGGCATCTTGTTGGCTCGTTGTGTGGTGATGGTGGATGCGGGGGAGAGTCGAGAGAGAAGAATTATAATGGTAGGGAAAGATGCGATGGATATTGAGCCTCTCGATTTCTCAGTACTACCGGAAAGACTGCTGCAAGTGGGGGGTCAGTATATGACACTGGCTCCACGGGAAGGTTCACAAGCAATGGACATCAACAGCACTCCCGAAGATTGGATGGTTAAAGGTAATAAGCTTGCAGGTCAAGACATTGCACATACCGTAATTATCGTACCCGTACACTACACGAACAGTTGTTCTTGAGATTCAAGTTGTCCCAGCTTGGATTTCTTCAACACGCCCTGATCCGGTTATCGATTTGATATTTTTTTCCAAACTGCACTCCGCGTTACCGACAAGCTCACGGGCCAATGACGCTAGCAAGGACTTGAACAGTGGTGCACGAGCCAATGGCTTTCCACGGCGCTGTCAACGACGGCCGGGGTTACAGAAGGGACGTTCCACGGCCAGGTACATACGTACAGGTACCCGCTATCCAGGGGGTGTGTCCATCCGGACTGCGGAGACGTTTCCCCATTGCCATCATCAGCCTGGAGGTTGTCACTTGCTGCCTCCATGTCACTTTTGAAGCTATCAACAACCACAGTCAATAATCTGGTGGCGTGTTGTTCCGCGACCCTCTGCCCTCCCACTCGCTGACACCTCGCCAGTACCTGTATGCAGCAGCGTGTTTAGCCGTGCGATAGCTCCGACGACACAACAGCGACAACCTGACCTCTTCCTTCGAGTCTCATGTTCCGAGCGGGCGATTAAGGACTAGCGACCACCATCATGTCTGAAGAACGATCCAAGATATCGCTGAGAAGCGGCGGCAAGCGGAAGAACCGCCCAACCATCAGCGCTCCCAGGCAGATTTCGGCTCCGATACCACAAGACAATGGCATGCCTCAACCCCCTCCGGAGGCTACAATGGCCGACGAACCACGCATGACGCGACCACGGCCTCCGCCCCCGGGCGGCAAGGTAAGGGGAGCTCTCTCTCATCAGCAACGCCAATGGCTGGAGTCTTGAGGCTAACACGTGAATCTGTTATTCCCAATAGACATCAGATTTGGTTAAGAAGCGGTATTCGACTCGCTTCGGTAATATGCCAACCGACTTTGACCCGTCTTCGAATCCGATGCCTGCTCTTCCGGACCTCGAAAAGTACATGCAAGCCCAGGTCGGCTCCCCGCCATCTAGAGGAGGAGATGCCGGAGGACTTGGACCCATGGGAAGGGAACCACCTAGGGTGGACATACGGACCCTGAGAGACCCTAACTTTGCTCCCGAGCAGTGTACGTCATGGGGGTTGGACAAGGATAGGGGTCACGGATCGGTTTGCTGACTTGCTACTAGATGTGGCCGAGGTTCTCGGTGAAGCGACCGAAGACGAGATACGGGACTACGAGGATGCCCTGAAACAGCTCAAGGCTCGAGCAGCTGCCGACCTTCAGCAAAATGTCTACCAGAACCGCACGCAGTTTATCAAGATCAGCAAGGAGGCCGAGAAGCTCAAGGGGGAGATGCGCACTCTCCGCAACCTCATGTTGGAACTCAAGACGAACACTACCGCCCTTCGAGCTTCCTCCAACAGTGCCGATAGTTCAGGGAGTTTGGGACCCGAGTTTTCGACAGGATTGAGCAAGAGAGACAGGCGAAGCTCCATCACTGACCGAACTGCCTTATGGAGCGCTCAGATGCAAGTTAGTATTACCTTCAAACTCGATTTCACTCGTATCCTTGCTAAACATATCGATAGGCTCTATACAAAAGTGTCGAAGGATCACAAAAGTTCTTACCCAATTCACAAGGCCGCCATGTTGTTCAAAATGCAGGCCCATGGATTGAACTAGATAACGCCACCTACAAGTCGAGGCGCTCCATGCAAATCTTTTTGCTCAACGACCACTTGCTGATTGCGTCGCGCAAGAAGAGAAAAATCGACGGTCCTGGAGCGGATGCACGGGGCCCCATGACAAAGCTCGTTGCTGACCGTTGCTGGCATCTCTTGGACGTTGAAGTTGTTGACATGGCTGGAACCGGAGACTCGTCAAATGGCCGTAATAAGCTTGCTGATGCGATTATGGTCAGAGGTGGCGGTCAGAACGAGTCCTTCATTTACAGAACCGAGAAGCCCGAGGACCCCGAGAAGACAACCTTGATTCTAAATATCCGCAAGACGGTGGAGGAACTACGCAGGAACCTTCAATCAGAACGAGATGCGACAAATAAGGCAAAAGAAACGATCAACTACTTTGCCTCACGCGATCCGGGCCTGCTCCAAAAGACAGAGCTTCTGGAGACTCTTTCCGATATCAAGGATATGCTCATCGAGGTCGATGGGAAACAACAAAACCTACGTTGGGTGGAGAGCCAAATGGACGAACTGGACATCAACATTGCCCTTCAGCAAATCGAGCCAGCCGTTGCACGAATCGAGATGTTGAAAAACCTCGCCTCCGGTCTGAAGAACAACATGATCGCACAGGACTTTATCTCGTTCAAAGTGGATGAGAGATGCGCCAGGCTTGCGACTCTGGTTGTCCGTGAGCTCGTGAACAGCCATAATGACCAGAAAAAGACTAAAAGGAACGTGACATGGTTGGTCAGGTTGGGATTTGAGGATAGAGCGCGGGAAGCCTACCTCGAGGCCCGAAGTGAGGTCATTCAAAAGCGATCAAGGTATGTTTGCACCAACCAGTTGGGCTTTTAACTCTGTTAGGATTGGACTGACGCCTAGTAGGCAATGCATATTCCAGGGAGATCTGCACCTGTATATCTGGGAGATTTCATTCGTTTACTTTATGGTCATACGGAATACGGTCATTTGCTTTCAGAGTTGCTTCCCACCACCTATGATGAGTGCCTGCGTGAAGTGGGCCAAGGAGGAAGTCGACGCCTTCAACGTCATCCTAGCTAGACAGCTCAGCAGTGCGGAGGAGGGCGGCGAGGTATGGACCGAGTGTGTGAACAGGGCAAAGGAGCACGCGAGCATGCTCTCTGACGTTGGACTTGACTTTCGGAACCTGGTTGGGCGGAATGTTGGTACATCTACTACAGTGCCTGGTGGCGCTTCGGTTGGGCTGGGTCTGTCCTGAGCTGTGATGAACCCAAGTCGCAAAGACAGAGGATCTACTGAAGTGATATTGGAGAAATATATAAAGAGCAAATTAAAGTAATGATAGTATATCAATGATGAGGCAAGTGTGGGCATTGATTGGTACGGATTCGGGGCCAACAGCGGAACGTGCCGTCAGAGCACGGTATTCGGACAGACGAGAATGAGGTTTCACGTCATTTCTGATATATGTAGGGCAGCGATTCATTACAAATACTTGCGGTCGTTCCCCGGATGAGATGCATGCCATATGCCATTGTTCATGATTGATGATAAAAGTTCCCTAAATTATGTTGGGCTTAAGACTTTCCGTGCCTTTCGTCTTGAAAGCGAGCGTGCCCCTTGCCCCTCCCTAGTCTACCTCACAGGAGGTACCTTGGCTCGATAGATTCGTGGAGAAGTACACGCGAGGCAGGGACGCTAGCGGGGATTCCAGCTGCTGACATTGGGCGCAGGGCCGGCTTCTGTGTGACTGTGACTGTGTGTCTAGCTCGCGCAAGCCAAATGACGGAAGCCACCTGGGCCAGGCTTAGGCCCCGACTTTCCTCCCCCAAATCCCGTCCTTCAACCTCCCAGCTTTGACCTGAACTCACCCCGGCAATTTCACCAGCACAGCGCCAGCAGGGTCGAGCGGGTCTCCATTGTGTAGGTTAGGTAGGTACCTACAAACCTGCTAACAACCTCAAGGAGCCAGAGGGGAGGGAACGTTTGACCAACTTCCTTTACAAGGGCGCGCAATCTCTCAGCTGCTGCCGCCGCCCCAGCCCACTTTGTTTGCGTGGTTACTACTGCACCACCCACCCACCTACGGCCACCTCCACCCACCACCACTCGGTCTCCAACTCCTACCTTACAGCCCAGTCACCACGACAAACCGCTACCTCTACCTAGCAACCTCACACACGAAAAAAGGGACAATATCACGCGAAACGTCACGACGACTTTGTCTTCCATTGCGTCCCAGTATACCCCATTTGCCGAGATAGGATATCTCTCACGGCGACGGCCAGCCCTTAGACGCCCAGCGCCGTCTTTGATTCAGTGACAAAGGTCAACCTGGAGCATCAGCTACCACTCACCAGTTCCCGTCCATCTTCACCCCCTTGCGGTCCAAAAGGAGAACACGGGAGGCGACTCTTTCTGCCTTGCCCTGCAACCCAGCTCACCCTCCACCTGCCCAATTTCGAGCTGCTGCTTGACCCGCGCCGCGCCCGAGAGATTACAACGTCATTGCATTCAACGCCATCACCGCCCGCTACATCGACGACATCCTGATCACCTTCTTATCGCCCACAACCGCCCGAACCTAACCCCGCAATAGCCTCTCCAACAGCCTCCAGCAAGCCCAATTACCCACCAACATGGATACGAATATGGAGGATGTCGGGCGCGTTCCCGCCGAGCTTACCTCGTCCAACTTCGAGCCAACCACCATCCCGACACTGGACGGCTGGATTGAGAGCTTGATGAACTGCAAGCAGTTGGCCGAGTCTGACGTCCAGAGATTGTGCGAGAAGGTCGGTTCCGCCATCATTTCGCCCGCTGTGTAATACCGCGATCGCGCCCGCGCCGGCCAAGCTTCCCGCACATCAAACCCCCCTGCCGCTGTCGCCGCCGCTGCTGCTACCGTGGGGAAGGACCGTTCTGCCGAGGGTTGTCGGTCGCGTGCGCACCGTTGTTTGGGGTCCGATGCTGACACGACAAAATGATTATAGGCACGCGAAGTCCTCCAAGACGAATCCAACGTTCAGCCGGTGGTATGTGTCCTGTTCCTTCCACATGTCCCACCCAACTAGCCAGGCGCGCTGACCGATGCCAGAAATGTCCCGTTACCGTTTGCGGAGATATTCACGGTCAGTTCCATGACTTGATGGAGCTCTTCAAGATCGGAGGTTCGTGCCCGGACACCAACTATCTATTCATGGGTAAGTCTCCAACTCCAGCAGCTTCCGCCATGCCATGGCTGCCGTCGCTAATGCGATCCGTCCCGGTGTATAGGAGATTATGTCGACCGTGGATACTACTCAGTTGAGACCGTCACTCTGCTCGTCGCTCTCAAGATCCGATACCCCAACCGCATCACCATTTTGCGCGGCAACCACGAGTCGCGCCAGATCACACAAGTATACGGCTTCTACGACGAGTGCCTGCGCAAGTATGGCAACGCCAACGTTTGGAAGTACTTTACCGATCTTTTCGACTATCTTCCTCTCACCGCCCTAATTGACAACCAAATCTTCTGCTTGCACGGCGGTCTTTCCCCTAGCATCGACACGCTCGACAACATCAGAGCGCTCGACAGAATCCAGGAGGTTCCCCACGAGGGCCCCATGTGCGACCTGCTGTGGTCGGATCCCGATGACCGTTGCGGATGGGGAATCTCGCCCCGTGGTGCAGGCTATACCTTTGGCCAGGATATCTCAGAAGCTTTCAACCACAACAACGGTCTGACACTTATTGCCAGAGCGCATCAGCTTGTGATGGAGGGTTACAACTGGTCCCAGGACAGGAATGTTGTCACCATATTCTCGGGTAAGTGGACTCCTTGAACACTAATCTATTGTCTACCCAAGACTTTTCTAACCCTGATCATACAGCGCCCAACTACTGCTACAGGTGCGGTAACCAAGCCGCCATCATGGAAATTGACGAACACCTGAAATACACCTTGTACGTCCTATTTTCTCCATGAAGCCTTTTTGATGCTCTGCCCAGTGACGCTAACCAAAACGCTAGCCTGCAATTCGACCCCTGCCCGAGGGCTGGCGAACCTATGGTTTCGAGACGTAAGATTTCAACCCCGTCCACTCCCCCAAGCTTCATAAAGTTTTTAATTGGGTGTTTGTCTAATGCTTTGCTTCACAGGAACTCCCGATTACTTCCTTTAATGATTAAGCTTGCCTTCGCCTCATTGTGTTATGCCCTGAGCAGAAAGATTAAGGGACATAGAAGAGCGAAAAGTCTTAATGATACATTTCTTCGCGCAACCATATATAAACTCCGCGCTATATGGAGCCGGGACACGATTACCATAGCACATGTTCGTATAGTGAGCGTTGTGTTTCGCGAGACATGATTAGACAAGTAATGTATCGAACATCGGGGATCGACAACAAAGCCCAGTCTCTCTTCGATTTCGAGTCACGTCCTACTCTTTGCTCAGCCAGTTAGTTTACCTTTGGTGTACCCTTCATGATAAACTGGGAAATGCAGGTGTAAAGACAGGAAGGGATACATGACTTTGATTATGCCAGTTCATGTAGAATTCGGATATCTATTTTGTCTAAGATCATTGGATTCGGGGCGTCATTGCTTTCCCGCTTGGAACGTCTGTTTCTTCCACCTTACGTTCACACTGTCTGGCGTAGGTATGCCTCACCGGGTGGGCTTCCCGAAGGGGAAGTGGACATTTTGGACTTCATCGACGAGCTCGGTGAGCTAAACAGGTGAGACGGCTCATATACATGGCGGGTAGGCATGAGTAGAGGTGCAGAACATGATAACTCGTCACCATGATCGCCATCGGAGCAATTTGGCGCTCTGCATATGTGGGTGCATATTCTGGCTTCCTTCAAACACAGCTTGGATGACAATTACAATTCACCTCGATTGTTCACAGGCACTCTAGTCTTCAGTGGCCGTTCTCTGTGATCAATAGTACGTCTCTGTTGATATGTGCTGATGTGCCTACATAGTTCTAGTCACCATAGAACATTAACAACCAAGAAAATGTCGACGAGATCAACGTACGTACTGCAACAATTGTGATTAGTGAGAAATTTCATCATCAGTACGTCGTCTGCTGGAAGCAATGCATTAGTCCTGCTTCCCGAACTCACATATGATTGCCGATCCTTTGAACTGGATAACATCCAACAAGTCAGGCGAAAAAGGCGCACAGCAAAATCAAAGCCTAGACGCGGCTAGCTCTTCACAGATATGGGTTCAGACAACCTGGTGTGCTTCCGTGGTTACAATTCGTGATGTCAGAACCGGCTCAGGCTGATGAAGTCGAGTGCTCTATACAACCTCTTCTGGTCAAGGCTCTCGGGGAGCGTCGTTCGCCTTGGTGACTTCTGTTCCTGAAAGAGACGTGAGTCGAAGCAGCGCAGAGCTTACCTTCACTTCACATCCAGCCATCGCCAGCTTTGACGTGTAATGCCGAAGCAAGTCTTGCATCGGCAGCACCAGTCTTCTGTCACTGCGCTGTGCTTGTCCGCCCTTGCTTACTGATGGCTCATTTGGCCTCTTAGCAGCAGCAGATCTTCGCTGGTCCTCTGTTAAACTTCTAAGAACACCAGGCTGAGTAAGTTGCATCATAATTTGTTTGTACTGGATCACAAAGGCAAAGTTGAGCTTCTTAAGGAACTGAAGTCGAACAACTGCTATGTGATCACTCAGCCGTCACTCGTCTTTGCAACAGTAGACCCAATGGAAACTTCACTTTTTGTTGTTCTCAATCTTCCCTCGACGTTCACCTAGCGACAAGTGAAGAAAGAGGATGTCTAACTCGTCAACAAGCGGTCTGGGAGGGACGGGAGAAAATAACGCTCCACCTGTATGTCAACCCCATCAGTCCTTGTACTTATCATGATGATGAAGTTCATATCCTGGGCGCCCAACCGCTTCATCCCCACTTGCTCCCCTTTATCTCTGCCAAACTATCGCTGACCCATCATGAACAATTCCAGCCTGAACCAGACGGACCACCCTACCTCCCACATCAGGCTCAACTGGGCGGCAAGCCCACCCGATCCATCGATGTCCCAGTATGTGCCGTTCTCCTGGTCGTATTCCTGGCCCTGGCCGCCATGAACATGACTATCTTCCAAATCAACCGACGGATCGGCTTCAAATTTCTCTTTTCCGGCCTCCTCTTCGGCTTCTGCATGGCCCGCGTAGTGGCCTTGGCAACACGAATAGCCTGGGCCCTCCACCCGGACGACGAAAACCTAGCCATCGCCTCGCAAATCTTCGTTGCTGCAGGCGTTCTCCTCCTGTTCATTACCAACCTCGTCTTCGCCCAGCGGATGATCCGCGCCTACCACCGGTTTTTCGGGTGGTCACCCGGACTCACCCGTCTCTTCCGGGGGATTTTTGGCAGCATTGTTATCGTGTTAGTCATGGTCATCACCGTAACGATCCAGAGCTTCTTCACGCTCAACCGGCAGACCCATCGCATCGACAAGGACATCCAGCTCTTCTGTGGCGTTTACTTGGCTGTGATTGCCTGTTTGCCCATCTCGCTCGTCCTAGCCGCTGCCTTGGTACCCCGGAGAACGCCCATCGATAGGTTCGGCGTCGGCCACTTCAGGACTAAATTCGGCTTGATCACGTTTACTTCGGTCTTGCTTGCCACGGGCGCCATCTTTCGCGCCGCTACCAACTTTGTCGTTCGCCCGTTGAACAACCCGGCGTGGGCTCAGACAAAGGCGGCCTTCTACTGCTTCAACTTTGGCATCGAGCTCGTCGTCGTAATTACGTACCTCCTTTCGAGATTCGACCGGAGGTTTCATATCCCCGATGGCAGCTCCGCGCCGGGTCATTACTCCATGTCAGAGTTTGGAGTGTTGGCGGGGGCAAACGTAAACGCCAGGATAGGGGCGCGTAATAGTACTGTCAACGGAGGCGGTACTGGTGGTACTGGTGGCAGAACTGCCTCTAGTATCGATACCAACGGGAAGAAGAGAGTTAGTCGTCGGGTTCCGGATCCAATTTTGGATGCCGCCCCGGAAACGGGAACAGCAGCAGCAGCAGCAGCAGCAGCAGGCTTTCCGACCGCTAACTTGCCGCATATTTATGAGCCGGCTGGTAGCAGGAGGGGCTCAAACTGGTCTTTGTTGTCGAAGAGCCGGAAGAGTGGCGGCTCTTCAGTTTATGGAGGAGATTTTTCACTACCGGACTTACCGTTTAGTGAAACTCGCGAGAGTGTTGCTGCTTCTGCGCCTGCCGGTGACCCTGATATGGAGTGGATGGCTAGGGCTATGGTATGTTTCTTTTCTTTACCCCCCCCCCCCCCCCCCCCCCCCCCCCTCCTCCTCCTTTGGTTTTTGGCAGCTCTTTTTTTTTTTTTTTTTTTTTTTCATCCATGCGCTGTGTTGGGTGTAGATATGACTGCCAACTCGATGACGCCGCACTTCATCACCGTCAACATGAGTGGATATTCATCCTTGGGAGGTTTACCATCTTGGTCACGGACAAACCACTGTACACGAAACCTTCCGAGCCGAACCATTTCAAGACTATTCCTTTCGTTGATTAATGATGTCGATGCATGGTTACTGACTGCTTATGTTAGCGCGAGCTGTACGGCGACAGCGACGAGGAGGAGTAATGTTCTGATCTGGTGTCCTTGGTTGTGCTTTTGGAGGAGTTGTGGTTGGTTTACGGAAGCGCAAATAGGAAAATCGTAGCAACGATCAGTACTTGAAGTTCGAATGGACCCTTCGTCATTCAGAGACATTTCCTGGCCAATATTAATCAACAAATGGCCAAGACTGCTCTTTGCCGCTTGTAATACATGGTCTCACATTTGTCTTTCTTTTTGTAATTCCTAGTATTTCGATAGTCGAGAAAATTCCCCGAACCTAACTCAGGGATGTATAGGACTACATACCGAATCATTGGGTGGATGGGTATCCAGACACATGGGTCCGGCACTCGGAATCTTCGATAATTGAATACCAAGTCGGAGAGTTCCTGAATATCATTGTTACAGACGGATGATCAAGCGAATGGATGCCAAAGTTCGACTGTTCGAGACTTCTTCACCACTGGCTAAATAAAACACCAATGCCCCTGGACGAAGCACCACGTTCGGCGCCCGAATCCGGGGAAAGTTAAACACGAAACCCCACTCTCGTAGGACAAGGGTTCCCGAGGCGGCTTAGCGATAGACCACCCTCCTCGGGTTTTTTTGGTCAAGTTCACGCGGCTGTTGATTGTCTCATTTTCATTTTGGGACGGGGATTGGAGAAGCCCCGAGAACTTACACGCGCTCTGAGCTCTGGACTCTGGACTTTAACTGAATGATTCCTGTTTGTCATTAAGGTCTCGAAATCCTCTTCCTGATTGTGACTTTACTTACCTTTTTGTATCAAGGCATGGGACGATGGCTAACATTTGTACAACTGAATTCTTTCCATTATTTCAAATATGAAAGTGGCCAAAAAACTTGTCAAAGTTAAAATTAGAAAGCCGCTGGGATATGTCATGGCCGGCAACTACGGCAAAGAGTTGAGATGGCAAGCTCGCCTCCTCTCAGGCTGTCAGTCAGTGTTCAGCACACTCGATAGACGCTAAACACAAATGGATAGCTGAGATGATACAGCATTTATCGATCGGCTCCTACCAGTACCGGGCAACTCCCTTATCGTTTACCTGTGCAGCGCCTCCCATTGTTTTTCACCGATGATTCCTCAAAGCTCCTGCCTTGTCTCAAAGCTGTTCCTGAGATTTGCAGATGTTGCAAGGAAGGAGTTTCGGAATCTGCCCTCCAACAGGGGCGCTAAGCCCAAAGCGCTTCGGCTGTCTAACGCGAAAAGGAAAGGCGTACACAGTACCTTCGAGCCTGCAATCGTCAAGCGAGATTGGGCCGTTGCGCTCACCAATCTGCGTCCCAAGTCAGGGTCAAAGTCCCCGAGTGAAAGTCAGTCAGGGCAACAATTCTCTCAACCACCAGCAGTTCCAGTTGGCAGTTGCAAGTGACGGATTCCGTTCTGGATCCTGTCCGTCAATCCAATTCCAATTCCCTCCTTCACCCACGATTTCTCGATCCGGGAACCGTCGTGTCTCGCTCGGTCCTCTCCACAGACCGTCGCCTTGGACCGCCATCATCAACTCTAGGTTGGGATTGCTGCCGTGTCCAATATCTAGGTCGCGTCGCGCTATCTAGAATACCTTGGTCGGGTCGGTAACCGGCTTTCATCATCTATTCCCTTCTAGGCCACCGCCCGCCTCCATCTACGAATACCTTCTTTTTTTCTTCTTCTAAATTCATCATCTTTACCATCTGCGCGGTTTGTTCCTGCGCCTGGAGCTGCACCCGCCCCGTGTCTGATCTTTCTCCCTTCTGTCGCAACGGGTGTGCCTTGCCTTGGCAAGCTTGCATCCCACTGCGCATTACACCTCATCCAACCACCCGACTTTGCATACCTTCCCCAACATCCAACTCTCAGGCACCCCAACGGCACCTCACCACTCCAGACCGACCTCCCGGCCTCAACTCCAAACACTCAGCTGCATCCCAGGTTACCCAAGTACAAGCGGCCCTGCCTTGCCGACGAAGAGGGCCCAATTGGCATTGCAGCCGGCGCTGTGTACCGGTGTGCGACAACACCACCACCACCACCACCACCGAAACAACAACGATCCTGTCCGACCAACTTGTCCCTTCCTCAAAAACAAGGCACTGCCGGTCTACCACTCTTTCGCATAGAACCAGCTACCATCCGATCTCTACCTACGCCGCCCAGTCTGGCACTTGGAGTTAACCTCACAGCATACGCCATCTCAACAACAACCACTTGGACGTTCAGTCATCGTCGCGATCACTTCCCCCCCACGCTAGCCCACAGCTCAGTTACGGGCCGTCGCTGACCATCTTGACGCCAAGGGCCTTTTTGGTTAGGGATCTAGTTCGAGCAATATCACTCACTCCAGCAGATATTCCCAAATCTGGGCCCACTGTCATTCATTTCTGCTTTCGTTCTTCGATTATGAGCCATGATACAACTTGAGGAAGAACATGACGTTAGGAGGTTGGAATCGAGAATCCATGGCCCGCGATTGGACGACAACAACAGTCTCGATTACGCCAACAAAAAGGTGTTGGTCGTCGGTGCCGCAAAGGGAGCCCAACGCCAAAAGTTAGCACCAACACACATCACCAAAAGAATCAATCACAGTTCTGCGAAAAGAAAGGTCTCTCGTAGACAAAGCAGCACAAAAGCACTTCTCATTTTCCTGTCAGCAATCCCGGCAGCCATGGCCCAGTGCGTGCCACTTAAGGGATCGACGGCGTGTTCTGCCTTCCAAGTGTCTTCAATATCGACAGATGAGGACCTGGTGAAACTGTAGTATGTTGACCTTGCTGTCACTGCGATAATGAATTTGGAAAAATTATGGAAACTGACCTATTCTATCTGCTAGTCCGTTCTTAAAGGATGTCAAAGACACCGCAACATTTGACGAGCAGCTAAAGTCTTATGTGCAAACAAATTATGTTCAACTCAAGTACGTCGCTTGCCCTTGATAATTCCCGTTAACTCCATATTGACATCACCTCAGGTTCCAAAATCTTTTCGGTTGCGGGGGAATTAAACTCACTAATACGACTGAGCTCTATGCGCGATTCGCGACTACCGTACTGTGCAACGGCGTCATTCAGAATTCCGTTACCAAATGTAACCTTTCAGCAGCAAATTCTCGACCGATTTGTGCTGATACTTGCGTAAGTAATCGACCGACATTCATTGGTCGATCTTTGCTGACTTCTCCAACAGGCACAATATGCGATCAGCGAAGCTAACATCGTCGCTGACAGCTCTCTTTGCGAAAATCCAAATGACAACTACTCAGATCAGATTCGAGCCGATTTTACTACGTGTGCCCTGCCGGCGGACTCCTTATCTAGTAACGACTGTATCTCGGGGATTGCGAATGAGCCCGACAATTGTGGATTCGGAAGCAGTCTTTTGGGCTTGTGTGGTTATTGCAAATCTGGGGGACCGAATGCGACGGATACGTGTTGCTATAATTCTGACGCCGAGACCAGATGTGCCAACGTCGTCCTCCCTTCGATTTCGCCATCAATATCTTTGGATCCCGTTCCAAGCGCTACTTCGACCAGCGAACCGGTAACAGATCCTGGTAGTCAAAAGGGGCTCTCCGGCGGCGCAATTGCAGGAATCGTTGTGGGCGCAGTGGTGGGCTTGGCTCTGTTGACCCTGCTGATCTTCGCGTGCGTTTTCTTGAGAAGGAGGAGACGTGGCAGCCAGGATGGCAACCTTCTCAACCAGCCGACGCCTGCTAGGAAAGGGCCGTCAACAGCGCTAATGACACAGAATGATGGGCTGAATCATGGATTTGCAGGGCCACCAGGTGGAAGGATAGCCCGGATGTCGGCCCTCGAGGGGGATGCCCCGTCCCCACGGTCTCATCGAGACTTCAGCTCCGGATCCGGCGAGAAGACGGCAGCCGCTTATGCTATTAGTAGAACAAGCAGAAGAAGAGGCGATGATTACTCGTCGTCCGACGGATACCGCGACAGCCCGATATCTGACCGAGGTATTGGCATTCTACGACCGCCACCGACGATGAAGAGGAGCGGCTCCCTGTCGAGCGGTTCAGTTCTCGCAGGCGAAGACGGTGTCTCGCTAATGTCATCACCCCAGGGTGGTGTGGCCAGCCAACAAAGCGAGCAGCTGCCCTTCTTCAAAGATTACTATTCTCAAGACGAGATCCATCCAGGCGACAAGGTTGCCACGCTTTGGGCATACCAGCCACGGGCTGCTGACGAGTTCGCCCTTGAACGGGGTGACATGCTCAAGGTCGTTGGTATTTGGGATGACGGATGGGCAACTGGCGTCATGGTGAATGAGACTGCTGAAGAATGGGAAAACCGTCGCCAAGCCCAGCGAGATAGCGGAGTCTCCAACACATCGGGAAAGATGCGGGATGTGTCGCCTCCTGTGAGCGGAGAAATCAAAGCATTCCCGCTCGTGTGCGTCTGCCTTCCCGAGCATTGGCGACGAACAATCGAGGGAGATGGCTCAACAGAAACCGGAGAGAGTGCTCAGAACCAATTATAGTAACAAACGGACTCATGAGAGGATTTTGAGTGCCTGAGGCCGCGGACCTCTTGAATAACTGCTCAGTCGACCAGTATTCTGCTATACGACGTTGGGTATGGACTTGGTGTCATGGTATGCTTTATTGCAACTTCACTCCGGATACCCACAGGGCACCCCTGTCTCCGCTCACTGCAAATCATCACTATTCAATTCATAATGACGTGTTAATCTCAAGCTGCCATCCGTCTGCCGTCGGTTATTTCGTTAGTTGGGTGAGCAGACGCTGATGAGCGGGAGGCCTGGACGAACGACGACTGCACTACTAGTATTGCATCCTTTAACTTTTTTTCTTCTTCTCTCTTAATTCCTTTATATACCCCTGTTTGTGGAGGACGATGTGTATTTGCTAGAATGGAGGCTATTGTAACTGGATGTGGGGAATATCAAAGAGGAGTATTTGTAAGAATGGCGAAAGACCAGTATCATACGTTATGACCTTCGTAGATGACGCTTTAAGACATCCGCAGAGCATCTATCTAGTTTGAAAGTGGACATTATGGAGTTAACTTCGAATGCGAGTTCCTAATTGCCGTCATTAAGCCTAGTCTTGGAGCCACGAATTTCTAGATCATTATGTGATGAACGAACTGCCAAATCTTAATGCTACACATTCCTTACTTGAGAGGTTATCAGCGATCCTCCAAAGCTTCCAGTTCCCGTGTCTCCCGCTCATGCTCAACCACATCACGGTCAATGAGCTCCTTCTGTCTCTGCAAAGGACGTTCCTGCTCGCGAGTACGCAACAGGCGAGACTAAATCTCAACTAGCTCTTGCACCAACTTGATTTTCTTGTAGTGATTCTCCTTGATGCCGTTGAATAGGAGGTCTGGAGGGTCGACGACCCAGCGCCAGGAGGTGCCGACTGGGTTGGTGCCGTGACGCCAGCAGAAGACGCACTTGTTGGAGCAGGAGAGCGAGGGCGTCATTTCCATACATTGCAAGTTAAGACAATTAACACTTTCGATTACCACCCTAGATACACTCAACATGGCCATAGTCTCCAATCCTTTCTCCGTGCCTATCTTTCCACTATCCCCTCAACTCCATCCTATCATCACTACCACCGTTCAACTCAACAAACACCCTCACCTGACCTGTCAACCCTTCTTATGCTGGCTCTTTTCGTGTCTGGTAAGGTTACAGGGTTTTGTGAACTTCTGACCGCAACCCGGCTCTTTACATACCAAACGCCCTTTGGAGCATGTTTTCTCATGGTTCTTGAGATACCTCTCTTCTGTGAATGTCTGACCGCAACCATCCACGGTACACGCAAAGGGCCTTCCGTGTGTTTTCTGGTGGCTGCAGAGTTCAGGGTTGGTTTTAGCCCTAAACTCGCAATGAGGACACGCAAAAGGCATAACGTCGCTATGTTTTTTCAGGTGCTTGCGGAGATCAGGGTCGGTTTTAGCCTTAAACTTGCCAAAACGCAACTCTGAGTCTGGCTTAGGGGAAATTGATAGCATCAATTGTCTTGATCTGCCAGGTGCAGGGAGACTTGAGTCGTGTTGGTCAGACTTGAGGAAATCGACTGTATCAATTTGCTTATTGGCGGGGCAGTACGTTAAGGTGCTCAAACGTAGAGGTCCGCTTCTTGTCTGTGGCGAGTATGTCAGGCGGGTGTTCTGATCCTAGTCTGACTCGACTGGTGCCTCGTTGCCAAAGAGGGCTGGCGAAAATACCTTTTCGGGAATCAGAGGAAGAAAGAAAAATGAATCAATCGATCAGTCTGATTCGACGATGATAACTTCGTTCCACGCGTTCGATACGTGATGGCGCACGACTCTATAAGGGTGATGATGGATGCAATGCAATGTGTGTGAATTCTGGATGATGAACTAGGCTAAGTCCGTCTGGATCTGGCCTGTCGCCGACTCGAAATATATGTACTGTCCCAGTGCCCTGACAATAGGGGTACTGCGCCAAGTCCAATCCGTACAAGTTAACAGGCGTCGGTCAAACAGTTGATCAACTGCAGCCTTCGAACATTTCCATATTAACATCCTCGATCTCTTCGTCGCGGAGTGATGCATCTGCAGCGGCATTACAATTTGCGAATATATCGGGGAGGTCGAGGTCTTTATTGTGGGTGGCATTTTCTGGTTTGGCTTCGTTGTTTTGGAATGGCTCAATCTCGGGCGATGAGAACGGTTCGTCCGTAGAATCATAGAAGCTTCGTCCCTCAAAATTAAGCGATATAGGCTGTGGCGTTTCGGCGATGTGGCTCGGTTGATTGTTGTCTTCCACGTCGTCTGCGAGGGTTTCATCGAGCGGTTGCATATGTGGCGGTGGGCATTCTGTCGGTGTAGTTGAACTTGGTGCCTCCTCTTTGACTTGAGGGACTTGTTGATGGCGATCTCGTTGGTCACCGGACCGTTCATTGTTGGCGTTATCGGTGTATTCAACGGTAAGTGTTTCATCGTTAGTGTTTGGGGCAACGGGCGTTTGCTCGTCAGCATCTCGGACATCGAGCGGCTCATTGTTGGTATTTTGGCTAGTGGGGGGCGGTTCGTTGTCAGGATACTCTTGGATGACGAGTGGCTGATCGTTGGGGTGTCGGTCATCAGGAGGTTGATTTTCGTCTTGTTCTGCTATTGCGGGCAGCGTGTGTTGTATTGGGCGCGGTCACTGTTGGGATGAGGGTTGGCGGCCTTCATTCAGAACTGGTGCAAGTTTAATGGCCCCTTGGAATAGCTGCCTAGGGATGTGGTGATCAGTTGTCTGGATATGATGATAAGGGAGCTCGTTGTGATCGCCGCGTTGCTCGCGTTGGGGAGGATGAGGTGACCGTCGCGTTTTCATCGGGAGGAGGTAGATTTGCTCTCACACACACCAACCCAGTAGGCCCCAATCAATTCGAGGGAGAAGGAAAATTTAAAATCTGAAAGCTGCCCGGCGAAGAGACGACTTGCTAAGCAAGTATTTCTGGTTGTAGATAATAATAAGTTGAATGAGAAACGGATCCGTATATGTAGCAAACTAGCTACTTCTATCTAACTGCCTAGAGCTGTGTCGAAACCATGGCATGCCAAGGTTCAGTATGCTCTAGCCCAGTATAACCTGCACACCCTTAATCGACATAATAGTCAAGATCATACAAATTCCCCCAATCCAACTCGTCATACTCCGTGATCGAGTCAGCAACCCGCGATTGCATCTCATTCGCCGTTTGCTCCTCTATAAGCTTCTTCTCCTCATCAGCAAGCTTCTCCTCTTCATCAGCAAGCTTCTCCTCTTCATCAGCAAGCTTCTTATCATCCTCCTTAGAGGTATTCTTCCCCTCCTCTCCCTTAATTTCCAAGATCCGTCCCTTCTTATGGATCCAAACAATCACATCCCGCAAAGGCTTTAATTTGCTGTGGTTTTTCTCCCCGTTTGTGTCGTAGAAGACCTTGCCCATCTTTGAGGCCTTCTCTGCTTTCTGTACCTCCTTTGGCTTACCCTCAATGACCCCAGTGACATTTTTATCTCCAATGATAAGGAGACCCGACTTTTGGCGTGTCAACATGACGTTGAGACGATTTTCGTCTGCAACGAAACCAGGGATAATGCCAGATCGGGTGCCGGTAATGACCACCGAGATTGATCCTTCTCGGCCTTGGAAGGAATCGGCCGTTTGAACCGGGGGCATGCCACGGAGGTGCGGGAGGCCGGACTTCAGGAGTCGGTTGCCATAGTCCACATTGGGCTTGTGGGCCGAAATAACCACAAAGTCCTGTGGTGAAGCGCATGGGAATTTCTTGACAAAGTCGTTAAGTAATTCCAAAGCGCCCTTTACCTGCATCCGATTCAACTTTGAAGTGCCGACTACATCAACTCGTGTTTTCGGCATGTGCCAGAAAACAGGCCACAGGTAACCTTCCGGGCTGGGTGTGAGGGTTGGATCGCGACCGAGCAGGTACTGCTCAAAAGCTCTACCGACGGTATGGCTAGGATGGGCCGGGTCGCAAACATCGCCATATGCCATGTTCTTGTAGTCGGAATAGAAGAGCTCATTCGCGAGGTCGAACATACCCTTACACATCCTCAGCTGTCGGAGAAGACGGAACGTAGGGAGCCCCGCAGCCTGTAACCAGGCCAAAGCTGAAATACGGCCACATGTTCCAAAGCGGTTTGCATAATTGCCCTCCTCGTCCTTAGTTTCGAGCTCCATCATTGTCGGGGGGAGCTGCTTGACGTCGCCGGCAAGAATAATAGGCCTTAGGGTATTACCCCAGATAGAGCAAAGGTCGGCTTTAGACATGCAGCCTGCCTCGTCGATAGCAATGATTTTAGCTACCTCCCAAAATTGCTTGAACCATGTACCCTGTGCTGTAGCCGGGGTAGTCATAACAACATCGGCATTGTTGATGATCCTTTGCAACCATTTCTCTAGGAGGTGCTTATCGACTTTATCCCCATCACAATAGGCTTCCCATGTTAGCTCACCACGGGCAAGCTGACTGATACGAGCCACCGATCCGTCACCCCGGTCAATCTCTTCCTTGAGCTTATAGAGGCAAGTCGCGTGCTCTGGGAGTAAAGTGGGTACGATGCCGGCTTCTTGACTCTGCTCAAGAGACTTGGACCCCAAAATAGCGAGTAGCCAATTGGATGGCGATAGCGCTAGCCGCCAACGAGGTGTATTTTTGGGGTTTCGTGACTTGAATGCTGTATCGTCCGCAATTCCGGTTTTCAAGATGTTGGTAAAAGTCTCCACCTCCACCTTAGGCGAATAGCCGCGTACAACAAGGGGGTAAGACCGACGGGACGTAGACGGAACAACCTTATTGTACCTATCGATAACCTTGCGCCCATTTGCGTATATTCTCAACGCAAAATTAGTTACGGCCGTATGGGTAGGACCTGACCCATACACTTTACCGCCGTGCAAACAATGAAGACCTCCGAGCGTCAGCGTGCTTAAAGTTATTGTCTTGCCGGTGCCACCAGGTACGCCAACTAAGGCGACGTTGCAATAACGCTTAGCCCCGTAGAGCTCCAGCCTAGTCCTGTCAGATGGGAGTGCCTCTTCTAGGATCTGCTGCTTCAAGATTTTATCTTCCAAATCGAAAAAATTGAAGACTGGAAGGGGGCGGGGTGTAGGCGGTGACGCCTCGGTACCTGGCGTCATGGCATCTATAACGCCGGAGAGGGAAGGGGCGGTCAAAGTGTCGAAGAAACCCGTGCCACGCATGAGATCCCTGTGGAGGGCCATCTTGAAGTTGAGCTCATCGGAGTCAAACTCGGGGTCTGTTTCTGGTGGGCAAGCGGCGCTCCCAGGCAAAAAAGTTTCGACTGCCATGACCTTCCGCTCCAAGTCGCCGAGGGAAATATTGAAATCGAGCGTAACACTGTTCTACTGTGCTGCGTTTGTCTAGTGGATGGTTAGTGACTCGTCACGTCCCTTAACATACAATGGGAACGAACCTCGAATACTCCTTCGGCCTCAGCACGCCCATCGAACGTCTTCAAGAGACTTCGGTGTTCGTCTTTTACCCGCACCTTGACGACAAGATCAAGCAAAGATTGCTTCGCAACGGCGTCCTTGGCTGTGGAAACCTGCTTTGCAAAGGCATGCTTGTCCAAGAGGGCCGGTAGGGTCTCCGGGCGCTCCATGATTTGGCCATTGAGAAGAGGACCGTTAATATCTCCAAGATGGAGGGAGACTGTTCCATCCTTGACCAAGTGTTCCCAGTGCGCTTTGTATTGGTCCCGAAACGTTTGATCGAGACGAATCACCGCAAAGTATATGGGTTCGTCTGGGTTGGCTGGTTCCTCCTTCTCAAGAACGAAATAAGCGGAAACTTTGGTGTTGCGAATGCTGCACGAGTCATTGTACAGCCAGTACATATCCATGACGTGGGCCATAGTATTACTGCACACACTCTGTGCGTCGTTATCGAACTTGAAGGTAGGCCTGAAGCGTTCACCCTACAAATGTAAGAGTTAGTAATCGTATACGCTAAAGGGATGCCACATGCACATACCATGTTCTCCTTGATCATTTTTTCAAACAAATCAATATCGAACTTTTGGGCTTTGGGGAAGGGGTAGTCGAACGGGTAGCGGAACAACTCTGGCTGATGCCTTCCAAACTCGATACGCAACTCGAGTTTAGCAACGAGCAAAGTAAGTCTGGAACCAGAGAGGAGACCGAGGAGATCCGTCTTGCCAACGATTGGTGTATTTTCGTTGATCCATCCGTCGCTGGCATGACCAGGATTGGCGAACGGTAGACCGAAACCCTCGACCAGGAACTTACTACCCTCGTGAAGCTGAATATCGATCTGGGTAACCGCAGAGAGTTCTTGAATTTGCTGAGGAAGTTCGACGCTGTTTGAGATGTCCCGCATGGAGATTGTATACTCGTCCATGTTGTAAGGGAGCTTGACCTAATGCAATGATCAGTATCTTGGACATAATAGAAACAGAGCATACAGAAGAGCTTACCACAATGGTGTATTGGTCCCTAAGCTCGAGCTTAGCCAAGTCGGGGTTGCTAATCATTGGTTGATAACAGGCCCCAAACCCTGCATCTTCGTTGACCTTGTTGTTGAAGCTGTGGTCAAAGCTCATGGTCAACCCATACCAGTGACTTTTTCCGTTGTGCCAGTGGGACACAACGGTTACGTCGACGTCGCTGCCCAACTTTTCGTCAAGAACGAACTTCTCCTCCTTCTCACCCAGTTGGGATTTCTTGCCTGGCTGGGCTTTTCTGCAACCGCCAATGAATGGGCCGCTCAAACCATTTGTGCAAATGACAGCGTCGAGGCGCTGAGGCATGGCTTTTTTGGTGAATTTCTGGGTAGCAGGCTTTCCCTGCTCTGAGGTGGTGGTTGCAGACATGGTGAATGGTTTCTGCGTGTTGCTAGAATGCTGAGTTAGCAGGTTGATAGGTCTTTGATCTTCACGCGATGGTAATAGCTTACTTGATATAATGTGCGCGACGGTCTCTGTCACTGCCCGGCACTCCCCGATGAACTTCACCCCGAAATCACCTCGACGCGATGTTACTACCACGACCCAAGTATCTCACAATTAAGGAGTTAAGAAGCCACCAGCGCGAGCTAGTGAGTCAATACTTTGGACCGCGGCGTTTGTTCCACCACGCAAAGACGATGACGAAGATCCGTACAGCTTCATCTGCCAAACCAAGTAGGACGGAACAGTGAGAGGATGAGAACGTAAATGATACTAGGCATAAACTAGTAGTCGACGGCTTGTAAAGACACGAAAGAATCGCAACAGCGATGACTGGTGAGACTATACAGCGTGGTCGCGGTGGTGTCAGATTCAACTGGACGGAGAAGACTAGTATTAGGTGGGTGCGAGTCTGGCGAGGTCCAAAAAAGTGGGGGCGGAGCACGGGTAGCCCTTCAGTCAAAGCCCTTCATCCGGTTTTCAGGCTTATCAGATATAAGCACCATGTCCGACTCCAATCCTCAGTCTAATAAACGAAAGCATCATTCAACATCTTCCTTTTGCTCCCCACGCCCAAGAACTACCAAAAACGAAGCAAGCAAGGACCTAAAGGGGCAACAACAACCTCGTTCACATCCATGGAAGTCGACGAGGCCAAGCACCACCCCAATGCAGTCCCCAACGGAGCGGCCATCTTCGATGAACCCGTCTCTTACCTAGACGTCAAGGCGGTGCGACGGGGTGCAGCCAACTAGGCGCCTTGCCCTGCCGGCAACTCCTTGCGCGTACCGCAAAGACTCGGGGCACAGGGTTTTAGGTTCCCTAGATATTAGGTACTACAACATTCATGCCCACCATAAATAAACAGTGATAACCCCCGCAAGGAGGCCTTGGGCGCTTTGTCCCAGATCTCCAAGAGTATGGAGATGCAGGCTCAAGCCGCGCAGGCCCTAGCATTTCAATAAGAGTGAACAAGATAACGTCCTCGCAATCGCAGAAAGGGTTGCAAGTGTAGACACACCTTCGCTACATGGTAGAAAAGAACGTATAACTTGACTACTATGGAGGTACACAGTATAGGGCTGAAGTGGGCCTACCTGGGCCAGGTGGAGATGTTATGATTGATCAACCAAAGAAGTGGAGATGCACCGTACGGAGACCTAAGAACAAAGCGGGAGTGCCCAACCCTGAAGCGAGGAAGCCTCCGCGGCTGACGCGTTTATCTTATCGGCACCCTCATACGTAACCGGCTCCGGTGACATCCAATGGCGGTAGTACAACTTGCCCGCCTGAACGGTACCGCTTTACCACACAGATGTATGTACATACATACCTACACACCACAGTACCTACATGCAATTATCTGTTTGACGTCCACACGATTTTACCCATATCGACCAAAGACACACAGAAACACGGCTTGAGAGGGCAGCTGACAATATCACCTAGCGCTACACAGCTAGCTTCAGGCGCCGGTCCCGTTGGCACATTGCGCTCCCTTTGACGTCCTGTAGTCATACCGATAACGACTTTGCGCTTTCGTCATCCTGTCGCACCGAGCGAAGCTCCAAAGAACAAACACCACCCTACAACCATATAGACCAAAATTGGCGATCCTTCCACGTCCAAGCTGTCTTTCTTTTCCGTCCTCCCCCGAACTTGTCAAGTCTCGGATGGTTGTCCCAAGATGCGCAACAGCCTGACGATCTCGCCGTCTAGGTAGCTGGTTAGCTTAAGCTTCCTGGCTCGACTATACACCTCGAAACCATGGGTCAGGGTTTCTCTTTGACTGCCCCTCCAGCGGGGGCAGCCGGTATTGATGTCCCGGAGCTAGCAGATTTGACCTATGAGAAGGTCATCGGCCAGGCCCGCTTCATGAAGAGTATTCGTGCCAGACACAATGATGGAGTCGTGCTCGTCAAAGTGCTCGTCAAGCCATACGCCATGTCGCTGGGACGGTTCAAGAAGAAGATTATCCGTAAGTGACAGATGTGCGAAGCTTTGCCATCCGACTTTGGCCATTTCTGACGCGGGGAAACAACAGGAGAAAGAAATGCGCTTGCCAGTGTACCCAACGCTCTTCCATATCAGCGAGCGATCGAGACCGAGACGAACGGATACCTGGTCCGACAGTTCTTTTACAACTCCTTATACGACCGACTCAGCACCAGGCCATTTCTCGAGGACATGGAGAAGCGTTGGCTGGCTTTCCAACTCTTGTGTGCCTTGCGCGACTGCCACGCCAAAGAGATATACCACGGCGACATCAAGACCGAAAATACACTAGTGACGTCTTGGAACTGGCTCTACATCTCGGACTTTTCATCGTCATTCAAGCCTGTCATGCTGCCGGAAGACAACCCTGCCGATTTTTCCTACTTCTTTGACACGTCTGGCCGAAGAACATGCTATTTGGCTCCCGAGAGATTTCTCCCACCCGGGCAAGACCCCGACCCGAACGCGAAGATCACATGGGCCATGGACGTGTTCAGCGCCGGATGTGTTATTGCTGAATTGTTCCTCGAAACACCAATATTCAACTTGAGCCAGCTGTACAAATACCGAAGGGGGGAATATGATCCGTCCATTTCACATCTAAGTCGCATCCCTGATAAGGACTTGCGCGAGATGATCGCCCACATGATTCAGGTGGATCCGCAAAAGCGCTACTCGGCCGAGCAGTATCTCGATTTCTGGAAGGACAAAGTGTTCCCAGGCTATTTCTACAACTTTCTACATCAGTACATGCAGTCGATTACCGACCTTTCAACCGGAAACTCGAGGATCGGGGAAGCGGATCAGAGGATCGAAAGGGTCTGGAACGACTTTGACAAGATCTCCTACTTCCTTGGCTATGCGAACGGGAATGACCCACACGAGCATCACCTGCCGTCCCCGAGGTTGGGGTTAGGACTTTTCCCAGTTCGACTCAACATCCCCAACGCTGAACATCATGTCTCGGCGAACAAGCAACCCGCCACTGATGATGGAACCCTCATCTTCCTTACTCTGGTCGCGTCTTCCCTGCGCAACACCGCGCATGCGACCGCAAAGATCAAGGCGTGTGATATCATGCTAGCGTTCGCTGAACGGTTAACCGATGAAGCAAAGCTGGATCGAGTCTTGCCGTACCTAATGACCCTCTTGACCGACAAATGCGATAGGGTTGCGATATCTGCGCTGCGCACAATAACTCAGCTTCTTGATCTCGTCAAAATTATCACCCCCGTCAACTCGCATATATTCCTTGAGTATATCCTACCCAGAATGCAGGTTGCGCTCTTGGGATCACAGGGGACCCCGAGCCCTGTAGTTAGAGCCACGTATGCAGCCTGTCTAGGAAAACTGGCAACAACCGCGTATCGGTTCCTAGCAATGGCCGCGACGCTTCGAGCCGATGGATCAGTGACCATTTCGGATCCAGAACTTGAGCCAGGCAACGAGACCAACACGGCTCTCGATGGGTTGTTTGACAGTTCCCGCCAAGACCTAGTAGACCTCTTTGAGACCCATACGAAAATGCTCATCGAGGACCTCAATCCTTTTGTTCGGAGAGCCTTTCTCAGTTCAGTACCGGATCTGTGCATCTTTTTCGGCGTTGCAAAGGCGAACGACGTTATCATCGCTCACCTGAACACGTACCTCAACGACCGTGACTGGATGTTGCGGTATGCCTTCTTTGACACCGTCGTGGGCATTTCCGCGTTTATGGGAAGTAGTACCCTCGAAAGCTTCATTCTACCTCTAATAATCCAGGCGGTGGATGACCCTGAGGAGTTCGTGGTACAAGGGGCGCTTCAATCATTGGCAGAGTTGACTCGATTGGGGCTGTTGACCAAGGAAGCCTTTGTGGACCTAGTTGCCCTTGTCCGACGGTTTACAATGCATCCAAACATCTGGATCCGTGAAGCGGCCGCTCATTTCATAGCAGCCGGAAACGAGTTCCTAAGCTCTGCATACCTGAAGGTTTCCGTTTACCCACAGTTGAAGCCCTTCTTGAAGCCAGATATTATCCCTGGCTGGTCGGAGCTTCAGCTTCTTGATTCGCTTCAAAAACCACTCTCGCGTAACGTCTTTGAACTGGCTATGCAATGGGCTGCAAAATCAGAGAAGAGTGGTTTTTGGAAGCCTCCGAAACGGTTGTGGGATGCTCGCGCTGTGACCAAACTCTCCAAAACAGATGAGGATGAGCAGTGGCTAGGGCGCTTAAGGACTGCGGGGCTCTCACAGGCGGACGAGATAAAACTCATCATGCTGCGAGAGTTCATATGGCGTCTTGTTCAGATGAAAGGGAGAGACTCGACTGAACTGCAAATGGAGAAAAGATCTGAGCTCGAGGACATCATTCCTTTGCGAAACTTGGGTATCACGCCTCAGACCGTCATGTTCGAAGAGGAACCCATTCGCTATCCTGCTCCCCAACTGGACGATGATGACACGGCTCCCAAGACGATCCAGGAGGCTCTCCTCGATGCGTCGTTGACCATTGGTGATCCACTAAGTCAAAGGCGTCGGGCCGCGGTGGATAAACAAAAGTCCAAGTCGGGCAGTCGATCAAATCTTCCATCCATATCCGTGGACGGCAGGCTTGCTACGGACAGCAATGGCGAAGGCTCAAGGGATACCTTGAGACGGTCGGCGTCTCACCAGAGCCGGGCATCTCTGCTCTCCCCTCATGACGACGTGGGATCTGCTCACTACTTCCCTTACGAAACAAGGAGGGCCTTGAAGCACCAGTCTAGTGCAATGAGTCTGATGAATCGTAAGGACAGCGCTAAGTCCGTTCCTGAGACTGGTACTACAGAAACCAATGCCTTTGGTGAGGTTGAAGCGCCCCTCTCTCAGCATTACCAGGGAACTCATATTAGGTCCCCAGACACTGAAAGCGTGCCGCCAACGCCCGGCATTAAACTGCGTGTGAACCACGACTACCATGGAAATGACCCGCATATTCTCAAGATGCTGGATACCATGTACGTCGAAAACTACCCACACGACCTTGCAGAGTTTGGTCCAGAGGTTACACCCATTGGGCGCCGTAAGACCGGCAAGATCATCAGCTCCCAACCAGGGAAGCAAAGGGAAAATGGATGGAAGCCAAAAGGAGTGACTATCGCGTCGTTTGTTGAGCATGTCGGTGCCATCAATCGTATCGTTGTTGCTCCGGATCACCAATTCTTCCTGACCGGTGGCGATGATGGGACCGTGAAGGTTTGGGACTCGGCCAGGTTTGAAAAGATTAACATTCACAAACCTCGCCTCACCCATCGACACGCTCCCGGTGCCAAAGTTCGTGCGCTATGCTTCATTGAGAACACGCATAGCTTCGTCAGTTGTGCCACGGATGGCAGCGTACATATAGTCAAGGTTGAGACTTACTTGCAGGGCGAGAGTTATCGGTACACTCGTCTCCGCACAGTCAGGGAACATCGCTTTGTCGACGGCGAGTTCGGTGTGTGGTGCGAACACTACAAGCGGGACAACGAGTCGATCCTTGTCGTGGCCACCAACAAGTCGGTCGTCTGGGGCATCGAGCTCCGAACCATGACACTGCTCTTCAAACTGGAGAATCCAGTCCATCACGGCACACCCACTTGTTTCTGCATCGACTTCAAGAAAAACTGGCTTTGCCTGGGAACGTCTCACGGCGTCTTGGACTTGTGGGATCTCCGCTTTAAAGTGAAGCTCAAAAGCTGGGGCGTGCCCGGCAAGGGATCCATCTACCGGCTCGCAATCCACCCTTCCCGCGGCCGAGGCCGTTGGGTGTGCGCCTCTGGCGGAACCGGCCAAGGCGAGGTCACAGTCTGGGACATTGAAAAGGCCACATGCCGCGAAGTTTACCGTGTCGGCGGCAACAAGGAAGGCCCCAAGGGTTACGATGCCTGGCAAGTCGACGAGGACAAGCCTTCCGATGGGCAAGGACAGATGCTCTCGCGATTCGCGACCAACATCGAGCCCAACGCTATGGGCAACGCCGACCGGGGGGTCCGCGCACTGGTGTTTGGCTGGGGCATAACGGACGCCGCCACGGTTGAAGAACAGCCGCCGCCGCCGCTGCAGGAACGGGACGTGCGCTACGCATTCATGGTCACAGGCGGCTCAGACAAGAAGCTGCGGTTCTGGGACCTGACGCATGTTAGTCAGAGCAGGATCTACTCGGGTTTACAGCTGGGAGAGGCGGCGCCAAGTTACACGGCTAGTCATCCCACACCGTCTTTGATTCTTAATACCGAGCGCTTGCATGGCAAATCGTCCGGTGACCAGGCTGGTGGTTCTGGTACTGCCGGGACCGGAAGGGGCAGTGGTGTGGCGCAAGGAGTCAATGGCAAATCATCGTCGTTGTCCAACTCAGCCAGGAATGCCCAGCAAAAGATGAGACCGTCAAGAACCAAGATCATTTCGCAGGAACATTTCCGGCTGTTGAGAAGTCACTTGGATTCTGTCCTTGACGTGGCGCTACTGGAGTCACCTTACCCAATGACGGTGTCGTGTGATAGAGGGGGTATGGTACTTATTATCAGGTAAATAAATCAGCATGGTGGTGATGGTGGTGGTAGCAGAGTCTCGTAGCGATTATGTTTTAGGCGTTGTTCTTGTTTTTGCTCAGCTGTCCATTAAGACAATGGACATGCATGTAGAGAGGAAAGTTTGAGTTTGGGGTTTCGACATAGCGATGAATGGTCAAAATATTGGAAACCATGTACAAGTCAAACCAAACTACATGTCGTCGACGATTGCTGTGTCCGATTTCTCAAGAAGCAGGGTGCTTCTTCAGATGGTGATTGCTACCATAGTGTATAGAGAGGTATCACATGATAAGTAACGTGACCGCAGTTCACCCAGGACCCGACCTGACATCGACTCCGAGGGTCCGCTCGACCCATAAAAGACGATTGGAGGAATATGGTGCAATTTGCGCTAGTCCCAAAACAGTATGAGAAGTGAGAAAGCATCCGCTCCTCAAGACGCCGACGACGACATCAATGTCTCCTCTTCCCTCCCCGTTTCTCCTTTCTCACATTTCTTTCGCTGTTTGGGTGCTGTAAAGCTGGTTTGATTCTCTACCGTTCTCCCCAATTCTGCGCTCGAAAAACAGATTTCGCGGTGTTACGGACCCTACGGTACTGAACATTCTCTCAAATACAGCGCTCTCTCTTCTCAACCCTATGTCCACGAAGCGAGACAACACTGGGAGCGACACTGAAAGCAACAATGGAAACACGCAAGCAAGCAAGCAAGCAAGCAACTATACAATTACTACCTAGCAACATGAACGAAAACAAACTAGCCTGGGAATAACAATAGCCCCTGAATCACCGCTCATCAACCGAACGCCTCCCTCGACTTGACGAGACATCATCATCGTCATTATATATCCCCATCCAGCCCAACGAAACCAAACTATGCAAACGAATTCCACTCAACTCCAACTCGACGACAAAACGAGGCTCATCACCTGCCACCGATCCTTACCTTCTTCATCTATCTATCAATCATCCATCCACCCATCGTGTATGCTCATCATCGACTACAACCTCGACTGAGTATCATCTCCTCTCTTTTTGCATGTCGTCTCTCTTTTCATCTCTTCTGTCTCTCTTTTCTTACTCATTCAACCTCTTCCCATAAGCCGAGTAGTACCCGCACTTGGGCACATGGCTCTTCTTTCCCGTCTCCGGGTTAAAGATGTGACAGCCCCCCTTTGCTACGTTGGGCGGCGTGTACAGGTGCAACGAGACGGCAAAGTTGTCCGGGTCTTGGTTCCACACGCGGTGCACGCCAAGCTCGTCGGCCATGTAGGCCACCTCGTTTTCGCGGTAGACCTTTTCCGCAATAACTTGCATTCGTTCTGGTTCTGAGGAGGGAGAGGAGGAGGATGATGATGAAGTGGAGTCGGGAAAGGCATAGCGGGTTTCGGTGAGGTTGCCTTGGAGAATCTTCATTAGGCAGTGGGCGTTGCCGTGGTCGTGGATGGGTGAGCCTTTGCCTGGGGACCAGACTAGAACGAGCTGTTCATTGTTTGCTGTCAGTGTTTTGTTCGAGTGAACATTGCATTACACAATATACAGAAAGGCACGTTGTTGATGAGGGACGGGGAATACGGATGCATGGAAATAAGGCACCGGGCAGACTGCTACTCACAAGGTTGCTTTTCCCGTTCCCTTCATCAACCAGATTGCGGGTGTACCCCCGGCTTGCATCACCAAAGGCGAACCTCGACCATTCTACCTCATCACTTTGATAGTCTAGCATCAAGCGAGTAAGGTGTTCGACATCGACATCGTCTGAAGTCAAACCCGACGACGGTCCCAGGGCATCTTTCAAGGCCTGGACGAGCTTATCGAAGTTGTTTAGGCTTGGTGTCTCCTTGAAGGTAGCTTTGAGACAGAGGGGGACGGTGGTGGTGGCTGCAGCCATGGTCTGGGTGATTCCGACAGCCATATTGTCGGGGTCGTTCTTATGAGTACAGGGGCGGAAGGTGTTGATGGACAGGAAGCTCTAGAGTTGCAGCAAAAAGAGGCGGTTGTTGAGCAAGTCAAAAGATGCTTAGGTGTCTGGACTTGGCTTGAGGGGTAGCGGTTATGTTGTGTGACAAAAGAGGGATCAATGGGCTCTATATTGACGCTTGCGAACTGAGGTTTTATGGAGGGATGCCATCAACCGTTTCCAGCTAAGTGGTCGCTTGGAGTCTGATGATCGGTAACGATGTTGTTGATGCTGATGGGCAAAAGGGGGTATCAGCGTGAGTAAGACAGGACAGGGCTGGATGATGATAGGATGAAGGATGAAGAGGTTCAAGATGACCTATCAGAAGGAGGACGAAAACTGGCGGTGTCGATCTTCCAAAGCGCGTGGATGGAATGGGGATTGCGGGCGTTTCTCAGCAGTTCTGGGCGGAGACAGCGGTCGGATAGGTCGGGGGAAGCCGCGCAACGATGCCTGTTTGGAAAGGACCGATTTCGGTGAGGTGGGTCGGCTAGGGAAAGAGCAAGGGAACTGGGCACTGGTCCATGTGACGAGGTAACTAAGCAGCTTCTTCGCTGCTTCTTTTTGGATTCGAAAAAGCGAAAAAAATCAAAGTAAAAAAACGAACATACGAAACCATGGCATATTTGACATCATCGTCGTTTCCATTGCGTGGAGAAAGTGACCATTTTGGTATGGCGGGGTCCAGTGTTTCCCTTGTTGAAGGCCGCGTTTCCGCAAGCGCATGGAGAAAAAAAATAGAAAAAGCGACTCTGTCAGCGACTATCGTGGAACGGAACCCATAACATCAACTATCCCTGCACACGTCGTCCCCACCCTTCCGACTTCGTTCGTTGCGACTTGGAATCTTTTCGAACTGCGGTTTCCCCGCAATCGAGCTTCAGATGAACCACGACTACAACAATCGTTCCGCGGTCAGTTGTACAGTGAAAGACAAGCATTGCGCGGCTTCTTGAACGACATCCCATCCCATCGTGTTTACGTTGGTATGGACGGGTAGCCTTCGCCAGGGCATGTTACTGGACACCAGTGTATTGTACCACTCATGGCCACTGTAGGTAGTCACCGTAACGATACTCGATTTGTACCCCTGGGCCACCACTGTAAGAAACAAAGACTAGGATGTGTCGTTGGCTACCTCTACTTAGGTACCGCACCTTGAACACTAAAACCTACCTACCTAGGTAGGTAGATGATATTCGTTATGTTCATACGGGTACGCGAGACTTTGCCCTTTCCATCAACCAGCATGTGCTATGTACATAGAGGTAAGCAAGTATCTACCTACTCAAAAAAGTGAGGAGCAGTTGTTTCGGTCTCAGTGAGATAAGGCGGGATCACCGCTTCCATTACTTCTCGCCTCCTGAACTACACATACCACTCACTATCTTGCCTCATTGCCTAGAGAAAATCGCAATGCCAGTACACACCAGTGCATCCACAAGCCGGTCACTTTTCTTTCTTTCTTTCTTTCTTTTTTTTCTTCTCTATTTTTCGGACAACCTAACTAACCTCCTGTCAGGTGCCCTCAACAGCCTCCTCGGTTACCTTATCATTACTTGATGTAGATGAAGCCTTTAAACCAAGGGGGCCAGCTATTACTGCCCCTTATAGACGATGGGACAAGATAACCAAAACATGGTGGTTTGTCTTGGCCCCTCTACGCTACTGGACTGTGAGGCTGTAGTGTATGTATAACACAGCCAGCCCTGCAACCGCCGACCAACCGCCCGCTTTGGCGTCATAGGTCAGGCGTACTTCATTTATTCACTAAGGGTGACATGACGGTCTCACCGTTCACCGGTGTTTACACAGTACGACAAGCAAGAGCATGATTCTGGAAATGGTTTAAAGACCGTTGTTTGGGTCACACCGGTTGATACTGTTAAATGATTGGCAATGTGGAAAAAAGGACCCTGAGATTATCTGCCGTTCGCCATGGTAAGGACTTTGAGGTTAGAAGCAAAGGGAAGAGGTTAGGTCTGCACACGTAAGCGACACCTTGTTGCTTTCAATAAGGCCAGAGAAGGTGCAGTTCCAGAGCTCGATAGAAATCGGTCTGTCATCGTTATCTGTCTGGCCTGTAATAATATTATTACAGAGTGATTCGCTTTCTCGCTCGAATTATTATCACTATACCCGACCAGAAGAAAATGCCAGGCATTACATACATTACACTCATATACCGATGCCACCCGTCTGGCCCGCCTCATCACACTAATTTCATCCCGCTCCATGGCTACCTAGACGTAGATCCGTGCGGGTACGTCTGCCGATTCTCCAGTTCAACCCCGTCTTCATCCTCATCTTCCGTCCCATCCAGTATCTGATCATCCCTGACTCCTCCCTGACTCCTCACCGTCCTATTAGTACCACTTCCCACGCGAGCACCAGCACCACCAGCCAACGTCTCCCTAGGCAAATCCAACGAATCCCTCAACCGAATCCTCCCACCACTCGCGATCGACACCTTATCCGACACCCACCCCGCAACCCTCTGCATCAACTCCCACAGTCTCTCGTCATTACTAACAACCCCCTGTTGCTCCGCTCCATTACCCTGTCCATGCCCACTGTGTTGTCCATTGTTAGCAACCTCCTCCATAGCCTCGACCTTGAACTGATACTTGAGGCAATCCTTCACCGTGACAAGCCCCATCAGCTTGCCGTGGTACTCAATCAGGATCACACGCGGACCGATCTTGCGGAAGAGTTCCATGACGGTTTCGAGGGGGAGGCGCGGGTGAGCGGAAACGGGGGTGGTGTCTACGTAGCGGCTGAAGTTGATGAAGTTGGAGGAGGAAGAGGAGGACGAAGCGGAGCCAGTGGTGGATGGCTCGGCGAAGCCGATGGTGTTGAAGCTGTCCATGCGGACAAGACCGGGTGTTATGATGTCAGCGCCGGGGGTGGTGACATCTGCGCTGGGCGGTGGAGCAAAGGTGCACTTGGCTTGAGGACTGAGTGTTCTCTCACGCTTTGCGCGGTCGACGGCGTAGCGTAGCTCCGTACGGCCGATGTAGCCTACGAGGATCTTGGAGTGCTCATCTTCCACGATCGGGAAGCCTTGGTAGTTGTCCTCGGCGAGAAGAGCCTCGATTTGCTGGAGGGTCATGCCATTGGTGGGGATGGATGTGACATCCTTGATCATGGCGTGCGAGACGGGTACGCCGAGGTTGTGGTCTTCCTTGTTGTCGAGGAAGGGAAAGCCGCTAAACCAAATCATGCGGTCTGCGATACCACCTTTGCCGAACAGCTCGCTGACGGCTTTGGTTACTCCAACGACAATCATGGTTGGCAGGATGTAGGTGAGGGCGCCGGTAAGCTCGAACATGATGACCACCACCGAAACGGTGATGTGCATGATGCCACTCAGAGCGGCGGCGGCACCAAGGAAGGCGTATGTTCCCGGCGTGATGCATGGCACATCGGGCAAGCAAGCAGCGAAGAATGGGCTTTGCGGGTTGGCTTCATGGAGTGCTTGGACAATGATGCCCACTGAGCGGCCAAAGGAGGCACCGATGGCCATGGACGGCACGAAAATACCGGCTGGGACCTTGCAGCCGTACGAAATAATGACGAACAAGATACGGATGACGGTTGCTAGCAGCAAAGAAACCACGTTGCGAAAGCGGTGATCTCTCTCGCAGAGGCCTTGATAATCCTCAGCGCCTTCGCATTCAAGAAAAAGAATCTCCATGCTCTCGGTCATGTCGATTCTCAGAAAGCTGTTCGGATAACACACGATAGCCGTGGCAGCCGCCAACAGAGTAGCTTCGAGAATAGCGTAGTTGGTCAGGTACTTCTTGCGGAATGCTTGCACCCTGAGATTCCACTTCATGACGAAGGCACCGTATAGACCGCCAAAGATGCCCAGTAGGATAAAGAACAAAATCTCAAAGAAGTGCCACGATCTGTCGTAATGGACCTGGAACATGACCAATTGCCCAGTTCGGAAAGGATTCATGGCAGACAGGACGGCTGTTGCAACCAGGGCGCAGAAGTAGCTACGCCACATGGTCTTGAGAGGGAAATAGCTGGACATCTCTTCGAGCGAGAACAGCACGCCTCCAATGGGGCTACCGAAAGCGACGGCAACTCCTGCAGCAGCACAAGCGCTGAGGATCTCACGCGTCTTGGATGCATTTCGTCTATACTTGGCGAAGAGCCTCGATATGACATTTCCTGTGCACACAGCGTAGTGTACGCTAGGCCCTTCCTTTCCAACGGAGAGACCGGAGCCGATGGCAAGTGGTAGGGCCAAGGACTTGATGACCAGGGTCCAGAAACCGAGAAACCCCTTCATGACGAAGCCGGCGATGATGCATTTGATCTCGGAAATGCCAGAGCCGGCGGCATAGGGGGCATAGGACTTGACCAGGGTGGCTGATGTGCAGGCGAACAAGATCTAGAGCCTCGCTGTTAGTGGGGGGGTGGTCTTCTCAGATGGCCCGACGTGGGATAGCCAAGTATTACGAACCGCAAAGAGTATGTAGATCAAGTAGTTGATGGGTGAGAAACCCGTCCATTTTTGCCAGTCATCGCAGCCGTTGTCCTCCCCCCAGCAACAGAAATTCTCGTTGAGATAGAAGGCAGTCTTGCAATGGCCAAGCTTGATGTCGGCAAGCCATTCGGTGATAATGTTGAGAAAAGCAGCATTGACCCCAATTGCCGCGCCTATGATGGTGACGACAATCCAGCCCTGGGCAGCATCGTAAGACTCCCGTATCCTGTGTCGCCAGTCGAAGCGGCCGGCGTCCCAGAGCCCCGCATTTCTTTTTCGGCGCGCCTTTCGGCGCAGTTGTTCTCGCGCCGCATCTTGCACCCAGTCTGTCGTCTATCGTCAGCGCCTGCCTGCCCGGCCGGTCGGGCGGAAGTAGTTCTGATGTCAAAGGTGTATCATACCGATGGTGGTGAAGTCCTACTCGGTCCATGTTAGTAGCCGCACAAACTGACCCGGTCGCATCGCACAACCCAAACTCTGGAGCAAGCGAAGCTAGCTGCTGACCTCGTATCGCTTGATCTGCGCAATTTCCTCCTCGATTTGATGTTGCGCTGCTACTCCTTGGGCCGTCTGGGCTTCTCCTTGTTCGGCAATGGACACGGCGTAGGAAAACCGGGAGCTGACGGATGGTCTTCGAGCGCGCTGGTTCGGGATCTGAGGCACTGACGTCGAGAACGACGTAGATCGGGGTTGCGAATTCATGGCGCCTGGGCCGCCTCTAGACATCATGTCGCTGGCATTCGGACTGAAATAGGAAGTGCGAAATAGGTGGGCGCTTGTCCGAGTTGTTTGCTGTTCCTCAGCACCTAGAAGTACTAAGTATTCATGATACCTATTGTCTTCCAGGTTGTCACCGTTATCGATTGCGCCTCCAGCCGCCCAGGTGCCTGTAATCGTCCACTGAAGCTATCACTGCAAGGCTGAACTGAGTGACGTCCCAACTCCAGCGCCCAGCTTCCGGGGTCCTGGGCTCCCCTTGGCAGGCAACCTAATCCCTGAGCCGCCAAGGTGCCCGCCCCCTGGTACTGTACCATGTTATAGCCACCCATGGGGTTGTCTGGGAAAAGATGCAACACTTCTGTTAATCGCGTCTTTACGCGTTTCACTTTAACGTCTTGCCGTCGATCTGGTTCAAGTCCAACCATTCTCTGAACCAAGGAAAGCTGGGTAGACTTTGATCGGATCATCCAGAGGACCCACGATTACTTTTGACATATCGGCCGCCAATCTTACAAACTTGTCACACCCTCGGTGGCGGCACCTTCGAAGCTCAGTCTAGAACGAAAAGTAGAACTGAACCCCAAACTGGTTTCTCCCTCACCTCAGCGATATAAAATTTACTCCGAACTTGGAATCACCTCGCACATTGTCTCCTGGAGATCTGCCGTTCTCTCTGCCAACAAGATGCCGTACAATACCACAGCAATTCCTCCCAGAAAGGAAGTCACAGGCCAAACCCAGCTGCCCCGTAAGGAAACCCAGCAGTCCCCTTGAACTTCCTCTCACCCATTCACTCCGTGTGAGTCTACATATACTAACCACATCCTCTCCACCCAGTCACAAGGGTCAAAAAAATCATCGCCGTAGATCCAGACATCACAGTCTGCTCCAACAATGCCGCTTTCGTGATCACTCTGGCAACAGAAATGTTCATCCAACACCTCGCCTCCGAAGCCCAGAACATGGCCAAAGCCGAGCGCAAGCCTCGCCGCAACGTGCAATACAAGGACGTGGCCGCTGCCGTCTCCCACCACGACAACCTCGAGTTCCTCGAGGACGTGGTGCCCAAGACTTCTTCCTACAAAGCCATCAAGGCGCAAGCAGCGGCCGCCCGGGCCCGCGTCAAGGGCGGGAGCGACGTTGTGATTCCTCCTGCGGGGACCGCCGCCGCGGTCGTTTTGGCGCCTGGACCGGTTATGGGAGGACTGGCAGCTCCCGAGGGGGTTATGCTGTCTTTGGAGCAGGGACAAGTGGGTGATCATGGAGATGAGCGGGATAGGATGGCGATGCTGCCGAATGCCAAGAAGCAAAAGGGGTCCGGCGGGTTGCAGCAAACGTCCATCTTGATGTCTATGAATGGGGGGTTGCCTGCTGGTACAGGAAGCGGTGTTAGTGGAAGCATTGGAGGGCTGGCGGCGCCGGTGAATGGACTCGGTGCTGGCGGGGTTAATACCGGTATTACCAATATGGGTGTCACGACGGGTGTGGTGGGCATGTCGTCGGCTTCTGGACGACCGTTCAGTTCTACTCCTGGTGTGATGAGCGGTATGAATAGGGGTATCTTGTCGGCATCACCGCCAGCTACTACGTCGGACGAGGATCCCAGCGCGCAGTTGCAGATGGAGATGAGGCAGGCGGCGTCACAGCAATATCGGGGTCATGATGGGGATGTGGATATGACGGGTTAGTTGAACAACTGTCCATACATACAGAGCCGAATGGACGTGTTGAATATCCGGGTGAGTACAACAAGTTAAAGAGGTGAAGAGTTGCCGAATCAACACCATGGGCCCTTGGTATGCTCATCCCAGCGTCCCTTTCCTCAAGGCCGCTACGATTGCTGCAGTGAAATCATCACACCACTATCATATTTCAGTGTCTCTGTTTCAAACCAACAAATTTGCGTAATTTGGTATACAGTTATTTTGCAGTAAACCCCATCTAGAACCGAACGCCGACAAATGGTAAGCTCTTTGAAGTGCCGTCCTCCCCCTTTTCGTCACCTCTGCAAGCCATCATATCACGAACATATAGCAACCTGATCTACCACGTTCGTCAGGTGCTCATCACCTTGCTTCCTCCTTACTCCTCCATGGCATCGTCATCCTCGGCGATAATGCCAGGTGGCAGCCGTCCCTCGTTGAGCGCCTTCTCCAATCTGATGATTTCCTCCAAGCTGTCGGCCTTCTTGATCAAATCCTGCAACTTCTTCTTCTCTTTCTCTGTAAGCTTGAGACGCGAAAGTTTCGAGGAAGGACCATTGCCGGCCGCACCGTTGGCGGAGCTGGCGCCAACGTCAAAGGTCTTGGTCTTGATTCCCTTTATCTGTTTACATGTTAGCAGGTTTGTCATGACATTGAAAAAGAAGACAAGGTACATACCGTCTTGGCCAACTCCGTCGGCTCATCAGCGGTTCCAAACAGCTCCTTCGCCTTTTGCCTCTCGGCGTCCTTGACCTTGACGTAATCGAGAAAGCGAACCTGAGGGCACAGCCAGAGGACCCAGTAGCGGTAGTTCTGTGTGTCGACAAACCATTGTCAGCCATTCCGTACATTCATTCCATGTGCCATCCCCGTCTCCGACTCTCTTTCTCAGCCGCCTAACACTGGGCGACGAAGGGGCGTTGTGTGACGTACCTCCTTCTTGGTAACGGGGTTGTCCATCAAGACCAAGTGCGTGAGCCTAGGAAACCTTCCCAACACCTCCAAATCCGCCAGCTCGCCAATGTTATTGGACGCCAGGACGAGGTTCTTCAGGTTCGGGATCGCATTCGGTAGGGTCGACTGGATCTGGGCGATCCTGTTGCGGGCGAGCAGGAGGGTGCGTATGCGGGGAGAGAGCGGGAAGTTGCCCAGCACTTGGATATCGTTGTCGGTGAAATCAATGGCATCGTGGGGCTGTAGTAGCGACCAGATTAGCACACTGCATGGATTGGTAATTTGGTCGACGGGCTACCAGTAGCAGTACTGCCAGTAGAGGAAGAACCAGGAGGAGGGAGACACTTACCCCAGCAACGCCCAAGTTCTCAATAGCAGGTATTCTGTGTCCTATTGCATGTACCCCAACCCAACATAGGTTTTCGATATATCAACTCTGTTCTTTGTACGCGCTTTTGGAAACTTGAAGATCAACCGTGCAGTATCTGCTCTTCTCGATGGAACGCACCTCGGAGGTCTATCTCTCGCTCCTTGAGCGGATTGAGGTAGGAAAGGGAGTTGTTGATAAGGTCTGCCGTCAGCCTCATTGTGACGACGGGAGTGCAACGACGACGGGGAGCTGTCGAGCTGTCGCTGCTATTACTACTGCGATGCCGGTCGGTACCTTGTGATGGTTGTTGCTGGTGGTGCTTTTGTGATACGCCGGCGCAAAGGGCTTTGCAAACAGGGGGTTATTTATTGATTACAGCCAGGAGAATTGCCGTATATCCTGTCTTCGCCTTCGAGATTGAAATTGATGGAAGCCGGCAACCAAAGAAACAAAAGGTTGAAGCGCGTCGCGTGGTTCGTAATTGGTGGCTGTAGTGAAGGTACCAAAGTAGTTTCACAAGGCTGCCTGCCCCAATGAAGTCATGGACAGCGCCGCAAAAAAAAAAACGGACGGTGTAGTAACCCTAACCCCTGCGCGTCGATTACTTCAGTTGCAAGTCACAACCACACGGAGCTCCTAAACAGAATCGACACGGTTTGTGTCTGAAAGACTACTAGAGTCAGATATTATATATGTTCATTTTCTGCCCTCTTGTTGCCCTATAATGTTTCTTACTCGCTATCTCGCCAGGTCGTTGACCAGTTCTCGTTCTACTTCTTGGTGTAAACGCTTTCATAACCACTAACCGCCCGCTAATGAAAAAAAAAAAAAAAAAAAAAAAAAAAAAAAAAAAAAAAAACACTTTCGTCACACTCGCTCTTTAGTTCAAGTCCCCAACCCAGCATCATCTAGAGAACCTGCAGCTGTAACTTTAGGGCTTGTTTTGTTGCGATGCACACTATTGTGCAATTCCATTGTAACGCCACCAACAATGCTATCTCTACATCGTCTAACCGGGCGTCGAATGACGCCTTCCATGCTACTCAAACCAGAAGCCAGAGTCACTGACACAATAAGCTTGCTATGTAACGCATCACGCAAATTCCATGTCCATTACCTGGTATCACACACACAGAATTTGCCCGACCTTGAACCAGAAGCGGAATTTAGTATGCAAATCCACACGTCTCGTCCTTCTATGCTGATAATCAGGTGCCCAAGGGTCGTGCCACTCATTCGCTACTCGACGACAAGCCCCTCCAAAGCTTCCATCGCTCTAGCACCCTGCTTCTCAAACAGCAGGACCATCTCCTCGCATTCCCTCTTCAGTTTCTGCTCGGCCAAGTTGGCATTATGATAGATCCACTCCTCCACGGTCATCCGCTTCTCCGGGCTCGTGAGCTCACTGCCCTTGTGCAAGAGTTTGTCAATGCCGTCTTCCTTGCCGTAGTCATTCTTGTTGGGCGAGAAAATATTGTCTAAATCCGCCGCGGTCCAAGGCTTAGTGCTTTGAAGGGCACCCAGAATCGTCCGTTTGCAAGGAGAAGTGGGCCTGTCTGGTGTGGTGGCCATTGGTGCTAGAGCATGACGTTCGACTATTGGGGTCAATTGCTTCGGCGATGGGGGTCGGTTCTCTGCATTTGAGGATTGCATTGAAGGCGAGCGGTATACGCTTGGCTGTTCTTGAGGTACACGCGCGACTGTAGGTGCCTGAGGTGTAGCAAGCGGCTGAGACAGGTGATCTGGGGACTCAGATGGCGGCGGAGGAAGAGGCTTGTTCATTTTGGCTGGTGTCGGCGCAACACGAGTAACGGCCGCTCTAAGAGGGGAGGCCCGGGGCGTAGGTTCCGGAACCGGTTCTTCTGTTGCCGCTTCAACGCCCGCCTCTTTCGGAGTTGAAGCTGATAAGCGGCGCTCGGTTTCAGGCTCGGCCTGGGTCTCGACCGGGGCTTGGGCCTCCGGAAGCGGGATCCCAGATGAAGTTCGCTGCTGCTCTGCCACTTCGCTTGACGCATGGGAAGATGTAGACTTTTTTGATGGGCGTCCCCTTCCCCGCTTGACCGTACTTGGTCGGTCGCTACTTTTTGAGACCAAGGTTATATCAGGATCCTCTCCAGATCCTAGCTCGGGCTCTGCTATTTGAGGCACTATAGATGTAGCTTCGGGCACAGCAGTAGGTCCGCTCGTCAGTTCGTCGATAGGATCGGATAATGGAAGAGACTGTTGGATCCTTTTCGCTTGCTTAGACATCCTCTGGGCAGCTACTTTACGACTATCTTTGGGGAGGGGGATGTCGGATGAATAGATTGGATCCTCAGCATTCGCTTCCTGTTGTGATTTTGCATCCTGCGCTTTGCGTTCTGGACCAATATCGGCGTCATCACTGTCCATCTGACGATTGACGCCCTCATCATTCGACAAATCTGTCTGCGGCGCTGTTGTCGAATGTGAGTGCCGCAGAGAAACTCGCGAGCTTTTCCGCAAGTTCTGTGTTCCTTTGGCGGGCGCTCTCTTGCGGGTAGCTGTTTGTTTGGGAGATGGTGCATCGACAATGTCATTGTCCTGTGATTCCACGGCTGAAGTGGAAACATCAGTAATCGCAGCTCCTCCTGTTCGTGTTGCCCGCTTCTTCTGCGGAGGCGCCTCCGGGTTGGAGTCCACAGAGTCGGAAATCGACTCGCTTCCCCGCTTCCGTCCATTTGGTGGTTCTTCAGCAGCCAATTGTTCGTCTGCTGGTTTGTCCTTTAAGGTTGCCTTGGGCTCTGCTTCCTTCTTCTGGGCTTTCGCTTTTCGACTCCTAGTAGTTGCCTTTTTGCTCTTTGCTGCTCGCGTGGTTGGCGCCATGATGATATCCTCAAGGCCGCCCGCGGTGTCTGAGGCGGATACTTGATCCGAGGTTTCTGCAGTGGGGATGCCGACAGGCTGGACAGAAAGGCGGTGGGCGACCTTGGATGTCCTGGCTGTTTTGGCTCTTTTCGTGGGCTTCTTCGGTGGTGGTAATTCCTCCTGAAGACGGAAAAACGCACATTGAGGTTGTCGTCTCTGGTGTTCGTCGCTAAGTTTCCTGTGAGTTGATTGCGGTAGATATTTGCCAGATGGAGGGGAATGCTTCTTACATTGCTTTGTCACCAGGTTCCCAACCGCTAAGTCCTAGCAGGCAATATGGACAAACTGTCATGTCTTCATCCTCGATTGTTGGTGCGAATTTCCAGCCAGCTTCGGCAAGCTGCGACCAGTTAGCTTATGTTCCTTCGATTCGGGCAAGTGCAAGGGAATGCTTACTTGCTTTGACTTGCACTTGAATCCCCTCTTGGATTCGTAAGGCCACTTCCCCCCAAAGGTAGCCTTCCGCGCATCGACAAGAATCGGTTCCAGAGGGTGCATCTTCCCATAGTCTCCAAGATTCGCTTCGACCGCTGCCGTCACAGCCCAGCCGCAAAATGGTGAATGTTTCAGATGTTCTTGGATTGGATGGTCTCCAGGCGTCCAGCCATCAAAGGAATTCTCGCACAAAAAGCATGTTACATTGTCGGGACTAGTGACCATAGGATCAAAGTAAAATCCGGCTTTTGCGAGCTAGAAGTTCGGTTCGGTCAGTCTCCTCTTCCACTCAGGCTTTGTCAACCTGCTGCCTCCCTCCGGTGCCGTTCACTGACCTCATCCGCTGATAAAGACTTATGTGGCCATTTTACCAGCTTGCCTCGGGAATCAGCGGGAGGTATCCCATCTTTGTTTGCCAGGGGCTGCCCATCAAAAGACACTAGACGATTTTCGTAGATGAAGTAGTCTGTCATGGTCGCGGATGCGCCGTTGCGGCCGGAGGTCGATTCGTACAGGAACGTTATTTCGCGAGAAGAATTGTCGGAATCAGCCTTGTTTCTTGGTAGTAACGGTGATGTCTCTTGTCCCGCTTGGCTGAGCGAAGGCCAGTAGCTGGGAATGTGATCGCGCAAAGGTCGAGGCTGTCGCAAACGGAATCGGATTTGGTGGTTTAGTCGCGAAACCGATACATATTTCGGAGGTTGATTGAACAATAATAATGCGTCAATTTCGAATATTTTGTCAAATCCTGATTTTGTTGTTCCTTCACGCTGCGCAAGACAATGCGCACAATGGTTGAGGCGGACGGTGGTGGGGGGAGATACGCTGTTGAGGAAGTTGCAATGACAAAACAATCGGCAGGCCGATCGGCGACGCGATTGGGTGTTGCCCAGGCTCGCTGTTTGTTTACATGTAAACCGACATCACCGGGGACACGCAAGGCTGTGGCTAAGAGCTGATAAAGAACATCCTTATCGGCACGTGGCTTATTTCTTGACACGGGAGCGCCAAGAAAATACTTGAACGAGTCCAGGTCCCATTAGAGGTCGGTATTTTCGGTAAATCTAGCATTTTTTCAATTCCTGACCGTTTACCATACTTACCAGACGTCAGGAGCCCGTGTACGAGTCCGTGCACCTTTCAGTTTCTGATGAGCCGTGATACTGTAAGTAGCCAACCACAACCAGAACTCTATCAAGATTTATCGATAAGATTGCTTGGCGCGGTAAGGTATTCCATTTTTTCCATTCACTGACGGTAATTACTGTCACTGACCCAGCGTCAGGAAAGAAAGGCCGACCCCTAGGTCCCATCATCCATCCCGACAGGATCGGGCACGGATACTCCGACCTGCCGTGTCTGGGTGTTGGGGCCTTCCAGTCCACAATCCGAAAACTCCAACCACCCAACTGAACGATCCAGTCTTCCCACTCCCCCCCCCCCCAACCAAAGCCGATGACCATAGTTTGAGATGGTTTACCAAGAGGACCCAACGATCCGTACAATTACATACCCGTCACTAACACGGCAGGTCGAGATTCGGCTGGTCTGATCAACACCCATCGAAACTCAAAGTCCGGACCATTTCAGAACGAGCCACAAAGGCACAGCAAAAGAAGCCGGAAAGAAGCCATCGAGAACAACCCAGCCAAGTCCACTAGTGTGTGTAGTGTAGCGTGTACCTCTTGTCCACCCGCTCGCTTCACTTGCAAACTTGAGAAAAGATCCACCTTTTCCGATACCGGTCAGAGTAAGGTAGCAAAGCAGTGGGGGTCATGGCGGGCTTCTTTCGTCCGATTCTCCCCACATGAGATTATCGCTCGGCGGACTAGCGAGCGGAGCGGAGCGGGCCCTTGCTTACAAAGATCCGATCCATGACTCTCTTGGCACGGCAGCCGTTATCTTAGTGGTTTCCAGGACTGCTGAGCATCCAAGTGCGTTGATGGCCAAACGTTTCTACATTAGTCTAGGCCATACTATTGCAGTCGTCTGTGAAATCCAGATAGTTAGTTTGTTCATTGTCGGGTTATCTTGCAGGTACAAGCCGCGGTGGATGCCGAACTCGCAGAGGCTATTGTGCCGACGGTGCTATTGGAATAACGCATTGACCGGTTCGTCCAACCTAGTTCCACCCACAAACTTTGTTCGTGCCCCTCGAATCTCTCCAACAGATGGTTCCCTAGCTTTGCGGTGGTGTAATGTCTGTGCTAGGTACCGGTCTCAACTGATGTATTGGATGGTCTGGGGTTCAACCTGGACCTTGGAGAGAATGCACACGTGACAGACGTCCATTCTCTAGCCCCAGTACCCCAGATACACGACACCATGGAACAGGCATCACTTGGGTCGACCTGTATAGATCTAGAACCGGAAAAGCAGAAGGAGTCATCAAGAAGGGAAGACTGGGCGCAATTACGCTACCAACCTCTGGAACATGAAGATATCGGAGGATTTGTTGGTTCGTGCAGTACAGTAGATACCCCTGCTTCTACAACCCCCCCCTTCTGCAAAATCCCTATTAAATGCAAGAAATTTCCTGCCCGAATTATTTTCCCATACTGAAGCTGCAAATTGCAAATTGCAAGACTGACAGCCCAGATTTGCAGCTGCAGGGGGGCTGACAGGGGATGTCGGGCCGCCAAGAAGAGCTGTCAGCCAATAGAAATCGACCGATTGAACCGTTAGCTAAGCGCCAGCTTACTAGAACTTTCCTTACCCGAACCCCAAATTCCCTTTTGTGGTCCGTGCACCCTCCCCCCCTTCTGCAAGATCCCCATTAAATGCAAGAAAAATGGCTGCCCGGATTCCTTGTAGAAGCAGGGGTATCTACTGTAGTAGCTTGGCCTTCCTGAAATGGAATCCTTGATGCGTCAGCCCAGATGCACCATTCAAACGCGTGTCGCATTCTAGAAGTACGCACGTACAGTAGCTGGGTTACACGGTAGCCAATCTGGTAGACAAACCGCTATCCCCCACGATCTGGAATCAGCCGCATTCCTGGGCACGAATGACGGATAACGTCCTCTCATCTAGGCACGTGTGCATCATGATACTCATCCCCAAGTGCAACACATCCAAAGTTCCCGAAATCAAGTTGCATGCCTCATCGCCTCCCGTCGTCATCCAACGGACAGTACCATCTTTTGTATTGCATTCTATACGGTCCCACTAAGCCTGGAACGACAGGCCGCAGACGGGTCGCTACATGTTGATATTACGGTGCCTCAAGGTTTTGTCGTCTTCGAGGACGACCCAATCTTGAAGATTGGTGAATTGGACCAGGATGAAGCTGTGCTGCGTCTGATCCCAGGAACGAGATGCACCGCCGGCGACGGTCTGGGACTCGGGCGTGTGTTGCTTGCCCCAGATCTGCACACTGGCTTGGGTCATTAGCCAAGGCAATTCAGTTTCATCAGAAGAACGTATCAATGGTGTACGTGTCTCCGTCATTCATTCCAGTCCCTTGGAGGCGAGCACAGTGTTCCCAAATTCAACATCTAGGTAGTGTACGACTCAAAGGACTGACACCAGTCAGAACGTCGTCGAGGTTTGGGTGGTGACGGACAGCTGGCTGGCCCTGACCCCGACACATTCCCCACAATTCATGTCGTCATAAAGCTCCTCTAGCGTGCCCCAAACCCTAAAATCTCGTGCAGACACCCACTCGTCGAACATTTGGAACAATTCTAAAACCAAACCTAACTGTGTTCATTGCTCAGAGAAACGCTGCCAGGCACAGCCAGGGAAAGCCCGCACCATCAAAGATTGTGTTGGACGGGAGCTTGCACTTGCAACGATAACAAAGTAGCTGACGGCATGGAATTATGTGCAGCTTTTACTAATGGTCCCTGCAGCGCTATCTGCCCCTCCGAGAAAAGAGTCCACCGCTCCGCCGCGGACCCTCGTCGCCCTCCCTGCCACCACGCAATGCGATGGTTCTCGGGTGGTGAAAATGGTGTACTCAGAAGGTACATCGGCCGGACATGGTCCACGCGCAACAGGCAAAACAGCCATTCTCCAATCGCCTTCTCGGGATATGTAGCGCGGACATGGGAGAAAAAAAAAGTCGTGGAGCTGGAGCAATGCCGGCGCTACTTTAAGGTTGTCTGTTGGGCTTTCACGTCCCACTCGCTTCATCCACCTCGCGCACCAAGTGGGCTTCTCTCCGGGTCTCCAGTTGCAATCCCGGTCGGGCTTTGCTCTCTTTGCCACCATCGCGGGTTCGACTGTTGCATCCACTGCTGACGAGTGGGTGCTGGTTCCGCTTGCTCTCACCTCCCATTCGATTTCTCACCACCTCCCTGTCAGACTTCCCCAAGAGGTCCACCGTCATGACTAATAGAATGGTTATTGTCCGGGAAGCCTCAAGCCGGCCAGCTTCTTCGAGCATCCCACGCGCCCACCTGCCTCTTCAAGTGACCGAGCAGCTGGATCTGGTATCCTGGGTTCGCCTTTGCCCAGGCGACCAGAACACAACTTCACCACCAGCATCATCACAAGCCCTGTCTAGAACCACCGGCCTGCAGAGGTCAGCACGTGGTCAGCTATTGTACGCATATCGTACGCATTATGTATCAGTCGCAGTCAAGGCTTGAGTTGGTTTGGCCTTGTTGTCTGTGCTATGGTGAGGTCCGAAGGGCATGCTTTATCAAGCTTAGTTGTCCAACGCACTGCAGTCTGCACATATGATGTATGTCCGTGAAGCTGGAAGAGCAATGCTGGCTGCCAGTTCAAATCATCCTCTAGATAATGAGGTAGCAGGAGCGTCCGGCAACGGTCAGAAAAGAGAAGCAATCGCCAGTCTGCCAGTGCAGTCTCAGAGCAGCAGGAGCAGTTCTGGCAAGAGCAGTGAGGAAGTGGACAGCTTCAGGGCAAGGGCAAGGCAAGACAGCAAGTGCAAGGTGTACCTGGTTTTTGCTGTCTTTTCATTCGCCGAGATCGCTGGTCGTTTGGAGAAAGGTATTCGAGGATGATCCTTTTCGGCAATTCCGGAGTGCGGCGGCGACCAGATTGTGTAGTGTACACTACGTGTACGCATTCCAATTAGTAGGCCAGTTGGAGAGGCTCCATCGGATTGTCCCTGACTCGTCGACTTCCAGGTTGCAACTGCTAGTGCGTCGTCTGCACGAGATCCGCCTCGCCCCAAGCGCATCCCAACGCGGCGTGCTTATATGTCGCTCTTCCCTCTCACGTACCTCGCAAGTACCTGTCTCATCCGGCATCCGCCTTCTCCATCCCTCTTCTTTAGTACTTAATCTGCCCCGGTCCCCCGCAGTTCATCCTGTCTCTCAGACCTTGGATCGTCTGTTGGTCTTTTCGCTTGTTGTCCGTACCCCCATCCATATTTATCTGCCTGGGCTCCCAGACAGCATTTTCTCTTTCCCTCCCTCTATAGCCATCCAAACAGCTTGAGAAGCGAAAACCAAGCCACTGTCGACAAAGGCCTTCAACAAGGCCTCTTCACCACCCAACATGGACTCACAATACGAGACAAAAAAGAATGACCCAAACGCCATCATGCCGTACCCAGAGTCGAACGATGAGCATGTTGGCGAGGTCCGCGGCTTGGGCGGCGGCATCATGGACAAGGAGCCCGAGGCCCAGGAGGGCCATGCCAAGTTCCACCGTCTCGGCTGGAAACGTCTGACGGTCGTCCTCATCGTCGAGGCTATTGCCCTCGGCTCTCTTTCGCTACCCGGCGCCTTCGCTACCCTTGGTATGGTGCCTGGTGTTATCCTCTCTGTCGGCATGGGACTCATCTGCATCTACACGGCTCACGTTATCGGACAAACCAAGCTCAAGCACCCTGAGATCGCCCACTATGCCGACGTTGGTCGTGTCATGTTTGGAAGATGGGGATATGAAATCATCAGCTTCATGTTTGTTCTGCAGCTGATCTTCATCGTCGGCTCCCACGTCCTCACCGGCACCATCATGTGGGGCACCATCACGGATAACGGCAACGGGACCTGCTCTCTCGTCTTCGGCATTGTCTCCGCCATCATTCTTTTCCTCCTTGCCATTCCTCCCAGTTTCGCCGAGGTTGCCATCCTTGGATACATCGATTTCGTTTCCATCTGCGCCGCCATCCTCATCACCATGATTGCTACTGGCATTCGCTCGAGCCACCAGGAGGGTGGCCTCGCTGCTGTTCCCTGGTCTTGCTGGCCCAAGGAGGACCTTAGCCTCGCTGAGGGCTTCATTGCTGTCAGCAACATCGTTTTCGCCTACAGCTTCGCCATGTGCCAGTTCAGCTTTATGGATGAGATGCACACCCCCTCCGACTACAAGAAGTCCATCGTTGCTCTCGGCTTGATTGAAATCTTCATCTACACCGTTACTGGTGGCGTCGTTTACGCTTTCGTCGGCCCCGAGGTCCAGTCTCCTGCCTTGCTCTCTGCTGGCCCTCTTCTCGCCAAGGTTGCTTTCGGCATTGCCCTCCCCGTCATCTTCATCTCTGGCAGTATCAACACTGTTGTCGTCAGCAGGTATCTGATCGAGCGCATCTGGCCCAACAACGTCATTCGCTATGTCAACACCCCAGCGGGTTGGATGGTCTGGCTTGGTTTTGACTTTGGCATTACTCTCATTGCCTGGGTCATTGCTGAGGCCATCCCTTTCTTCTCTGATCTGTTGGCCATCTGCTCGGCTCTCTTCATTTCCGGTTTCAGCTTCTACTTCCCTGCCTTGATGTATTTCAAGATCACCAGGAACGATGCCAAGAGCCAGGGCAAGAAGTACTTCTTGGATGCCCTCAACATGCTCTGCTTCGTCATCGGCATGGGCATTCTTGGTATTGGTACCTACGCCGCTATTCAGGACATTGTAAGTTTGGCCCGCCATCCTGTTTACTCTTTGCACACTAATGCTAATACTTGCTTCTTAGATGGACCGTTACGACCATGGCAAGGTTTCGAAGCCTTATAGCTGTGCTCCCTTGGCTTAATCCGGCCCAACGCACGCTTATGATCCTGTTTTTTTTGGATGATTTAATCAAAGTTGCGCAGTGATTGATGTTTGTCTTCACCCGCGATTGCCCCTTTTGTATACCCCCTCAGACTTGTCGGCCTGGGGAAATGTTTTGAGTATTTCTATTTTCGGAGTTTCAGGATTTGGCACAAAGCAAACCAGCGCGGAGTTGAGACCGTGGTGTGGTCGCGGTGCGCTGCTGCATTGGTATTGCTTTTCCAGGTTTTTGTTTTGGTGGTTTGGATGCGTGCACCACCTTTTTTTAACGTTTTATGCATGCATGTATTATATGGGAAAGTCATGGGACATGGCAACTATACGAACGACGCGAAGATAGGATGGGATGGATGATGGATGGACGAACGATCCAACGCACTGGGGGACTGGACTGAACGAAATTGGGACGGACGGGACAGGTAACCTAGGTACCTAATGACCGGAATATGTTTACAAATCATTGTTTAGTGCGGGTGACCAATAGAGACGATGGGCACAGGAATATCGATAGATCCTACCTATACTCTAAACTCTATAGGTATAATGTTCGCTGAACATACCTTGCCAAAAACAAGAGAAAACCCATGATTATAAAATCATCCTGTTGTTGTGCCATATTTTCCACTCTGACTCCCAGCCTAACAGCTTTTTTTTCTCCTTGGCCACGCGCACCCGATATCTCGAGTTTTTGAAGGATTCTCGTGTTGGGTGGAGCTTTTCTCAACAATCCTGGGGCTTCGAAACCCTCCGCCAGACCTCACCCCAGTAGTCAGAGTTTAGCCCGCCAGCCAGCCCGTCAGCCAAGTGAGTACTAAGATCAATCTCGACTCCTTGACAAGCCTTCGCGCGGCCACGTCTCCTCTCAACACGCAAAACTTGTGTCATTGTTACTACACTACAAGTTACCATGGCAATGTTCCAGACAGATTCGAATCCTAGAGTAGTATAGTCGATTTTGTAAATCCGGGGAAAGGCACTTTCGGGTGACGTTTTCCAAAATCCCTACGGATATGCTTTCCCCAGAGCGAAAAATTTACATAATGCCCAACCAGTCGTGACGATCGATTTGTTCACACGGGTCTAGGAGCGGAATATCGGGGGGGTCAATCACGGGATACCGTCGCCTAACAGCGGGACAAGACGACTAAGGGAACAAGACCGACAAAAGACGGGATGAAATCCGAAGGGAGGTAAACGCGGCAAAGGTCTGTACGTTTAGTATACATGAAACTGGAAGTTGAACTTGGCACTTCTTCTTTTCTATCCAGTCGTGCGTGACTTGTTTAGTGTACATATGATGGTTGATCTGCGTCGCCTGCGCCGTCGTGTCTGGGAACTGGGGTGCTTGGGGGTTTACAGCCAGTTTAGGTAAGCAGGTTTTTTTTTTTTTTCCACGGGAAGTGCGGATGGGATAGGTACATATGGAAATGTTCCGAACGTTTCGTGAAGACAGTTAAAAACTAGCAAGACAGTAAAAGTAGCACGCACGTACTCCATGCTTGTATGTATGCCGCTGTATGTTTTTGATAAGGTAACAAGGAAGTATGTACATATGACATATCCTGATTATGTGTGATTTGGTTCGAGAAATGTATGTTATGCCTTGCTATACGTATCATCCAAGGTAGGTATGCAAACCGAGACCGAGGGAGAGGGGAGAATACCGGGCATTATAGGAAGACAAAAATGCTCTCGCTGGTTCATGAGTCTTTTACCAAAACGGACGCGAGTGCATGAACATGGCCTTACCTTAGCATACTTCACCCGAGCATGACTACATATCAGGCTAGTACCAAAAGTTGCAGATGCCAGGTAATCATCGACTGACACCAGCGAAAGGGTTGGAAAATGCCGCACGCAGTGCAGGCAGCGCAGCGGACGTCAACGACGACGCCCGGCCGGCATACTACTCGTAGATACTAAGTGAAAAGGCCGGGGGTTAGGGTTAGGTCCAAACCAAAACATGTGCCGATGGAATTGAGTGCGGTGGGGATAAAGTTAAAGCTAAAATCCGCTAGCCGCGTCAGATTTGATGAACAGGGTGTGATTGGCTCTTAAGGTTAAAACGCGCGGATGGGTGGGAGTTGACGAGGGTTAGACGGCACAGCGGAACGAGCAAGTTGGAGCAGTTGGGGAGGGGGTTGGGGAGGAGCGAACCCTGGGAATTTGGGGAAGATTGGAGAACTTTGGGGTTTGGAGTTTCAGGGTTGGTGTGGAAAATGGGTTCTGATCAACGAGATTCGGAGATTGCAAAGGGCGGGTGAGTGAGTACACGTAGGTAGAACGGTTGTCGGTTAGTGCTTCAACTGATGCCGACTAATTGTGCCGAACGATAATGCAGGCAAAAGGGGGAGGAAGGGTTGAAGTAAACAATTGACACCGACAACCCTGTAGTCTAGTTCGGGGACTTGGCGTCAGTCAATGGTACCGCTGCCCCTCCGGTTTCTTCCATCTTCAAAGTGACATTGACGATGCGCGGTCTGTTCCTTGCCATCTGCACATCCATCTCACATCCCGTCGTTTCGGGAAATGAGGGAACAACAGACGGCCGTGGGGAATTCAGCCGGAGGATAACGGGTTGACCGACGGCAGTGAGGTTGGGGACAGACGGTCGAAATCCGAGGTCATCGTTGCCAAGACGAAGTCGTTCCGGTGGACGGCGACGAGCGAGGACTTGGCTGGTCGTTCACACCACGGTCACCAAACAGGTTAAGCTACGTAGAGGTAGGGACAACGCTTCAGGTGCTCAGCATCATGTCAGCATCGCCTACAAAATGCCGAAACGGCGGCTATCGAAATGTACGCACTTTCGATTTCGATCGACTGACCATCCATCCCATTTCCGACCGCCAACTTCCGAGAACCGTTGGTGTGATGTTGGCGTCGTTACATGTAGCTGTCACAGCCGCAGCCTAGCTAGCCTATGGCCAAGTGGCCGGGGAATTCCCCTTTACCCTACCTTATCATCTGCCCGGGATGGTACAAGTCGGACCGAGCTTAGCCAGCGCACGTTAGTGTGTTTTGCTAGCCTCTTTGCCTAGGAGCCTCAAACATGCTCATTTCACGTCTCACATCTCACGCTTTCTCGATGGTGCTTATCAGTCGCAAGGAAAGTTTAGTATACGGACATGATGATCAACGGGCGGAGTAGTAAGCACCCGGGGGGAGAAAGAAATTTGGGAAGAAGAACCAAATGTTAACGTTTGCACTAGTAACGAGGTGTTGCGCCGCCGCCGCTCGATGGGAGCCACGGAGTACGGACTATCACGGGACACCCTCGGTGATATGCACAGCTAGGCTCGCCCAGAGAGCCTGACCAATGATGGTGCCTCAAAGCTCTGAACTCTGTAACCGGATCCCGAGGTTACTCCAATTGCCAAGAGCATTCTGGTGTCTCTCGGACCTGATGATCTTGGTTGAACAATCGATGAAACGGGATAGGACGCCGTCGCCGTCGCCGCATGGCCGAATCTAACGAACATGGATGATTCTACGAAGTACCTTTCAAGTACCTTCGCCGTCCAGGGGAGGGTGCCATGCCAGGACCCAGGGAGGTGGACACTCGTGCGGGCGCTTGGTTCCGATCATCGGCCGTGCATATCTGGGGTCGCCTTGCCTAGCCTAAATCTGTCCAGTCTGCTGTAGTGTCGATGAGCTTGGGAACCAAAGTTGAAAGGTTAATAAGGTGTATGGGGTCGACAACAAGAATTATATTGTCAGAAAAGTCTGGATGTTGATGTTGAGCCTGCTCTCATGGATAATTGGGAATGGAGAGAACCTGACTAACTCACCGCCGGGAGAAAGGCCTGGACCGGGTAGTCATTCCTTCGGATGTCCCAGCACGCAGGATAATAAAACAACTCGGCAGAGACATGAATGTGAGGGGATGGTGATCGAAAGGAAGAATGCACATGTCGAAATGGGAAGAGTTGAGCCAACCAGATAACCTCCTCGAAATTGATTTCCTTCTTCTGTTCTATATCGTGGCACAATATGTTAGCGAACTTGATGGAACAGAAACCGTTGTAGCAACGCGGCGGTGATTCTTGTCATGCTCTCATCAAATCCTGTTCCTCCTGAAATGTGCCGCAATATGCTTCGTTTTGTGGCGGATCCTCTCTCTCGGTGACGTGGTCTCAACAACTGGACCGCCTTCAGCAGATGGGTCGCCCTAGATAACTCGACCGCACTCATCAGATGACTCTCCATCGGCAATGGAATCTGCCCCAGCAGAGGGACTTCCCTCAGAAAGGGTGATGCTCAATGGCAGGATCCTCCTCACTCGAGGCGCCCTCCTCAATGACGGGGTCTCGTCCAGCGATGGAACTTCCCTTCAACAACGGTTCTTCCATAGATTCAACCAGCCCCAGCTCCATGCAAAACGCATCGGTGGTTGGCTTGCGACCCAGGAACTGCTCAAGTATGAGCATTTCATCTTGCGACGCGCCCTTTTCGAGAACCGTGTGTCTGAATCGATGACCTTGAGATTTATCCATCGGATCTTTAGCAAAGGCGTAGTAAAACATGTCGTAGGAGTAGGTGTTAGACCAATGGTAACTGTATAATCCGGCATCATATTCATGAAACAGATGCTGGAGATTGCCATGCCCATGCGTCCTACCATATGAATTGTCAGATACGTATCAAGATACAAAGGAAGTAACGAGATTAACAACTGCAATAGAGCTTACATCGGTTCACCAATAGCTTCGGGTCCCTTCATTCCTGTTAGTTCGTTCCTCAATTCGTTGTATCGCTTGGTAAAGTCTATATTTTCAAGGGCAGCGCGTGACTTGGGCGAATGAACCTCCATGTCAAACATCGCGGATGATAACTGCCGCAAGTTCCTCAACGCCTGAAGGAAATGTCTGCTTGCCGCAATCCGCTCGGCCATGTCATCAGACATCTGCTCGCCTGTTAGATGATGTTTGCTGATGCGTTTGATATACTCGACTCTCCATGTCCAATGTTCAAGCATCTGGCTAGGAGCTTCGACAAAGTCTCGCTTGCCTGCTGTCCCGTGATGACGAGAGAAGCGAGTGCGTGAAACCAGAGAGTGGATCCCATGTCCCAAACATGTTCGTGGTTAAGGAGTGACGGTTTGTCCTTGGTTGGCGCAGGGAAGTTGCAAACAATAGCCGTGGATGGGTAAAACCTCGTACCGTCCGTTCTCTGGTGCCCAAGTTCCAGGGGGAAATTCGCTACGTGTCGGTATTTGCCCTCGCGTGGATGGGCGTCGATGTAAAGGTATCCCAGAAAGTCATTACCCTCGGATTCGTCGTTCCAGACACTAAACATGATAGTGTCCCTGTGATACATGACATCTTTGGAAACGCCAGTAGGGGAGATACGCTCAAGGTCCTCTGCAGCCAATCTAACGAAAACGATGCCAAAGAGCCCCCCAAAAAGGCAAAGCATGCCTGTAATTGCGGAATCGATCGGGAAGTATTCGGCAACCTTCTTGTTGTCAAGGTCATGTTCTTGCTTGGAGATTTTGGAGGCGTAGAAAGCCCAGTCCCAGTAATAAAAACTGCCATCAAACGGCAAGTTTCGAGTTTCGCAGTCCTTCTTCTTGGCTTGCAATAGTTGGTTGAGTTCTTTGGTGGCGAGGGGTGCAAGGCGGGTTCGTAAGTCATTCAACAAGTTGTTGACAGCCCTAGGTGTCTTCGCCATTCGGCTTTCAATCCACAATGTGGCATGATCTGGGTACCCTAATAGGCGAGCAGCCTCGTCTCGGAGAAGCATGGCTTCTTTGAAGAGCGGGACGTTTTCTGGGCACTAACGGGACATTGTCAGTGGGCTTTTGTAAGCATCAGCAACCACCTACCATGTATAGCGTACTTTGCTCTCCATGGCAATCCACATGCGCTTTCGAGCCTCCGAGTTCTTGACGTCTCTAAGAAAGATGTCGTAATGACTGGGGTCGAAGGTGACCTTGAGCCAGCCTTCTTTCTCGCCCGTTCCCTTTGCCAACTGGTCAATAATATCGTTGTCCATGCCATCCAACTCTGCAGGGGCAAACCAGTTGCAGCCTTTATCAGAAGCGTGGTGGTTCTTGAACTCGCTCTTGATTGTCTTCACGCGCTTTTGAATTTGATTGAAGCGATCACGCTAAGGTTTGGACGGCAGACCCAATCCTAACCTGATGGCCTCTTTCCACTCTTCCTCCAGAGCGATAGCACTCTCAGCATCCTCAAAACCTGCATTCTTTGCAATGTCCTCGGTTATGTACCGAGCGGGATTCTGTTTCCTACTTGCCGCGAGACCAGATCTGTTATACAGAACCTCTCTCGCACGGAAGACGTCCTCGCGCATGTTCATGTCCGTCCAGATGTTATCGTACCACTTTGCCATTTTGCGAGTGGTCTCCCGCAAATCGCTGTTCTCAGAAACGTGCTGGTAAAAGCGCAAGTTGTGCGAGAACTTTTGATTCTCAAACTCGAGTTGGGGGCGCATGACGTTCTCAAATGTGACAGTCTGCGGGTCACTCAGGTTGACATTGGCTACGATCGCATTTAGCGCAGCACGGTGTTTGTCGGCCCATGCTTCGAAGGCGGCGGTAACGCTTTCTGGGGTATGGTTTCCGAGCCATGGGGGCTGGGGTGGGTTGTCGTACATTCCTGTCATGGCGTTTCGTAGGCGTGAGTCGAGAGATGAAGTCAGGGTCGGTGACGATAGCTGAACGAGTTTCTCCTGTCCCTTCCCAGGTGCTGATGATGATAGAAAGAAAATGGTCGATAACGTGGCGAGATGTCGTGCTTATATGTCCAGTGCGATAGATCCAAGCAACTCCCAAGATACCTCCACATCCCAACGTGAATCACCCATTCGAAGCCATTGTTGGAGCATGTTCCACCCATCCAGATGGTGCCTGTCTTCGTTATAACTGTCTGTCGTTTGCGTGAATTTCGAAATTTGCTCAGTGGTCATCATCGATTTCGATGTTGTTGAGGGCAAACAGATGTCGTCCGCGGCTTGTATGTTTGAGTGTCGTCCGTCGTCGCGGTCTTCGTGATTGTTGGTAGATATCGGTTTGGCTGTCGAACAGACAAGAGGCGGCAACGTAGTTCCCCGTCAGAATTTTGATCCGAAAATTTCTCGCCAAATTGCGTGATCAGTCAAGGAAATGCACAGCTTTGCAAATACGGGATAGAAATGGTGTCATTCAGGACAGTTCCTTCAGTTCTTCACTAGCCGAGGGAAAAGAAGGCACGATTTATGGCCGTCAGCGGAGGCCAGGGGCTCCATAATTGACAAGACCGATGCAAGCCGCTGGGGAAATGTCCATTTCCCGTAGGATGTCGGGCTTCCGCGACCGGACATTGTAAGTTACCAGCCTACTGCAGGAACATTACATAGATGCTTTAGATAATGCAGTATTTGAGTACTGGTTACCCGCTCTGGTCATCCAACACAAATACTGATAAGCAATACAATCTGCTTCCACTTCCTGACCGTACCCAGACTGAAGGCCGGAAACGGGACATCGAAATCCCCACATCCCCTTTGAGCCCGAATTCGAAGCAAGACGGAAACGTGTTTGGCCTTGTTTCCAGTGACTGTGTAAACCCCATGGCCTAGTTTTCTCATATTCATCCTTCGTGATGCTTCATGTCTCTTGCCTTACCCACACCAAACTGACAGGGTCGAGCCCTTTTTCGAGTAGAGCGGAAACGGTTTCATGACGAATATTGTACTGCTGAGCACTGGGCAAACAACGTGCACTTGTAAACACACCTCCGTCACGCAAGAGAAGGGGACGGAAGAAAGATCAGGCGTGGAACCCAATCTAGCGCAGTTGGTTAAGACACACGTCCGGAAAGCCTTTCAGTTCCCGGTAAATGATATGTCCAAATTCATATCTTATCAAGACTCCGACGCCTGCCTGGATTATAACACATGCGATTTCCCAGTAATAGATGGTATATGACGCCTTCTCCTTGGACGGATTTGTCCCGCGATTCCTCTTCAACTATGCCCCGTGATGTTTGGCCTCCAAACCCAGTTTCCCTCGTCATCATTCCGTACCACCTCTACTCGATATTTTAGTTGGCAAGGATGGTCCGGACGAGCTCTGTTTGCGTCACACAAATATCGTTAGTCGAGACTCCTAGATTCCGCGCAAATGACAAGCAAACAGCAAGTGCTGAGGCTGACATACCGGTATAGTTCACCTGGCCGGAGCTGGTATCAACGGCCTTGAGGAGCTCGTCTACCTCCTCGTCCGTCATCTTCTCGCCAAGGTTTGTCAAGATGTACTTGAGCTGTCCAACGCCGATGAAACCCGTCATGTCCTTATCAAACACCTGGAAACCGCGGCAGTACTCTTCGGGCTCGCCGGGATCACGGAAGCCACCTGGCCGGTTGAGGACGCGCTGGAAGGTCTCGAAGTCGACTGTCGGATGAAAAGGGCATCTGTTAGTAACGAATCTCTGATGAATTACTTGTTTGCGCTCGGGTATTACTCACAGTCACCACCAACGTTCTTCTCGAGCTCGCGGATCTCGGCGAGCGTGGGGTTCTGGCCGCAAGCGCGGAGCAGGTCACCCAAGCTGTCGAGGGCAACACGGCCGTTGCCGCGCTTGTCGAACAGGGAGAACGCCTCCTTGTAGTTGGTAGAAGCCTGACCGTCGAACTGGTTAGATGCCATGATTCCTGAGTTGCGCTGTCGCAAAGAAATGTCCTTTCAAGAATGCGGGTATGTAATAAATCGCGGTAGGTTGAGCGTAAGCAAAAGCGCTGGCTTGCGATCGTGCTAAAGTCGGCAATCGAGAGGACGAGGGCGATGGTTGCGAGAACGAGGCGCAGAAACCCAAGCGGCAAGGGAGCAGCAATGCGATCGAAAGTTGGCAAAATGAATGGTGTTTTTGATCTGTGATGGATGGATGCCGAAGCAGGACCTTGCAGCTCAACGCTCAAGCCGGGCGCAGGCGCATTTTACAGGTAGTGCTCCGATTCAACGCAGAGCGCTGCGGCTTCCAAGGTTGTGGCACCTTGTGCCTTTGTTGTCATGGGCAACCGCGGGGTTCCTGGCTCTTGCTTTCGCATGCTTTCTGTTTCCGTGCGTCGGGGTTGGGATGGAGGGATGGAGAGGGGCGCGCGCGTGCCAGTGCCCGCGGCGGACGAACAGGGACAGGTCCACTTACCATTGTGTCTCAGGGGTGAATGTTGTTGAATGCGCAAAAGAGGATGCAAGGGCTAGTCGGTGCAAAAACGCTGGCTGATGGATTCGATGCGAAAGATGATGCTATTCAGAAGAACGGTCAAGAAGCGAACCAAGGCTAGATGCAAAAGGAGTGGGCGATCGATTTTCCAGGCTGTTCCCCCTCGCCTGTTTGGGCTTCCCTTCCCGCCGCGAAATGAGCTGCGGACAGGGAGTTGTGCTGACTGGTCTGTGCCATTGCGCAGTACCCGACCTTATGCGCCCGCATCCCAGTCGCGGTGGCAGCCAATGGAGGGCAACCACCCACCGGTGACAACTCGCGATACAGCAGCACTGCATGCCCGCTAGCTAGCCCAATCGAGAGAGACATCAACAGAGGGCACTTTGGTCAAGCAAGGGGGCCGGTGACACTGCCCGGATAGCAAGTTCAACGTCAGCCACCACTGTACAGTACAGTATCGTCTCCTTCTGAATCCTGATATCCTACCTATCAAAAGGGGTACGACACACGTTGACGGATTTACCGCGATTCTAATAATCATACACCACCAATTCATCGTCTCTTCGCCATCAACAAAGCGGTTCCCCAAACAGCATCAACCTCGATTTCGGCCCATCGATCCCCCGCCGCTTTCCATTCCGGCACCGCAGCAACAACCTCGTCAAACATCAAGTCAACAATGTCGCCCTCTCCTCCGTCCGCCCTGCACTTCATCTCGGGATGGGCGCTTCTCCAACCACTGAAGGCACTGAACGTGCGAATATAGCTCGCCAACTCGCCCAACTTGAGCCTCCGACGCAACCAAGTGGCCTCTTCCGGAGCATCGCTAATGTCGCCCGTCTCATGATTGGGATCCCAAGCAATGCGGGCCACATGTTCCCATTCCGTCTCGGGAGGAACTACCTCCCGCAGTGAATCCCGTAATATGTTCCGGCCGGGCTGTTCCCAAAAACGCATCATGCTTTCCACGCCCGGCGCCGGCTCCGTCTCGCCGTAGATGAACCTGTCAAAGATGGGCGTTGTTTCCGGTCGCCCAACGATGATGTGGTCCTTGTAACCCCAGAAAGCCAGGGTTCCGCCGCGCTTCACGACCCGTGCAAGTGCTGGCCAGACCTTGGAGTAGTCAAACCAATGCGCCGCTTGGCCAGCAACCACACAGTCAACGGCATTGTCGTCAAGGAAAGAAAGGTCCTCGGCTCCGCCTTGCTTGAACGTAATCTTGGAGTTGTCGCCGGTCAGCTTGCGAGCCTGTTCAATCATGCCGGCCGAAGGATCAAGGGCGATAACACGGCTGAAATAGGGAGCGAGTGCGCGCGCCACCAAGCCATGCCCGCAGCCAAGGTCCAGCAGTGTTCCAGCTGCCGGCGAAGACGACGATGGTGATGGGAAGGAAGGGGCCTCTTTGCCGTGAAATCTCAACACCCGGTCGTAAAGAACCGAGGGATATGAGGGCCGAAAGGCAGCATACCCAGCAGAGGAGTACGTCGAGCGGCTATCGTGGGAACATGTCAATGATTACAGTAAGCAATGCGCCAATGCTGTCAGTAGGCAAGTAAACAAGAGGTGGAGACTTACCCGAAGATGGACATTCTCAAAGACCACCCTAACAAACACACTAAATCACGAACAATTGATCCAAATTAAATCCGAGTGGTCAGTAAGATAGTCCGTTGAAGAAATTCCGTGCCTGATGTTGCGATACCAATATTGTCTGGGGAAACAGGCAGACTGAATTATCCTGTCAACGGCACAAGGCTTTTTATATCCGATACCGAGGCGTTGAGACGGCTCATGGATGGCGACATCCTTATCATCCTTCCTTGGCTCGCTCCTTCCAGGCATCACCCGCGCCGGCATTCCGAATTATCCTTTGGTTCTCTGAACAAGTTACTGATCGCCGAAGTTCACGGATCCGACGATTTCCGTCGAAGCCTCGGTTGCGTTACATCACCTGGCCTTGATTCACCGAACAGCAACTGCAACATTGGGACTCCAATTCCAAATCAGGAACCGGCATTCGATGGACAATATCACCATTGGACAAATGTCGATAATCCAACATCTGAAGATATACAGTTACACAAGAAACCATCAGGATCAATTACTGATTAGTTGTGGTGGGGGCTGAGCGCACCAACATCACATGTACCCCTACGGCACGCGGTGGGCACGTCATCGGGGTCCTCGTAGATAGCGCGGGGTTGCCTGGGATATGGCTGTTTGAGTGGTTAGCTTCCTACGGGATCTGCTCAGGGGCCCAGGGGGCGTAGACACGGGAAAATAGCATCACCTCGACGGCGAGGTCAACTAACTCCATCAACACCCGAATGTCGCCATGGAGACATGTCCTAGAATAGAGTGGGCAACTTGACTACCTTAGCTCACCTTGGTGCAACTTTGATTATTTGTCAGGCACTAACTAGTCTTTCCGGCAAACATATAAACCGACCTTATGTCCCTGGTATCGCAGTCTCCTTTTGTGTTTCTAAAACACATCCTCAAACCTAGCACAAGATATCCAGCCCGCTTTCAAGAGCAACTACCACACTTTATCACTCCAAGCTATCAACAACACCACTTCTTTACGTCAACACCAAACCTCAAAATGTCCGCCAGCGACGCAACCGCCAAGATCTTCTTCTCCTCTCCCAAGTTCGCCGTAGTCGGCGCCAGCACTAACACGGAGAAGTTCGGTTACAAAGGTTCGTTTTGTCCTATTCTTCTTCCGTATCCCTATCCCTTATCCACAACCTCCACCCACATTGTCCACACACCACTAACACCCATCCAGTCTTCAAATGGTACGCAGACCGTGATCTTCCCGCCACGCCCATCAACCCCCAAGGCGCCACCCTCACCGTCAACGGGCAACCCTACCCCGCCATCAAGTCCCTTTCGGAGCTCGAGAACCCCAAGGAGACTTCGGTTTCTATCATTACTGGTCCCGCCATCACGCTCAAGACGCTCCAGGAGGCCAAGGAGCTCGGCGTGCCTGCTGTCTGGCTCCAGCCGGGAACTTTCAATGATGAGGTGTTGGCATATGCGAATGAGAATTTCCAGGCGGTCGTGGCTGGGAAGGGAGGCTGGGGAGGGGAGGGGTGGTGTGTGTTGGTTGATGGGGAGAGAAGTTTGGCTGCTGCTAGTAGACTCTAGGTTGAAGCAGGTGTTGTGTCTGTTTGTGAAGAGTTGATAGGGAGGTTGAATGGTCCTTATGAGGATTTGATGATCTCTAAATTTTGTCAGTTTCTGTGAGTCTGATTATGAGGTTTGTGCCTGGCTAATATATATACCTATATATTTATATTCAATTCATCACTAGTTTGTTTGCTTGTCGAAACCTACGGTTAACGTTCCTAGGTGTTGCCACATCCATTACCTATTCTTTCTGATCATGGCACTCCCGATCTTGAATATTGTAACTTGGATCTTGAAAGTTGAAACATGCTTTTCAATTATTATCTAGACCCTTTCAGCTACCCTTACCGTTCCCACCAACCCATCGTAACACTCTAGTTGTACTTTCCCGATTTTACAATTAGATACCTCGAGTTCCTACATCTATTCAACTATACCATTTAAGCAAAGTCTCGAATTCGTTTCGTCTCAATTCCTAAGAAGCAAAAAGAAAGAAATGAAAGGTAGTTTCCACAATGGAATCAGAAAAAATAGCAAAAGTTTAGTGACAAGAGTGGGATTCGAACCCACGCCCTTTCGGACTGCGATACTCAGATATCCTGAACACAGCGCCTTAGACCGCTCGGCCATCTTGCCTGTAATCGTTATTGTTAGTGCTTTGAGATTTCAAATCTATAGGCGTAGGCACAAATGTCCAGTGGCAAGTCCAGCTGGATGTCCGCGCTCCCATCCCTTGTGTAAATTACACGTACGGGCACCGGGTAGCATAATTGAGTCTCTCCCCCACGTCCATTCCACTCCACTACATACTTATGTACTCATCTTCCTCCCCTGCCCCTACTCTCCACAACTTCCTCCCACTCCCCAGCCAGGGCACTGGCAACCATTCGACAAGGGACGACAACTGCACTCTGGCTTCGCGATCCAACTTCAACTTCACACCCACAGCCACCCGAAAAGCTACAATCAGTACTTATACTGATATCAGACTTCAAACAGTAGAAGCTGATGGCGGTCATAATGAAGAGCTTGGGAATGAACACGACGATCGCACAGGCCAGTCCACACAAGCCTGGTCGAAGAAAAAAGAGACGAAGCAACCAATTTCACCTTACCCGTCAATAAGCGACGGGTAGTCTAAAATAGAACAAGGAAGGCGCATGGCAGTGGATCCTGGACATTGTGGGAAGAGCCGTCCCCGCCGACATTGGCCGTATCCGGGGAGACAAAATGCATGAGAATTGCCCGAAATCGGGGACAAGCTGCGTTATCTACTATAAGCTACCTATCTATCCTTAGAGATATCAGAGTTGCCTTCCACTTCCCCTCATCACCCGCTCGCTGTCCGGTTTCCTCCACTGAAACGTGACACCCAGCATTCCTAAAGTCTCATCAGCATTAGTCTCAGTTTACCGCGAGATTACCACACTATATATTTCGCTCCGCTAACCTGGCCCATAGCATTGTAGCTTGGAAGACCACCGATTGACCGCCATCTTTCACTCCCTTCATGAGGAGCAAAAGGAACATAGCTGTACAGCTATACTTGTCCGGGCCTAGCAGAATAAAAGCCTTTCTTCAGCTCACGTTCCTTGGTTTCAACCCCCGTTGATCCGACATGTCTAGTGGACCAATCCCGCTTGACGATGCATACCCGCATCGAGCTAACTAAACTGTCGGGACCATTACTATTGGCCACGATAAACGGCCTTATCAGTCAATCATCTCTTCCTCTTACTGTCGATAACACTGACACACAAGATCTAGTCTTTCTGTTACGTCGCCGCCCCCTCGTCCCCGTCACTTTGGTGTATCAGAGCGATCCTGGAGGTCGGAACGAGGGTGGGATGTATTGACGGTCAATATGTAAGAAAATAACAAGATTTCCAAATTTATCGAAATACCGAACACATCCAAATTTCCAAAGTACAAAAAGACAGCCCGTGCAGCTCATCCCAAATTGCCATTCCCTTTCTGACTGCAAGGTACTAACATTAATGACTAACCAAAAATGGGGAAATATAACGGCCTACAGTTGAAGACCAACATTCAGCGTCGCTACCTATGAAAGTAGTATTTTGATCTAGATGAAGCAAAAACCTGGGACTTGTAACCATATCCGTGTTCCCGAGCACTTACATCTAGACGTATTATGTGTGGAAAGTTTGGCGGAAATAGTCATGTGTTTTTCCGTAATTTCCGTTACTTTGCGCATCCTTACAATTTCTGACAAATTCCCCCCATCTCCGCCACTAGTGGCATTGACCATGGCATGGATTGGTCTTATTCCCGCTCCTATCGATCCTCAACACCGCCTGGATCACTTCGACCACAAGGTCTATTTCCAGATTTCTTCTTACACCTTGGCGAGTTGGTATCCGGCAACCGCTTTTGCGATAGACGAGGCGATAATCTCGAAAGGTGACATCAAGCTATATTAGAACCGACTGAGCATGGCGCAAACTCGTGCCCCGATGAAGAATAGACAGAAGAGCCGCAGTGGCTGCCGTAACTGCAAGCAAAGACGTGTAGGTGATCTTTCTGCTAATTCTCTTCGGCCGTTCCCAATCATGCCGTATCGATCTGAAGTTGTGGATGACGGCGATGATCGACGCAGAGCCGAGTGTACTGACTCCCGAGGGTATAGCTACGATGCGACGAGGGAAAACCAGGATGCAAGAACTGTGCCCTTAAGCAAATCGCATGTCCTGGCTATCAGCAGCGTCTGCAGTGGTCGACCAAGCACGAAGTTGCTCTTCCAGCACAGCCAATCCAGCCAGAAAACTTTGAACAGCTTGTCACTGCCGCATCCGCGTCCATTGTCCCGTCCAAAGAAAATCAACCGTCAAGTGGTGCCCGTAATGCCAGGCCTACTGCCAAAGCACCTGTTCCTCAGACACCGCCTGCATACCACCATGCGCAGACACCACCGCCCTCACTGTCATTCTTGACACCGTCTATTTCCTCTTCACCTCTACCCTCGCCTGTCCCTGGGACTTCAGCGGAAGAACAAGATGGCTTCTACGGTTCGATGACTACAACACCCTTCCAAAACGACAAACGTGCCTTCGCTCCACCCGGCCAAGCCTTGACTCTAACCCAGCCCGTCGTGGACATCCGCTCCTTTCTCATCGAACACTGGTTCAAGTCCGTCTGTACCTCCTGGTCCGCCTACGACTCCGCCTCCAACCCCTACCGACGCTTAACCTCCGTCCTGTGGAACACCTCCGCGCCTGTGTTCTATAGCCTGCAATCTATCTCTGCTGCTTCCCTGGTAGAAAAGCTTCCCGCCGTGATGCGCGAGACAGCCCGCATGGCGCCACGTCTAGCAACCGAGGCCATCAAAGCCGAGCTCGTCAGCTTCTTCAACGGGCGCTGCACCACCTTCCCGCGTGGCCTCCTCCTCTCACTCTTCTGCATGAGCTCATCCATGTGCTGGATGGAAGCCCGTCAGCTGGGGCAACAGTACCTCCGCCAAGCGAGAGCCGTGCTGCAAGCGCTGAACAGCTGGACTCTGAGTCCGGAGGACAAGGAACTGCTTGATTTCTTCAACGGCTGTCTCATTTATGAAGAAATGCTTCGCAGCGTGGTAAGTGATGACGAGGCTGACTTGAAGAATATGCTCAGCTGGCCGGATCCACCCACCTCTACCGTTCAAGGCACTCTGGTCCATTCCACGCCTCATCCCTGGACCGGCGTTTCGGCGGACGTTTTTCGATTGTTCGGTAAAGCCATTGCGCTCTGTAGGCGATCACGCAGCCGATGGCGACATAACGATGGAACGACAATACGGGCCCTGCAAAGCGCCATGAAAGATATCAAGGAAGCTACGCGTATCGAGGAAGCACTGCTGGCTATTGACGTACCAACCGAGGACAACGACGACTCGACCTCCAACCATTGGAACACCACGCACAAACAGCTAACCGCTGCCTCCATGCCTAACGATAACACCCCAAAGATGGCCAAGGACCTCCGCCTCGCGACCGAGACGTACCGCCTCTGCTCCCTCCTGCAACTCTACGAATCCTTCCCCGATCTCGCCGCCAAGCGGATACCCGACCTCGACGCAGCGGGGGCAGGGGCGGACGCCACCGACCCGGCAATCATCTGGACAAAATGGGTATCGCCCCTAGCTCTACACATCACTGACATTCTCGATCGGATACCCGCAAGCAGTCTGCGGTGTATTCAACCTCTGCTCTGTCTCTGCGCGGGCAGCGGTTTGAGGTTCGATAGCAAGACGGCAATGGGGCAAGGGGAGTATAGTTATCTGTTGAGTTTGGAGTCATCGTCACCAACAGACTTGGGCTTGGGAATTTCGGGGTTGCCTGCGGGTATTGGTGGCATTGGATCAGGATCGGGGTCGCCAACTTCGTCATCGCCATCAGGGGAAAATGAGGAGGATGTGCAGGCAGTCAAGATATTGCGGGCTCGGTCGTTTCTCATTGACCGTCTTGGTCAGCTCGAGCTGTCGTTGCCGCCTAAGCCGATAGGGGTGGCTAAGCAGTTGCTGCATGCTGTGTGGAGCGCGTATGATAAGGAGATTGATACGCCGAGGCGAACGCATTGGCTCGATGTGATGAGTCGGACGGGATTGCATAGTTTATTTGGATGATGGGATGCTGTGAATGTTCATTGTACAACGTAGCCAATGACTGGGTTATGAATTTTGGGTTTGGAGGATCCTATGTGCTCCTTTAGTTTGTTCAAACTTGGTGTAATTCTGAACTGCTCATATAGTTCTGTATATATAATACTTACCCCTTTTGGATATAGTTTCCTCACCAGCTACCCAGGCATTTATTCCAGAGAAATGGTTCCCCTTGCAGTTGGTGCATAGTCAACTTCATCAGGATACTCCAAGTTACCCAAAAACTCTTCAACCTCGTTCATATCAAGGCCTTGGCTGATGTGTCTGTAATCACAAAATCAGTCAGCATTTACCGAGCCCAGTAAGAGAGAGGGAGAAAAATAGATAAAGAAAAAAAAACAAGGGGGCAGGGACTTACTTATCAACAGCCAAAACCTCAAGCCCAGGAACGCAATCAATCAAAGCAATAATGATATACGACCCGCAAAACGCCCATGTGAAACCAACAACAGCCTCAACCATTTGCACCCAAAGTTGACGAATATTGCCATCGAAGATGACACCTCCCGCAACCTCTACACCACCATACGCAGCTACCTCCTTCTGCGCAAACAGCCCCGTCATAATGGTTGCAGCCACACCACCAATGCAGTGCGTTGCAAATGTATCACCATTATCAACCCACCTCCAATGATGCGCAAATTTGGTGAACTTGATCCTCAACGCCTGACGACAGAGCACAGCCCCGAAAACACCAAAGAAACAGGCGGTCGGCATGTCGATGAACCCAGCCGAGGGGGTGATCATGACAAGACCGGAAATGGCGCCCATGAAGGTCGAGTCGATGGACCACTTGCCCGTCTCGTAGAAGGTGATGAGGTTCCAGGTCAGCGCGCCCGAGGCGGCGCACAAGTTGGTGACGCAGAGGGCCATGACGGACTGGAAGTTGAGGGCCAGGGTGGTTCCCGCATCGAAGGCGAGCCAGGAGCCCCAGATGATGATTAAGGACAGAAGCTGGAAGAAAGAGTTACCCGGTCGGTGGATGCGGATATGGGTGGGCGTACGCACGTCGGACTTGCGCGAGCGGAAGAGCGGGTAGGAGAGGTAGATGCTGATGGCGGTCGCGGTGGCGCCGGAGCAGACGTGGACGGGAGTTCCTGGATGATGGGGGGTCTTGGTCAACGGTTGTCCTCTCGCTTCATAATCTGAATGTAGGTTGCTGTTTGAGATTGTCGACTTACCTCCTGCAAAGTCCAGCACACCCAAATTCTCTCCAAGCAAGCCTCCGCCCCAAACCATATGTGCCAGCGGGCAGTAGATAAATGTCGCCCATAGCTGTTTAGTTCCTAGCCATCAGCACTTCATTATCTCTTCACCCTTCATAAAACTGCCCAAGTTCCCAGTCAATGGTTACTCACAAAGATGAACGGAATAACCGGCAACAGCCTCCCCCTCTCGCAAAATCCGCCCACAGCAATTGCACAAACCGTCGCCTCAAAAACCAACTGAAACTCGCTGAATAAGATCGCAGGGATGGTTCCCACAGGCTCAGAAAGCACATTCTTATGGAAGAAGTGCTTGAGAGAACCAAAGAACCAGCCGCCCTCGCCGTAGGCTAGTGTGTATCCAATAATGAACCACTGGATCGAGCAAGTTGCGATGGTGAGGATGGCGGGCATGGCGGCGTGGAGGGCGTTGCGCTTCCATGTGTATCCTGAGTAGGCTATGCCGACCTGTTCGTCAACCAGCAATAGTCAGTATGATGGTTGAATATGCCGGAACGTGTTGAGAAAGGGGAGCCTCTTACAGTTGGTACAATGGTCCAGCAGATGACGGTGCAGATGAGGACGAAGAGAGTGTCTGTCTTGTCGCAAGCCTCCCAGGCTGCGAGAACGGGTGACACCGCCATCTCGGGCATTGTGAGGAGGTGTCGTGCGAATGGGTCAAAATTTTGGGAATCAATGATAGAGACAGAGAAAAAGTAGACAAACGACTGGAGTTATAGGAACAGAGCGTGGACCATAGAGCAGCCGGATCATGCTTTCTCCTCTCTTATTGAGCCTTCTTATCGACACGTGGATTTTTTAATCCATTTGGCCAGCTCCCACCTCATTGCCATTTTCGTAGAATCTGGACGGTGACATCTTGAGGGCGACAAGCTGGGAAAAAGAACCCAGGGGGTTGTATTACCAAATCCAGAAAAGCAACGGGAATGGAAGCTGTCAGATAAGGAATGGCAGCCAAAGTGATGGTAACGCTAACAGATAAGAGATTCACATGCTGGGGTAACACTGAAACTGGCTGGTCGGATGTCCATGTCTCGGAAAGTGCGTGGTCCATATGCAGGTCGAGGTGTCTTCATGTTGTGACGATCTGGGAGAGCATAAGTATGGGGACTGCACTATTTGTCCTAAAAGAGTTTAGGTTGGGGGTGTTACATACAGTCCGATGCTAGCTGGGTACACTAGGCATATCTACTATACTCTGTCCACTAGACGAAGGACAAATCAAAATAGCTATGTACAAATTACAAAGGCATTGGCAAGAATTGATGTGGCATATTTGATATTAGAAATAGCCTTGCTCAAAGGTAAGATCACGCATTAGCTAACTAATGAAAACGTATAGGAAGGTTGACGCAAGGTCTCGAGCTAACAAACAAACCAGTACTGGACTGTAGTAGGTAGACGGGAGGGCGATCCTTTGGCGGCAACGGGCCGTCCAGAGTGACATCGCCGCGGACGGCAAGGTCGAAGCCAAGCCAAGGTAAAACATTTCGAGAAAGTTTGCGTGATGACATCTCACCGCCTGGTGAGCTCACCTGCAAGCCTTATGTTCGCTTCATCGGGTTGTTGATGGGAGATAATAAATCCCAAGTTCGTGTCAATTATTGGTCTTGTACCAGGTACTAGAGGAACTAAGTGACTCGGGTGGTTGACTTTTCTGGCTCGAGACTGGAGTCAGAAATTTCGATACACAACTGAATTCAAAAAGGTGGGAAGCGTGAGAAATGCCGGGCTCCCGCTCTGCTGTTTTCTCTGCCAATTGGAAGGCGCGGAGGATGTATGGTGGAAGTGAGGAAAGCGTGAGGCATCGCTACTTCCTACTGACCAACAGTATGCAGACGGCGAAATGAGATGCGGAGACCTGAGAGTTTCGAAATGTCGAGAGTGAACAACACATTGACGTGTGGCCAAGTTCCCACCACAGCATGCCTCTATGCCATAGGACATCTGTGATGTTTTTCTGACATCTTTATCCACGCCGTCATCACTCATCCACCATCTTTAGAAGCATTGATACCCGGGGGTACGAGACCGTTGACGATCGCAAGACCACAAGATGGACCTTGAAACGAGCACCGATCTGGTCTCCTTAGAAAGTTCTCTGCCCAGCAATGCGTGCACAGCAACAAGCGACTGTGATCGATCATCCATCTCGGATGATCCAGATGCAGACGAGTATGCGCGATGCCATGGCCTCACCGTTGACAGCTTGAAGCTGGATCCGTGGAAGGGTGTACTCGAGAGGGATGCCTGTATCGCGGCAACTCTCATTCAGACCGAGTTCGGAGAAATAATCGAATCGGAAAAGCCCCTTGAAGAGCTCGCTTTTCGGCCCATCCTCGGAAAAGCAGAGCAGTGGTCTGTGTCAGCAGAGTCCCTTGCACTCCTTCAACAAGCCTGTAAGCCTTGTACAGACCGAGAGGTAGCGGAGCATATGGCAGAACTGTGCTTCACTGAGACCGCCGAGTTGAGGCTCAAGATTGAACAGCCTGTGCTGCGGAGTGATCACCAGGCAGACTGCAGAAGGTTGGAGAGACGGATAAAGGCCTTTCACAAGGTCCCGCTACCAGATCATCATCTTCCATTGCATCCGGTCGATATTGCACAAGGGGAAGGTCTCGAGTTTTCTGAAAGCGCGCGGAAAGGCGACGAGGCACTTAAGGAGAGTCTTACCAAGGAGACAATCGAAGTCACCAAGGACACGCTGATGTTCTTGGTTCAGAGTCTCAAGGCAGACTGGGGTGACGATGAACAGCGTGACCTCATGGAAAGCGTCTCAACGTACAGCGGGGTATGTAACACACCAAGTGACTTTACTTCGGTTACGCGGAAGAACATCAACTGACAAGAACTAGCTGAACAGGGTAGAGCATGTAACCCCTCCGCTGAGTCCTCGAACACGCCCTGAACCAGAGTATTACATTCCCGACGACAAAACTTGTGCGATCCCGATTCTATCCGACCCAGACTCTTCTTTGAGCGCAGAGTTAGAGGCAGTAGAAGGAAAAATTCTGTCCAAAGACAACAACTTCTGGAGCGGCATTGCTTCCCAGAAGTCCAAATCACCGGACAGATACGATGATATCGACGTATCGGGAATGATAAGAGCCGGGGATTTTTCGGTGTCCACATCATCTTCGTCTTCCCCGGAACTGATTGCTCGGGATTTCAAGATAGAAGTACCTCTGCTGCCGAATGATAGCCTGGTAATTGCAGACAAGGCTCCTCCCCGCGTCCTGCTACCTGAGGACCTGAAAGAGGCCAAGGACCTCATGGCCAGCGACACAGTTTCAAGCAAAGGAGGTGAGTCGGATGGCCGACTGAACGACTTCTTTGAAGAGACCGCAACAAGAGTGATGCGTTCTGTTGAGCAGGAGCAACTTCAGCCACTTGACGCAACCGCACGAGTCACAGCTCCAGTGATGGATTTCTCCATTCCTGTCCGTGAATGGGACGAACACTTTTGGACTGCCCAGGTCATGTTTGAATGGATACGGAAAACAACCGACGTTGACTGGAAGGGCATCAAATGGCGAAAAGACAACATCAAAGAGCAGCAAATGGTATGGGCACCCTTGGCCCACATGGCCGAGAAAAAATTGACAACAGAGGCGGTTGAGGTTGTTCCAAGTGTTCTTGCTTTCTTTCTGGAGGAACCGTGGGAAGGCGAGATACAAACAAGTGCCGATTTCGTCAACTCACAACCTAGGCTGTTGTTCCTGCGTAGGGATGAAGATGATAAAGATGAACTCCTTGAGAAGAGATCAAGGGAACCCAGTGTCCCCCCATCGAAAGAATTGGTCCTCTCAAGCACGAGCATCAAGACAGTCCGTTCTTGCAGTAGGTCAGCCCATGCCTGCCAGGCTCAACAATCCATGGATGTACAGACTAGGCAGGGCCTATCGTCGCCCCCTCTTGCCATGTTGCAATCTCGAGACCTGACAAGCCTTTTGCGTGGAAAGAAGAGGCAACTTGGACCCATACAACGGCAGTCGTCACCAGTTACCGGACCTCTGATCCGGGTCCTCGACATAACCAACCATGACGTGCCGAACTCGACACACGTACTGAAGGGTTTCGAGAACGAGTATTTGGACTTTGGCTCACTTGTGGAAAATTTCGTCGAAATGAACATCCCAAAAAAGACCAAGCTCAGCCATAGCCGCTTCTTCAACCGACCGGCGCTGCCCCAGCCAGAATCCGCAGCCGTCTCCAACACGAAGCCCACGGAACCCAAGGCTCAACCTGCGCCCGCAATCATTCTTGCTGTTTCACCGGACATTGTCCCCCCCAAAACTCCGCCTCGGATAATCGTGTCTGCTGCAGTATCTAATATTGTCACGAGCCATCTGGAGAAATTGGTGCCAGGAATTAACCTCATCGTACGCGACCATGAGCGGCTCAGGGCAGAAAATGAGCCCCCGGGTAGCAAGCAGCCAAATTGCGATGAGGCCGACTTCGTCTTGTCTCCAGCCACAGGGATTGTAGTTACGACCATGGTAAAACTAAGACAGAAACCCCTCCCCGCAGCCCCAGGCCAGCAACAGCAACAGCAACTACAACAACAGCCAACCTTCCACAATGTAGTCGAGAACGTGGCAATACGTCATGAACGGCTGATCGTTCTCATCTCAGAGGGAAACAAACACAGTGAGACCATGGACCCGCTCTCCCAATCTGACGCGAAAGCCCTCGCCGAGTTCCAGTGTTTCGCGAGTGCGCTACAGGCGCAGACCGACGTGTACGTCTATTATGTTGGCGGAGGCACCGAGACGCTGGCCAAGTGGGTGGCAGCTACAATATGCGATTATGGAACTGAAGCTCAAGAGTGGCAGAGCATACTGCTGCCTGTGGAAACAGGTTGGGAGCTTTTCCTGCGGAGAGCGGGAATGAATGTTTTTGCTGCGCAGGTTGTCCTTGGGATGCTCAGGGTTCCTGATGATGAGGTTGCGATCGGTGGAAAAGAGGGTAAGCTGTACGGCTTGCCGGCCTTCCTGATGATGTCGAAAGACGAGAGGGCAGAGAAGTTTGCGGAAATATTTGGTGGAAGGAGGCTTCTGGATGCAGTGAGCGCTGTGGTTGATGAGCCCTGGGGAGACGGAAATGTGATAGAGGTGGACAACAGCGGGGTGAGTCAGGATAAGGAGGTTGTTGATATTTCCAGTGATGATATCGAATTCTCTGGCGGCTTAGGTCCAGATGATCCCATGAAGCAGTTAGAAGATGGGCTTGGCCACAATTCTTCACCATGGGAGTGATGAGGGAACATGGTTGAGGTGAAAGACGAAGGAAACTCATATAGTGCTGACTGTTCGCCATGCAGCACTGCAAAATAGACTGTCTTTCGAAGTTTTGGCCACCAAGCACGACCTGCCATAAAACAGACAGGACATGAAGTTAGCTTCATCGCGAAATGAAGGCTCGCGTGAACAAAGTGGTGACATACCATGAATTCGGATATCTCCAGCTCTGTAAGGTCAGGTCTCGTATGGCTCATTAACCTCCTCCTGATGACTGCTTTGGACCACGTTACCTGCAGTAATACTCCATACCTTCAGACTGGTCTCTTCAACAACCGCCGGAGGTGGCCTGGCTCTGCCTCGTTGTTGCTGCGATGTCCCCATCCCCTCTTCCTCTGAGTCACTCTCATTGCTGGAGCTCCCTGACTCAATGTCATCAGAACCAGACTCCGACTCCGACTCCGACTCCGACTCCGACTCGGAACTAGAACTCTCGCTATCATCATCCGGAAACTTCCATGACCCCGAACAAGTAGCCAACACCGACCCGCTCATATGCATCGCCGTCCCGCCTACCGCCGACCCCCGCGCACCCACCTCGAAATCATAACTCGGCTCGACACTCCCCTCCCTCATTCCGACCCCTTCCCAAACCACCACCTTGCTGTCCCTCGTCCCCGCCCAGACCTCAAACCCACCCACTTCCTCATTCGTCCCCGGGAAAACATCACAACTCAACCTCTGATTCGTCTCTCCATTCCTCCCACGCAAACATGCCAACAACCGATGCGTCCCCCTCAAATCATACACCAAAAGCCCACTCGACTCCCGCTCGTTCACCACCAGATACCGTCCACACGGACTCCATACCGTCTGTAACACCCCCCGACCCCCTATCTTTGCCAGGGAAGCAGCCTGCGCAACATTCCAAGTAGCGACGCAAGCGCCCGCCCGATGTAAATCATATAATCCCAAGTTTCTCGTCCACGTGCCCGCGCTTACCACGTTGGCCCCGGTACCATAATCGCCGTGACTCAAGGGTTGCATCGCCAGCGCGGAGATTGTGCCCTTCATGCCCACCACCCGGGCTCCGTTTCCGGATTTGTGTTGAGCAGACGGGCCCGTGGTTTTGATGGTCAAGAGCGGGGTGTCGGAGAGTCCCAGGTCGGGTCGGGAGACGTCGAAGAGCGAGAGACAGTTGGTGGAGCCGGCGAGGAAGTGGGTTCCTGGAAAAGACCAGAGGAGGGAGGTGATGGGGAGGTAGCGCTCTGTTTCGGCGTGGATGAGGCGGAAGGTGGCGAGGGGTTTTGGTTGTTGTTGCTTGTGCTGTGGGAAACCAAAGGTGGAGTCATCGTCGTCGTCGTGGAGGGACGAGTATTGGGACGATGATGTTGATGGTGGTTGAGGAAAAGCGTGGTGTAAATGAATTGGGTGGTCGGTGCTGGCTGTCAGAATGCATTGTGTTGAGGGCTGTTCGAGGGCGAAGTATGGACAGGGCGCGATGGCCGCGGTGGGTTCGGGGAGGTAGAGGGTGCCTTGGGGGGTGAGGGTGAGGGGAGAGTCACCGTGGGGCGCGAGGAGGGTGGAGGGAAGGACGAAGGTGTTGATTCGGTTGGAGGAGGAGGAGGTGAAGAGGGTTGTGCCGTCTGCAGACCTGGTGTTTGTTAGCGGGTTGGGTTTTGCATGAGGATTCTGCCTGGAAGAGTTGGAGGTGTGAGGACTTGCCATTGGACACTTTTGAAGAATGAGTCTGTTTGACGAGAAGACTGAGAAGTTTTTGTTGTTAATGGAGATAAACCATCTGGGTTGGTGGACATGGCCACGAGGTCGAGAGAGGGCTTCTCCATTCTTTTGTATTGTGGTCTGGTGTAAGTAGTGATGTTGAAGCCTGCGCCTACGGGGCTGTCTGTGGTGTTTCGACCGATTTTCTTTTGATGAGATACAAAGTTGTTCTGGCAGCAATCCCTACCACAGTTTCTGATGATTATGTTTACCCCTATCTATCAACGGTTTTACTGATGAAGATAACAAACTGGCAGGTAAAGTTATGGTATTAAATGAGTGACGACGTGAAAGTTGTAAGAGGATTGAAGCTCAACTCCAAGAAGCTTCCGATTTGGCAAACAACCTGCATGTAGGGCTGATGATAGTGACTTTGAATGTGTGAAGTATTTTACGGCAAATAAATGGAGTCACTCTACTTCAGAGGAGGAGAAGTTCTAACAGAATGGTCAATCGGCCGGTTGACCCACCACTTTGCGGCACTAGCGCGCAGGCGGCGGCAGGCAACTGGAGCTTCCCCAGTTCCAGTTGCTGCAGTGAGGACCTCTTTGACCACCTCAGGCTTGGCATGCATGGGAGCTGCTTCCGCCTGACGGGGATGACGACGCGAGCGTGTTGTCCATCGCTTCTCCATCACTCCATCACTACACCGACTTCTAATACCATTTGACTTCGTTGCAGCTCTGTTGCCTCCGAGGTCCAAGACTCTTCGAACTCAGAGACGAAGAGAGTCGTGCGTTGCGAGTGCGCCGGGCAGCTGAGGTTGCAACGACTTGGAAACCCAACAACACCATCCCCGCAGTCCCGGTCTTGGGATCCATGACATTATTAATACCGACTTCTACATCTCGCCCGGACCTCTTTCGACGATTTACGATCGAATCGCACAAACCTTAGCATTGTTCATTAGCCATTTCATTATACTCTGTTTCACTTCGAGCTGAACTCACTGTGCGATTCCCCAAGCCTTCGCCATGGAGTCCTTCCTGCAAGGGGACGTCTGCCAGGACCTCCGCGAGATAAGCGTCGTCAACCTAATAGTTTCCATGTAAGACTTCATTTACGAGGGTGCCAGATCAATAAGGGTGAGTGACTGACTTCTACAGTGTCATTGTCATTGGAATGCTCATCAGCTACCTGCCACAGCATGTTCGTATCATATCAAGAGGCACATCGGAAGGGATATCGCCCTACTTCGTTTTGCTGGGGACAACATCGGCAACATCTGCGTTTGCAAACATTCTCCTACTGCCCAAGTCTCGTCAGGATATCGCTTGCTGCAAGGAGATTGAGACCTTCCATTGCGTGGCTGGCCTACTTGGTATCGCGCAATTGGGAGTACAATGGATATGCTTCACATTCATGTTAGTGTCTCTCTGGCGAGGTTACGGTGCGAAATGACTTTGGCTAACAATCCCCCTTCAGTTTCGTCCTCTTTTTGGTTTTCTTCCGATACAACGCAGCGGACGACCCGGATAGCGAGGCGGCGCTTGTCGAAGAACAGCCAAGGTGGCAGACCGCTCTCTTGGTGGCATCTCTCACTCTGCTGCACGGCCTTGCAGTTATTGTCGTCACGGGTATTTTGAGCACCATCGCCCACGATAAGCTCGCAATTTGGGCAAACGTGCTCGGCGTCATGGCCGCTCTGCTAGCCGCTGTCCAGTACATCCCTCAGATCTGGACCACCTACCATCTGAAGCACATTGGCAGCTTGAGCATTCCGATGATGTGCATGCAGACCCCGGGCGGATTCGTCTTCGCAGGCAGCCTGTTTGCGCGGCTAGGATGGGCCGGATGGAGCTCGTGGGGCATCTTTGTCTTGACCGCGACTATGCAAGGCTTGTTGCTCTCCATGGCCATTTACTACGAGATCCAGGCGCGCAACGAGTCCAAGGACCATACGCCTGGCCGATCCACCTCGCATCCCGAGCACTACGCGAATAACCAGGAGCAGTTGCAGGCTACCATGGACCGGCAGGACAGTGACGCTGCTGCTGAGACTACTCCGCTGCTCAAGTAAGGTGAAATGGGTAATTCGGGTTCTTAGGCAGCAACTATTCCTTGTTTCTTTACCACGTTTTGACTTGGCTCATGCACATACTGGCGTTAACTGTTCGGGGTTGATGGATGGAGTAATCTTGTGTGTAATTCACTGTCGCGCTCGATGTTAGTGGCTGTTTGAGATATGAATATCTCCCCCCCTTTGGACCGCCATTTATGGTTTCCCAGGTAGCTTCATCCGTGATTGTGACTGGCCACCGAATGTATGACTATTTGTTTATGGATGAGGGTTATATCGCGCTTCCATTCACTACGGGGGAGTGGCGTCAGCGATGACAGTCTCGAGGCCCAACTACTGTATGAATCATCGGAAAGTGTCATCCAGGAAATCAACATGGGAGAGTGTCACGATGTTTGCTCTTCTGGAGCTTAAAGATGGATTCCGTTTGCAGCACCTCCACCTGTTATTCTTTGCCAGTCCATATCCGCTGACCACAATATCAACCCGCCTTGTTGATTTATCCCTAACATCCTCTTCATTTATCAACATTCGGTCTTTGCGAATCACACCCTACACGGTACGTGCTGACACATGTCAGTGCTTTGGACCCTCTGATAAGCTTGAGCAGAGCAGCCACGGCAGCCCGGACGTACGTCTCCACTTTTCGCCGTCAACGGGTGGCGCCCACTAAAAGTCTCCCGGGCCCCCGCAGCCTCCTACCAATCTTCTCCGATCGTCAACCACTTCACACGGTGCGAGGCGATACGAACGCCTCGGCAACCTTCCCGGGTTTAAAAATATTTTATAGAGCGCCGGAGGCGACCGACGACGGACAACCACTGCGGTAGAACCACTCGTTAGCTGGCCACTGCCAACTTCGATCCCGATGGCTATCACAAAGCTCGCCGGACCTGTTGGTCATGACAGCGATGATGACTATGACGAGGCCTTGCACCATCCGCAGCCCCAGCAACCAGCAGACATCATTGCGTCACAGCCAATTCCGCTCCCCGTGAACCAGTCGACCATCTCCAATGTCTCGACTGCCGCCGTTGATATTGAAGCCTGGACTGTCGCTGCCCTGGAATCCTTGCGGATCGCCAACAATGCGCGCGGTGCTGGCAATCCATTGTTGATCCCCCTGGACGGCGCTGCTCAGGGGGAAGCGGCAGCGGCAGCAGGCCCGACCGATCCCGCCTTGAAGCTGCGCAATGTAGTCTTCGACGATGGCGATGATACGTATGCCGCAAATGTCGCGCCGCCGCGTCGGCCTCCTTCGCGCCGGGACAGCATGAAGAGGCGCGAGGCTTTGCTGAAGGGCAAGGAAGGTAGCAGGCAGCGACGGCGTTGGGAGAATGGTAAATACTCCCCCTTGTGATTCGTTGGGCCAGTGCCAGGGCTGTCCAAGTCCTCTTCCAGTTCCCGTTCGTTACAATCCGTGTTGCACGCTTGGAGTTCGGGAACAAGCTAATCAAAGTCAATCATTCGGTTCCCTGCCCTGCTGCGGTGGGGACCGATTTTTGGATTATTCTCTTTCACAGACCGTCTTGTTGGAGTTCCCAACGTACAGCCGCCGCTGCCTTCAGACTGGCAGGTCGGGCCGACGTATCCCATCCACGATAACATGCCGTACCACCTCGCGCAGTACTGGGACAAGGGGCTTCGTGAGCGCGTCGAGGAGCGCAAGGCCGCTTTCGCCGTGCATCGCAAGAAGACCGTTACGGCCACCAGCCATCAGTTGGGTGGGGTCACCACTGCTGTTTCCTTGGTGGTCTCGTCGTCTGTCGCCAAGACGCGCGCAGACGTAGGAAAGGTCCCGAAGGATTTGCGTGCTACGGCCAAGAAGACGCCTGCCGTCAAGGCCTGGCTGCGTGTGCTGGAAGAGCCGGTGAGGGAGTTTCTTGTTCAGCAGCAACGCGGACAGAATGCGGCGGCCAAGAGGGAGCAGCAGCAGCAGCAAAAGCAGCAAAAGGCTCGGGAAAGTGGATACCAGAGCGATGAGCTCGGGTCGGATGAGGAAGAGATTCTCTTCACGGGCCGAAAGACGGCTGCCGCTGCCGCTGCCGCTGCTGGGGGCAAACCGCCAATCAAGAATGCATCATCGGAGAAGGGCACAGATAAGGGTATCCAACTGCTGCCCGATACGAGGATGGTGCTTGATACTCTTGGAGACGACGAAAGCGGAGCTTCCTTCAAGTATGTTTATCTGATACCTGGTTTCCGGTTGCTGTCAGGAACAGTGTACTAACAAAAGGACCACCAGGCGTTGGCTCACGCATTCCATCTCAGACTACTACGGACTGGACTCCAAGTCGGTCACCGTTGGAAATCCAGCGAGGAGGGTGGTGTATATCGGCCTGAAGCAGGTTGGCAACGGTCCTAAGAGGCGGGCTGCACCTGTAAGGCAGATGCTGATACCGCCGCCTCTGTGGGAGATGTTCTGATTGAATTCGGAAATGTGGTAACGGCAGTGTGCCGGATTTTGGACATGAAACCGGCGGATACAGCGGGATCAAAAGGTGAGAAGGAAATTTTGGATTTAGACTGATCACCACATCTAGACTCAGACATGCAAACGCCGTTCAAGCGGAAGTTCACCTTTGCTGCAACATTTCCGCTTTGAACCGAAGTGAAGCCGAGACGCAGTTGACTTGTCAACCTTCTGTGATTCTCCTAGCCTTATTCGGCTCTCAAGAACTCAACTACACAGAGCGGGTAGGTGACAAGAGTCTGAAACCCCCTTGTGGTCGGTAACAGTAGATAACCTGCGCCGTTGATCCCTGACGAGGCATGTGTATACAAACGTTGTTCTGATCGCTGCTACGGCATTACCTGATACATACGACCAACGCCATAGACAAAGGCAAAGGTAAGCTCTGAGCCATCTGATTGGTCCTTGGTTAAACCTCTGCTTTGCGAACCCACTGAAGCTGCCAGCTAGACGAGTTGTATGCACTCCGCATCACGCCTTTCTCATTTCGATCTAAAGCGATCATTTCACTCGGTTGGCTGCGTATCTCACCCTTTCATAACACCTTCTTTTTCCGGCTTTCTTCTTCTATTCGGGACGTATCAGAATGAGATCTCGTACCCAGTTATCCGCAGTGTTACAAGTTTTGCCGGTGTTTTATGCCGTTCACTTGCTCCTTTTTTGTCCGTTGTGAAACCACACTCGACAGACGTTGTGCCTGGATGAGGGTATTACAGCAGATCAGCCACCAAAACAATGCGGCTTCTCGATGTTGAGACACTTCAGCTTGAGTTGTTTGACGATGGCCCGAAATGCGCCTACGCCATTCTCTCCCACACCTGGGGCCAGGAGGAAGTGTCCTTCCAGGACATGCAAGACCTAGCAAAAACACCGAGAACAACTTCAACGTTCGTCGATAGCGGCTATAGCACAGCATCGTCATCAAGAAACCACACTGGAACGAGCGAGCAGTTTGACTTTGCGAACAATGGAACGGCGCAGCACAAGCCCGTCACTGCCAAAAAGGGCTTCTCCAAGATCCTAGGATGCTGCGCCAAAGCTCGCACCGAAGGCTATCGTTACGTCTGGATAGACACTTGCTGCATTGACAAGTCTTCCAGTGCGGAGCTCTCTGAAGCCATCAACTCCATGTTCAAGTGGTACCATGATGCCGAGGTTTGCTACGCCTTCCTCAACGACATCAGTGTTCCAGAAGTCATACCACACCACCAATCACCCTCTCTGGACCATTCAATGTCAGACGGCAGTAACGGCGATACGATGTCCATCACGGAGGAGATTAAAGAGCTCCTTTATGGAAGCAAGTGGTTTACGCGTGGCTGGACACTTCAAGAACTCATAGCTCCGTCTGACGTGGTTTTCTGCGATCGCTTGTGGCGGGAGTTTGGCACGCGCGAGTCACTCAGTGATGACATTGCCGCTATCACAGGCATTGACGCCGGGCTGCTGCGGATGGAGAGGAAGCTGGGTGACTTCAGTGTCGCTCAGCGAATGTCATGGGCGGCCACACGACGGACTACCAGGATTGAGGATGAGGCGTATTGCTTGATGGGACTGTTTGATGTCAATTTGCCGCTGCTGTATGGAGAAGGACAGAAGGCCTTCAAGAGGCTCCAGTTGGAAATCATGAGGCAGTGTTACGATCCTAGCATACTGGCTTGGGCTAGCTCGGACTCGTATGCGGTTATTGAAGGAGTATTGGCCCAGTCGCCGAGTATGTTTGAGAGCTGTGGGGGTATCTCTTGGAGGGTTGCTGATGGAGTTATGGGAGATCCCTACAGCCCTGATGGTACTCATCAGTCCAACAACTTCTACCACGAGATCATCGGGTCGTCTCTTTTAAAGATGCACGTTCCGATATCAGACTTCAACGCCCGACATACCGACGATCATATTGTCTACAGATCCTACTGGGACGTCTTCGGCTCTCTGGAGGACTCCATCGTTCACGTCAACCCCCCCACTCCCGTCCCGTTCGAGGGTACCACTGCGGATCTGATATACTTTCCCCGCCGCATCAATGAGTTCGAATCAGCCTATCTCCACGACAGCCGATTCCGCTCCTTCAACTACTCCTTCCTCAAGCACAAAGTCAAAGACATCATGCTCGTCCCTCTGTTCGGCTGCACCGTCCTCTCACCGACTTCCACACCCGACGAGCGATACACAGTGGGAATCACCTTCTGCACCGACTCAGCCGGCCACTTTAAGCGCGTACACTTTCCTTCGCGGTTCCTCGTGCCTCCATCGGACCTTCAGCGCTTCTTCACACCCCCGGAGCCATCTCCAGAGTCCAGCCAACACGGACACTTGCGTGACAAGCAACACCTCACACTACACCTCTCCCTAATAGGCACCGAAATCCTTCTCCGCCCTCCTGTCCCAAAATGGGCACGCTGTCTAGTCCGCATCCCCCCTTCCCTTCTTCCTCCAGCACCATCATCATCATTTTCACCACACCCTCCCACAACAGCCGTCCAAACCTTCTCCATCTCCCTCGCCTCCACCCCCAACCTCATCCCCTCCTCATTCCCCTCCTACTTCTCCTTTCCCTCTCCCTCTCCCTCCAGTTCCACCTCCATCCATCCCAACTTTTCCTCAACAACCACCAAAACCAACACCAACACCAACAATAACAACCCTGAAGTCCTCCTCCCCTGGTCTCTATCCCACACCATCCCCGCCCAAGCCGCCGACGGGTCCGGCTGCTGGTACCTCGACCGATGGAGCGAAGTCACCGATCGCGCCGATTTCTCGCAGCAGCCCTGTTTCAGCTTGCAAAAGGCCGGGGTGCCGCGGGCGTTGGCGTTTCGGCACGGTCTGGATCCGCAGTTGGGTTTCTTGTTGGTTTTTTGGGTGGTGAAAAGTGGCAAAGGAGGGGATGATCAGCAGTGGATTGAAGTTGGGGTCGTGAGGAATGATGATGAGATTGGAACGGGGGTCTTGTGGGCGAGGACGGAGAAGGACTTGGTCAAAGTTTTGGGGGAAAAGGGGTGGATGATGGGGGGAATAGGAACAGGAACAGGAACAGGAACAGGAACAGGAACAGGAACAGGAACAGGAACAGGTGTGGGTGTTCCACCACCACCAGGGAGTGGAAGGAGGAGAAGAAGGAGGGAATGGGAGTTTGAAATTGGGGAGGGGATGGTGTTGAGGGTGAAGATTAGGAAGAATCCGGATTATGATATTGCTGTATTGGATTTCAGGGAGATTAAGGATAAACAAATGGGATGATGTGATGCATGATGAAATATCTACCTTTACGTTTAAGTACAAGAGACAAATCCCGTCCGTACTTTGTGCGTCTTACCGAATCTTGATAGCATATCGTGAATACCGTCACGAGGCCCAACAATAGTTTTACAGCGGCAGGGCCCTCCATTACTGGGACCATATAAGCACCAAAGTAGCTATCTTCCAACACGGTCCAGTAGCTTACGTGATAGTGTCCAGCTGGGTCCAGAAAATGCGTGGGTGTTTTCGTAGGTCTGCGATCTGGCTTGTATTGAGTTCGACTCCAAGCTTTGGCGGGCAGAGCTTGTTGTCTGTTTTCTTGGTCTTGTTCGTCCATCATATCCTATCCAAAACATCAACAAATGTCAATCGGGTTCGCCATTATAATCTCGTCAAGACGCGGATTTCACAACGTTTCTCGACTCGCCAGTCACAGTCAGGCCATCAAAAGACATTTTACAATCACTTCCATGATTAAGCCTTTCAGTTTACCGCCCAACTTAAGTTTAATTTAAAAAGTGCATACAAGAATAGAAGAACTGCCTACGAACAAACACATCTCAACAAATCCCCTCCTTCCCCTCCTTGATATTTTTCAGAAGAAAGCTATCCAGATACTTTAGATACCAAGAGCGGCATTGAACAGGAACGCAGCCTGCTGGCCCTCAGCAGTGCTGGCAGCGCTGCTCGCCTGCTTGCAAGCAGCCACCGCCTCGGCGCTCGCATTGCAATCATCCTGCAGCTTCTGGCAAACAAACTCGCTAATGACCTGGATGTTCAAGGCACTCTCGTGGTTGAAATCCTGTCCGTTAACAGGCTGGAAGCTCTCCTCCTCGCGACCATCCAGGCCCTTGGCGAACTGGATCTGGGGGGTGCCACAGCTGCCAAAGTCCAATCCACCATGCCTGCGGCCGAGCTTGCTGGCCTCGCGGCGGACAGTAGTCTTGGTGGCGGCGGCCTTGCACTCGCTATTCTGCTGCACGCACTGGGCAATACCGCCGGTGACCTTACCGGTGTTGGCGGCGTTGAAGCAGGCGTTGTTCTGGATGTCGCACGAGCGGGCGAGTGCGACGGAGGCTTGGGGGAAGCTGTCGCCGTTGACGGAGTAGGGACGGTCGGAGCCGGGGGTGTAAAGCACGGCGGGCGCGGCGCCGCCGAGGGTGCCCTTGAAGGATTGGACGTTGGTGGCTCCGTCGGTGCTGTTGTTATCGCTGCCGGTGTTGGTGGCTTGAGTCTTGGTGTTGCCTCCAGTCTTGTTGTTGCCGCCAGTGTTATCATCATCGGTACCGTCGTCCTCGCAGGTATCCTCATCACCGGCGTCATCGCCGGCATCATCGGCAGCACCATCGTCCTCGCAGGTGTCGTCATCGCCGGCATCATCACCGGCATCATCGGCAGCACCATCGTCCTCGCAGGTGTCGTCATCGCCGGCATCGTCGCCAGCATCATCGGGAGTACCGTCGTCCTCGCAGGTGTCGTCATCGCCGGTATCGTTACCGGTCGTAGCGGTAGGATTCACGGCACCGCTAGTGTTGGTATTACCGGTACCATTGCCGGTCGCAGCGGTAGGACTTACGGCGCCGCCAGTGTTGTTATTGCCGGTAGCGTTGCCGGTCGTAGCTTTAGGACTTACGGGGGCGCCAGTGTTATCATCGTCGGTACCGTCGTCCTCGCAGGTATCGTCGTCGCCGGCATCATCGCCGGCGTCATCGGGAGTACCATCGTCCTCGCAGGTGTCGTCATCCCCAGCATCGTCGCCGGTGTTATCAGGAGTACCATCGTCCTCGCAAGTGTCGTCATCCCCAGCATCACTGCCGGTGTCGTCGGCAGTACCGTCATCCTCGCAGGTATCATCTTCTTTATATAAGAATTAGCACTCAAGAACGAAGCCCATCAGACATTGACTTGATCGTTGACTGTACTCACCAGCTCGGCGAAGAAGGCCATCCTCATCTACATCAAAGGCAGCCAGGATTTCCTCCTTGGTAATAGCAGGAGACAGAAGGTTCGAAGCAGTAGCATCAAGAAGCTGTATCACCGTTCACGTTAGCAACCAGGACTTTTCTAACGCATATACGTGAAAGAGGACAGTGAGAAGAAAAAAAAGACATACATTTCCAGGAAGGGAAGTAGCACTGTCAAGCGCCAACAACGGATCCGCGCCCAATCCCTTCAGAACCTTGGCAACCACCAACTCAATGTCCTTGTTCTTCGCTTGGCCCTCCGCACTGGCCGGATCCTGATGCTGATGAACGACCGCAATCTCCGGGTTCTTCGCCGTCTCGTCGCAAATGGCGCTAGCAAGGCCGACTTGGCTCGTCTCGCGCTCGAGGGCGCGGAACAGCACAGCATTGACCTGGCCGTCGAGGTCACCGGCGGCCTTAGCATTGGTAAAGGCCTGGTCGGCCACGATCTGCTGCAGGCAGTCCAGGTTGGTGACCTGGCCGGCACCCTTGGCGGCGGCGGCGTTGTCGAGCAGGCCGAAAACAGCGTCCTGGATGTTGAGCGGGTTGTTCAGCTTGAGGGCGGCGTTGGTGCCGCGCAGGATGGCATCGTACGAGTGCTCTTGGGGTACGTCGCGCTTGGTAAAGCTCTGATAGGAAAGCTCGCGAGCGGAGGCGACCGTGGCGACGGCCAGGGCCAGGAGGCTGGCGTTGTACTTCATCTTGTCTGTTGTTGTCGGGTGGTGATAGTGATTTGTGGCTGTTAGACGGCTTGTTGTATATGCAAAGAGATGGGCTAACCTGTCAAAGGGGAGCCCCGAAAAAATAAAAAAGAGTGTATAGAATGTTAACAACGAGTGCAAAGTTCGCAGAACCCCTATCTAAGGAACGAAAGAGTCAACAAGACCAAAGGTGAAAGAGCGGAGTTGGTTAGCAAGGCTATCTTCTCGTCCGCGTTCCGTGAAGAAAACGATCATGGTTTATATATACCATGGTCGTAAGATCCAACACCCCCCCGGTCGATGAGCATCCACCATGTGTTCCTTGTGATCTCCCACCAGTCTGCCACAGGCCTTGTACATACCGACCCTCCGGACGAGCCCTTTCATCATTGCATATGTAGTAGTACTGAATAATACCCTCATCCTGAACCGCTGTCATGAAAGTCGTGAAGCCAGGGCGTTGGCTCCGCTCCAAGCCGGAGCGACATGGCCCAAAAAGGAATTCGGTTCATTGGGCCCGAGGATGTTCGACAGGGGGGATCGATCCGCTGGCCGGCCGGCAAGGCCTCGACTCCATTGTTTGTTCCGTGTAGCGAGCCAACCAAACTCACATATCTGAGGTACAAGCGAAGCGGGCAGGCGTATGTATAAGTTGCCCCTCTAGTACCGTAGTACCGGGCGGCTTTCGCCTGGGCCCCTTGTCACCAACGACATATCGTCGAGATAGGGGAAATACGAGGATGTAACCTGTTCGAGATGAAGGATGGAAGATTCACCGCTGGGGAAACTGATGATGGAAGGTGGAAAAGGAGTGATGGCCGCTTCGCTACGGAATGCCTCCCGTAAAGCCGGTGCGAGTAAACATGTGATGGTGCTCGGTATCATCGGGATGTTGTTTGAAACATCCTCACTTGAGATATGCTCGAAAGCCGATATTTTGAACGATGTGCCGCCGTACTTTGAGCATGCACCTATGTTCACTGATATAAGTCCATGGTCTCCCCTCTGCCCTATGTAGACGATCTCGAATGTGGCACGGGTCCGGACATGATCGTAACAGAGGGCAATGTCGAAGGCAGGCAGCTCAGTGACAGCAGTCAAAGCCTCCCAGCCCAAGTGGGAAAGTAAACATTCGACTTGGTGATCCGTTCATATAAGATGAGACTCCATAAGCGCTTGATTGACTGCGACGTTCACCCACCCCTCACTTCTCGCTTTCGGTGACATCGGCATGCCTCGATCTCGGTCGCTGTCAATGACCGTGGCGCCTGCCATGATTTGTGTTCGAGAACAATTTTGTCCAGTCGTGGTGGGTGAATCGTGGCCGCCATGGTGCCTCGGGTAGTCGGCAAGTCAGATCAGACGAACGATGGAACTTCGCTTGTTACATGACCCTAGGAGCAGCCCCTTTGAGCCGCAAGGGTGAGGGGTTGAAGAAGTTGGTGAAGAAGTGAGAAAGCCGTGTCAAGACGCGCCCGGAAAGGCGAAGTTCAGAAGATGAGGTTGTTTTGTTTGTGGGGGAAAAAGACTCAGAGCAAGGGGGGGCATGGGGGTACAACCTGGCCCCTGCAATGAGACCGCAACCCACCCGGCCAGCATTGGCAAGGGGCTATGGTGGAAGGTAGTGCACTAACGGTGTGTCGGCTTGAGTAGCGCAAGAGATGTTAAGGCGGGCTTCAGATATAATTACGTTCGGAGAATTCCTCAGACGTCAATGAAACAACCAGGGTAAGCTACCGGTTCGCGGGCGTTTCCTTAACTCAGCTACCAGAGTAGCACGGGCGGGTATACCGACTGGGCTTGATTCGCAAGCTTGGTCAAGCTGGGATTAAGTTGTCAACATCTGTAATTCTCAGTAATTCGACATGTAGCCTGTCTGTCCCACACCCGCATAAAAGGCCATTGTATATGCCAATGCCGTGTTAAATGATTAGATGCGTTAGCATTGGGAGGTTCATCAGCTGACCTATGGTTTCCTCACAAAGCTCTTAACCACAGCCGGCTGCCATGGGTCGGGGAAGATCTTCTCACGGTACCATGCTCCAGTGAGCCCTCACACAATAGAATTTTCTACAAAGCTGGTCTATAGGAAAACGCAAGGGCACAACACTCAGCAGCAACCTAGCTCCAAGCTCAGCACCAATATCAGGTATGTAGGGGTGCGTAGGTGAAGACCGCAGTTCTGAGTATTTGGGAGTTTCCGCCTCTCGAGCGCATATGATCGGCCGTGACACCTGATTTGCTGTTGTGTATGCGTATGTGTGTCTTCTGTCTATAGGATAGTCGTACGAAACCGCGTCAAGAACCACGGAAAACAAAAATCCCGTTTTATGGTCTATGACATGCTTCCACTCAAGCCATTTGTCGCATTACCCCCGTACTAATACAATTCTCCTTGTCATCGTCTCTCGGGCAGCAAGGAAAAAAAAAGTGGACAAGGGAATATCGAGAGGATTCCCTAGTAGGTTTGGTTAAAGACTTTGTCTTGTTTGTTCGATCGGAAAGTTTTGTCTTTTTGCTCGCTTAACCAATGACAAGCTTGCCCTCCTCAGGGAACTCGTAGAGAGGGATCTCGAGGTTCAGAGGGGCAGGTCCTTTCCTGATACGGCCAGAGATATCGTAGTGAGAACCGTGGCAAGGGCAGAACCAGCCACCGTAGTCACCGGCCTCGCCGATGGGAACGCAACCCAAGTGGGTGCAGACGCCTGTTTTGTTCACACACCAAATGTCAGTCTCCCCACATCGTCGTGTATCCAGGATCCGAGCATCCAAAAATGCTGTCCTTCGGCTTGTTCGGATCGCAAAGAGGGACATGGAGGAGCATACCAAGCATGACGAGCCACTCGGGCTTCTTGACACGGTCGGCGTCGGTCTCGGGGTCACGGAGGGTGGCAACGTTGACCTTGTTGGCCTCTTCGATCTCCGCAGGGGTACGGTGACGGATGAAGACGGGCTTGCCACGCCACTTGATGATGACCTGTAAAGGTTGGAAAAGACCGGGGTCAGCATTCCATCATGGTTTGATCGTCGTCGGGAATCGATGTGCCCAGCTCGGCTCAGCCCAAGCCTTTGCTAATCCGGTTTCGTAGGGATCCTTACGTTCTTGCCCTCGGGGATGGCGTTGAGGTCAACCTCAACCTTGGCCATGGCCAAGACATCAGCGGAAGCCGACATGTTCTTGAGGAACTCTGTATAACACGGTCGCCTCGTCAGCTGTCTTTAGTTCTTGGGGATGTTCGTGGGTGTATGTGCAAGATGGCATCCCCCCATGCATCCATGCTTCAACATCGCCCCAAGGTCCAACCATATCCGCCTCGATATCGAAAGTTGTCATAGTGGTCGCATGTTGATGATCAATGAGACGGAACCGTAGATAGCTCGCCCCACCATAACAGAACCCCCTTGTCGGATCCCATTGACCCGAACCCATCTGTCATATGCCACCTCTTTGTTTTCCCCAACCTCGAGGAATGTGTGAAGCTTCCTCCTCAGATCCCATCAAGTCAAGACTCACCCTGGATGGTGGACTTGGCGCCGGCGGCGGTGATGGCGCCCATGGTGCCGACCATGAAGTAGGAGAAGAGCATGTTGGTGCTGGGGGGCGCCTTGCTCATGTATTTGCCGAAGTCGGGGACCTTGGCGGCCTTGCTCTCGCCCTTGAAGGGGCTCTCGAAGGTGGAGGACGAGGAACCCTGGAGGGCAGTCGAGGTGGTGAGAGCGCGAACGGCCCGGGCGGGGGCGGCAGCGGCGCGCATGGCGGCGCGGGAAACGATCGAGACGGGCGCCATTGTGTCGGTAGGATTACTCGCGTGGACAGAGGTCGGAGCGGAGAGAAGGGGGTTGCGAGAGCGGGGAGAACGAGCGAGGTTCTGCTCTTTCGGAGTCGCGGGAGACGGTGGACGTGGGCGGTGTTCCGGAGACGGAATTGACGGCTGCGTAATGCGGTCGAGACGACGAGGCCAAAATCACGGACTGAGGTTTTTCTGGGCCGAGCTTGGTTCCCACCTTTCCCGGCATGGGAAACCGCCATAGCTACTGGCTGGCTTGTGGCCTGAGGCACTAACCAACCACAGCGTCCGCCCAGCAGCTAGAGAGCTACTTAATGCGCCGGCCCTGATTGGCTGTGGCTGCCTGTTCGTCCACTCTCCGGTTTCTTCCGTCGCCTGGTTCGTCCGGGCTGTTGGTGGTGGTGGGGCTCACCTCAGCGCGTCACCGCAGCGCCCGGACAACTTGGACTGTCAGCGACTCGGCGAGCCAAGGGTGCCAAGACAGTGATGTCAATTGATCGCATTTTGATGCATTTCCATTCGTTCATCTGAGGCTATTCACAGACTCATCTTCTCTCACCTTATGCAGGCATGTTTTGAGCGAAGCACTTATTGACAACACTTGCAACTGCCAAAAACTTCAGCAGCCAAAGCGATGACTTGTAGACATCCAATTATACACGTCAAGTATCTAACCGTTGGCTCAGTGCATTCTCCGTAGCTCCTCTACCATATTGCGCATCTGCTCAACACTCGGCCCAAGACCTTCGCAGATCTCCTTCTGCGTCTTCTCATCCACATCCAAAAACCTCTCCAGCAACTCGCCATCCAGGAACCTGACCGGTCCAGTCGTTCCATCTGCCTCGGGCCCCCTCTCCGCGTTACGGAATGCCCTGTAGGAGTTGAAATCGAGTTCGCCAACTGTCTTGATCACCGCCGCCAGTTTATCCTGGAACCGAAGCAAGAGGTCTTGTTCGCGCGCAATCGTGCCAAACATGTAGATACCGCCTTCCGCCTGTTTCAAAAAGTCAATTGTTAGCCTTGACCTTATGCGATGATCAATCTGAAAAACAGGCAACTTACCGTGGCCAAGAACGCTCGAGGAATGATGATGGCGTTCGGGCTAGTCTCGACCTTGATTGGGCGTATTTTGTTCACCTGTTCTCCCATGTTGAGCTCGCTCGTTATCCTCAGTTGCCGCTGGTCCTCCACTGTCACACCCTCAGCATTGCGTTGAAGCACAATCAGATTGCCATTGGCATCAGCTTCAAGCCAAGACTCGCCCTCAACGTGAGCCACGGCCGTTGCCCACGCAGAATGCCTGTGTCTCGCGCACTCTACCAACTTGGGGGCTTCAGACTTCTCCCCTCCGGTTTTGGCCGGGACGTACTCGACCAGTGTTGCCGACTTCATCATATCAGCAACAGCAATCATGTTGCCATGCACCGCGATGTCGACCGGATAAGTTGTGCACCGATAAGACGCGAGCTTGACGAGATGGGCCTCAGTGCTTGACATTTCCTCGTACTGGCTGATAACCACTGTCTTGTGGAGTGCAGCCACGATTTTGCTGCCCATGACCGCCAGAGCGCGACAGCCGCCTTTCAGCTCGTGCTTGAGGACCAAGTACGGATCCCGGTTGCTGTCGATCCCGAACACCAAGATCCTACCGCGCTTGTCCGTACCAGCGCCACGGTCAGGATCCTCCAGGAAGCTTGTACCGACGATAAACCTCTCCACAAGATTTCCATAAGAGTCAGGCAGCTCTGCTCGGATGACGTCCTCCACTAGTTCGGAATACGACGATGTTCCGAGCATGAACTCCTTGCCGACTCTCGCAAATAAGATCTCATCAACCAACTTAAAAGAGCTGTGAATGATCTCCTCGCCATTGACCACCTCTCTCCTGATACATCCAAGTCCAAAACCCTTTTCACTAGGCGAGTAGGCGATTCTACGCACCATCTCTCCCAATTCCAAAGATCGCACGTGCGTCTGTCTGGCTGTGTCAATCTCGGAAATCCTGATCTCGTTCTCGGTAGACAAAATGACAGCCCCTGGGAAAGCCTCAGAGTCAAAGGGACAGACACAGGTAGCGTCCTCAGCCGTCACAGCCGAGTAGATAATCCGCCCTTCTGAGCCGTAGATAAGACTAGGGTGCTCAGTCGTCGCAAAGATGCTGTAAATTCCATCCTGCTGTGGCAGTAAATGGAAGCGCGCCTCCCTGGTACCAAGGATGACACTCTTCCGTCCAGAAAAGGTCAGGTCTTCGCCAATGTTGAACGTGACTACATTTCCATCCTCCATAGCGATGAACAAGGTCATTCCAGGCGCATTGGGAAGCACCTTGGCCAAGACGAGATCACGCGGTATGGAAGCATCGTCTGCGCTACGGCGGAGTGATTCGCCGTGTATCGGTTCCAGGGTGCTCATATCGATAATGGACACCGTTCCGGACGTCCAAAACCCTACCACGCCCACATCCGATAGCTGAGGCGCCACGTGGATGCAGGCTATCTGATCCTGTTCACTGATGTCCTTCTCTTGCACAACCGTCAAGTCGTTATCAATGTTGATGGAGACCAGGGTAGTGCCTTGCACAGACAAGAGCAGCCAGTGTTTGTTAGCTGAAGCGTTGATGATCTGCCTGTCGCCTTCAGGAGCCCACGATGCTATCGTGACTCCGCTTTCGGCGTCAAGAAGAGTAGCCGCGGCCGTCGTCACCTGAAGCAGTTGCCCATTGTCGAGGTTCGTCGCCAGTAGTGTTTGATGCTGTAGGTCCATCCCGTAGTAATTGTCAACTTCCTCGATCTCTCCGTGAGGGTCGAACTTGAATATTCGGGTATCAGTCAAGAAGGACGCGACCAGCGTATCCACGCGTGGAGAGTTGTAAGATTGGAGGGAGAAGAGCGCCCGAGTGTGCTGCAGTTCACCCAGGATTGCAATGTCCTGTAAACCAACACCGCTTCGCACACTTCGCAAGGTTCCGTCCTTGAAGACACCACTTGCTGTGACAATACGGGCTTGGCCAGAAGAGTACTCGTTGCCCAGCTGGCTGTCATTTTCCCGATTGCCCATGTCCATCACGGTGAAATCCGTAATAGGACCGATGTTCTCTAGCACCTGGACCAGTTGCAGGATCTCGCTGAGATCCTCGCTTAGAAGGTTGAGCCGATAAAGCTGTGAATTGCCGTAGTGCGAACCAATAAACAACATGTCGTCGCCCAAGTACGTCAAAACGTGTGCGCGGGCTGTCTTTCCAATGTTGGAGACATCCATTCCAGTAACCACTGCGCCCTCCGTCAAGATGGTGAGCAAATGTAAGTTTCCGTAGTCATCCGATAAGAAGTAGTGAGTAGGATCGTACTCTGCCCAAGCGACAAATATCGAGGGTTCCCTGAGGGCGGACTCGACCTGCGTTTTGGTCACTTCGTCAATGTACAGCAACCGCGTTTCGCCAACAACTATTAGACCACCGACATGGGGCTTCGCTTGCTCCGTATTACGGAAATGGTGCCTCTTGACCTCCTCTTCAACCTTTTTGACCGGAATCAGTATGCCCGCACCGGGATCTTCCACATCGGCGTCGATCTCTCGGTCTCTCGTGGGATCAAACTTGGAAATTTCTGTGTGCCGGTCGTCCGACGTGAGACGGTACGTCGCCAGCTTGGTTTCGTTGGAGTTGGCTTGATTCCGGTACAGGAAGGCAACCTTGGGAATGCCGGTCTCGGTGTACAGGAAGGTGCTGCCCTTGATGAAGAGCTCGGACAGGCGCACTTGTACCAATATGTCAAGTGTCGTCGCTGTGTTCTTCCGGTTACCCAGCCGCCAAACCGACAAGACACCTTCCCATAGGTGCATGGCCATGAACCTTCCGCTGGGATCGACGATGCATTTGTTTTGACTTTGGGAATCGCGCATGTGGCGCTCGCCCGGATCGCTAAATCGGTTCAGGGTTTTTAGCTGTTGGGTTTCGCGATCCCATTCTGCCGTAAAGTATTCGAACTGATCGGTGCCAACGAAGAGGAGGTCGGTCGGGTGGTCTTTAGGCTGGAGCTTCTGGAGAATCGTGATGGTCCCGTTGATAACCTTGGAATGGATCATGGACAGATGACCGTCGGCGAGCTTCCATATTTCGATGCGATTTGTTTTCCTAATACACTTCAGTCAGTCAACATGATACAGTAGGCGCAATTTGTGGAACGGAGAGGGACGGGATGTAGAAGTCCATACGCGATAATCAAGCTCTCCTCCTCGGGCGACAAAAGGTTGATACGCAGAGCGTGCCGCACGCTGCTCGGCCGGTGGATCGGGGCGACGTAGGCCATGGTGTATTATGCGGCGGGCGACAGAGGCTCGAGAAGTACGATCTTCACATTCGAGGGATTGTAAAAAACATAGGATACAGTATGTCGCATATGCAGGAAGATGTGTCACGTCGTGGATTGTGCACAGTTTGGGAACCGAATGTTAAGCGTTGAATGGTTACCAAGCAGTGGTGATGCAATGGACGAGCTACGGAGTTAAGAGCAGTTCGTCCGCTGTGTGTTGGGGGTGCAAGAGGCGAGCGGGGGCTGCAAGCTCTCTAACTTTTGCTGCGCTTGAATGCCACCCCGCGATGGCGACGCGTCAAGCGGGATCTTGAATAACTACAGTAGAACATCATCGAACCAAGTCATTAGGTTACAAGAGGATGAAGTGTGCGCAAGAATCATGATCAGCAATTGTGCTATGGGAAAGTCTATATGGAACATTGGGAAACAAGCAAACCCTTATTTCACTTGGACTTTTTCATCAACTCTACCACGAGTTTGAGAAACTATGAATTTCGTGTTAGTGATACAAGTGGAGCAATATTATCCGCATCTTCCTTGTCCACTGCCCGTTAAATCCTCGCTTCCTTATTCCACCTCCTCCATATCATCCCGCCCGCTCAACGTTTGGATCGACCGAACGCTTACCACAGATCTTTCCAGATTTCTTCCAGAGGGTTTTATAACCTCGACAGCCAAATGTCCAACACCTCGTGGGGCACCGTGTGTCAACTGGAACCAGCGAAAATCCTCGGCCATAAAGAACATCTCGAGGAGCATGAACTCTCTTGCCTTGTACTACTCAATGGCCGCCGATGGGACCTCGCTGATCACATTCCTGACAACCCCGAGATTGATGCTTCATCAAGTCAGGCCATGTTCATATAGCTACAGTCACAGTAACAAACTCCGACATAGCTCATCAGGAGTCTCTGGCCTTCACGGATCACTGGCCATCCTAGAGCCACTTTTCGCTTGTGTTGCTCGGGAGCACCAGAAACCAGAAAAGAAAACGATGGGGCAGCTGTCTCTATTGTACTGTTCACCTCAGGCACAAATTTCCACAACACCACAATTTGACAGCCTTAGTATTGTTGCTGACACCTTTTAGGCAGCTCATGATGGTCGCACAAAGGTCTTGAAAGTTAGCAAACACAAAGTAGTAAATCTCAACGTCGAAGGGTGACCATAAACAAACGTGTTCTTCCTCGCATCCCAAGCGCGCAGCCCAGAATTGCAATGAAAACGACTTGAAGACAGAAACATGTACGTCGTGCAGTTCGCATCGCCTGGAAGCAGTGTAATGCCAGGGACACGGTGGACAGCGACCATGAGCAAGCCCAGAGGGTCGCCGACCAAATTGCAAAAATAGGTGTAATCACGATTCTGCCCCCGTAAGGGCAGTTTCAGAGATTAAACTGAAAAGAACAGATACTACACTTGATCTAAGCCGTAAGGCAAAGAGAGCTAAAGAAGAAAAGAAGAGGAAAAGAAAAGCCAAACCAGAGCGGCGGTCTCGGTGGTTTATATACCCCCCCGGTTCCCTGCTGCGTGGATAAGTTGGTCTGTGCACGAGTGCAAGTCTGGACCCACTTATTGTCCGGGGAAGTTGGTTGGGTCGGGTGGAAACAAGACGGGAGTGGTGGGTCAGGTGTCCCCAGCTGACGGGAGACTTTCCGCTCTTACCAGGTACACTACAGTATGTATCACGTGCATCCCAGCGACAACGACGACATACGGAAAGAGTAAGTCGAGATGAACCGACCTGCAGTGAACATCAATTGAAGCCACCTAACCACGACTATCATGATACTTGCCGGAGATAAGTCCTTGCGACAGTACATCTTGTCACCGGTCCGAAACACCAAACATTGTCGGTTCACTATTTATCCTCATTCCCGTTGTCCTATCTCATGAACTGTTCCTTGACTATGGGGGTTGGACTGGCAGGCGGTATAAAGTATATATGACACGGCAAAATGAGGATTCAGGTTCTCTTAACAGTCGAGGATTCCAGAGGCAGATTGCTCAAGCGGAAGCCCATGTAGGCATGGACCCAGTCAACGAAGGCGCGTCTACCGCTACAGGAAGGCTTGATGACACTCGCAATTTTTCGGTTATGTATCTGCCAGATCGATATGGAATCGGAGTCATTCTGCTAAACGGAACTTAATAGTACCCAAGACTATGGCGTGACTTCATAGTTGGTGATTGCGTCTCACTCAAAGTTTCAACTTTGCGAGAGAAATGTTTTCACTCTAGGCGCCAGACGTTGCTAAACAGGAAACCGCGTGGCAGTTCAGTGCCTTTTTACGCATCTGTGCTCATGATCCCCACCTATTGTTCGATCTATTGTCATCAAGCTTCTGATGTTGACAGTACAAGCCGCAACGCTGATGTTATGTCAAGACTGGGCTTCAGTGAATGATGATATGGCCGGCTCGTTCATGTGTCAAAGATGTGTGGTCAAGGAATATGATATCTGAATCTGTCATAAGATGTAAGATGGTTTTTTATATCCTGTAATGTCCATTGTGGGAAGCTTGAAACAAGCTGGCGCGATGTTGGCTTAGGGTTCCGGCAACAGGAACTTCGACCCTCCGCGGCACCAAAACCTGTACCGACGCGGGCATCAACCATTCACTTGTTGAACCGAGCACGATGCGGATTTATTGTAAGAGAGAATTTACTCCCCGCCTTGCACTGGGCGACCTCCTGCTCTTAACCCCTTCACCACCTCCCGCCTGGTCCATCTTGGTATTTACTCCCCACACTCGACGTGTAGCCATCGACAAATCCCCTCTTCAACTACACCACCCACAACACGTCCCCGCATTCAAGCTGCCGGACATCGGTGGCTTCTACTGCAACATGAGCGACGCAAATCACAATCAGCCTGGCCCTGATCCGTCACAATCAGAATACGTTCAGAGCGTTTTCGCCTTTCAAATGGAGCCCATTGACCCTGCCTTGACGGCGGGCCAGTCCAATACCCCTCTGCGACCGACCGCGCAGCCCATCCAGTCTCAGTCTTTTCCTAACAACTTGGGGCAAATCCAGAGCTCGACCTCTCTTCCCAATCACCCTTCTCACCATTCAGGTGGTATAGCAGCCCAGAACAATCCTAATATGAGAGTCATGGGAAATGGGAACGGTATGGCGCCTGCTCAAGGATCAGCCTTCAACCCACAGTCGCCGTCTGTTTGTTTTCAAAGTCGCCCACAGCCGTCCGTTGATCAGTCCATGGCAGCGACCCAAGCCAACTTGCACAACAACATGGTCAACCCGGGGGCGCAGCAGGCCGCTCAACAACCTCAACTATCGTTCAATGATTACTTGGACTACGCCGCCGCGCCCATGCCACAATATGCGCTTTACCAACAGCCTGTCAATGGAACGATGAATCAGTACCTAGGCCAAGTTCCGTCGTCGTTCGATTTCTCAACTATACCTGGCGCTGCCAGCCACTACAACATTGGCAGCTTTCACAACAACAACAACAACAACAACAACAACAACAATAACAACAACAACAACAACAACAACAACAACAACTCTTCTTTCCGTCCTAACAGCATGCCTTCAGTGCAGTCACAGGCTGCTCAACCTCCGACCATCTCTTTATCAGCGGATGCGCTCTCCCGTGCTGCGGAGTCTATGAACAGCCAAGTCGCTGCGGAGACTGCGAAAAAGAGGACCTCAAAAAGTGCCACGAGCCAGATACCTCTACCTGACAAATCCCAAGAAGCAAACCCCGCCCAGCCTGCGAAGCGCAAGAGGAATTATGCTCCACGCAAGCCAAAGGTCGAGGGAACATCTGACCCTACAGCTCCTAAAGAGCCTCCGAAGAAACGTCAGAGGACGCAAAAAAAGAAGACAGAAACTACCGCACCTATCGGTTCGGAGGCCACTGCTCCCGTTGCACCGATGGCTTTTATGCCGACAGCGACGTCTACACCAACAATTACCCCAGCCCTCTTGTCCACAAACTATCATGAAGCTTCTCCAGGTACGCCGTCTATACTATCAGCTTCAGAAACAGCCACTCCAACCCCATCTAGTGGGCTTCCGACAAGCGCAACTATGCCTGCTGTTGAACAGGCCATTATGGCTATAGAAACATGCCAGCCTACACAGAGCTTCAGACAGACAACAGGATCGGCCACATCTGTCTCTTACGCCCCCCATAAGCAAGTGGCCCAGCTTTCTTCCCAGGCGCCGATCTTCAACATGGCTCCCCCGTCGCCCATTCAGGTCCCGTCGGAATTTGTTGCGGCGGCTAATTCTGCACCGATCCCAATCTTGAGGTCTACACCACCAGTTCAAGTGATAAATCAAACTCCGGCTACGGGTATTCCAAAACCAGTCTCCGCTATATCTAACAAAGTCTCGCCTGTTCCTGTTCCGAGTATCCCTACCGTTGCGAAAGTCCCATCTGTGTTTCCGCGACAAGCTCCAGGTACCGCCCAAGCTTCAACTCAAGCTTTTCCTCCAGGTCCAGCTCGTACTCCGGCACTAGATCCTACCCCGGCACCCACTCCGACTCCTACTCCTGCTCGAGTTTCTCCTCAACATCCGGTTCAACCTTCCAAACAGGATATCGTTGGAGCTTCAGTCCAGAGGACTCCTAGTGCGGCCTTTACTCCGTCTCCTTCTCCAGCTCCCACTCGGCCTCCTCCCCAGTCTTTCACTCAAGGACAGACTCAGCCTCCTGCTCAACCTCCGCTTAAACCTTCCACCTATATGGCGCCCCAGTCTGTCGGTCAGCAGTTAACTCAACAAGCAGTTCACCAACAGGCTCAGCAAGCTGTTCAGAGGCCAGCTCAACCAGCCGCTCAACAAGTCGCTCAACAGCCAGCTCAGCATATTGATCAGTATGATGTTCAGCGTCAGGCTCAGGCGCCTGTTCAACATCAAGCTCAGGCTGCTGCGCAAAATCGTGTATCTGCTCAGCCTGCTATTCAACGTTTATATCAACATGCTGTTCAGCAGCCAGCTAAGCCACAGGCCCAGCAAAAGGCCCAGAAGCAAGTTCAACAACAGGCTGCGAAACAACAGACTCAGCAGCAACACACCCAGCAACAGTTTTCACAACAAGCTCAACAGCAAACCCAGAATGGTGTTCCGGTTCTAACTCAGCATGCTCTTCAACATCAAACTCAACAGCAAGCTCAGCATGCCCCTCAACGACAGGCTCAGCAACAGGCCCAGAATGGCGTTCCGATCCTAGCTCAGCATGCTGTCCAACATCAAACTCAGGCTGCCGCCCAGATTCCAACTCCGCATACCACTCAAACCCCAACCGGGCCTTCCCCTAATCCCTCAACTCAGCCAGCACCAGTACCCTCACTCCCCAATGTGAACACCGAAAGGCTGGCAAAGCCAGTAACTCCCACAATCATCTCCCCCCAAGCCGACACCGACCTCTACTGCGTCTTTGGCATGCACACTCTCCACCACTTCCGCGTGCGCCGCAGCACGCTTAAACACCTGCACCACCCAACCACCCTCACCACCTCCCCCTTCCCCAATATCGTGTACATCAACTTCAACGAAGCGCTCACCGTCCCGGGCGGCACCCCGACCGAGCTCGCCAACGCCCCCGGCGAAACCGCCGACTCGCACATGCAGGCTTTTGGCCGTTTACTCCGCCTCCTCGAAGACCCTGCCACACAGGGCAAAACAGCCTGCGACGTCGACACCATCTGGCGCTTATCCAACCTGCAGCCGGCGCTGGGTTTAGACAAGGAGTACGTGCGCTGGCTGAGACGGTGCATGGGGTTGTTTATCAAGCAGGTTACTTTGCCTGTCCCGGTGCCTGTCACCATGGCTGGTCAAGCCAGCGGCGGCGGACACAAACAGAATCTGAATGGGAACCACGCCATGGGAGAGGATCTATTTGAGGAGCGTGATATGAAGGGGGTGGATCTGAAGAAGAATAAATGGGAGAAGGCGTTGGAGGCGTGTAGGAAGTTTACGTGGATCGTGGAGTGGAGGACGTTGGTGGCGAGGTTGGCGTATCTGTGTAGCGTGGATAAAGATGCGGGAGGACGGTTCGTGTTGAAGAAGCCGGGTGGTGGTGCTAGTGGGGGAGGGGTATTGAATAGGTTGTTGGTTGGGGAGGAGACTATTGGTGAGTTCTTTGCCTTTGTGGTGTTCGATCGATGTTGATGAAGAGCGTTGACTAACAACGTTATGATACAGATGCCATCGTCAACACCAGAACCAAAGCCTGCCAGTATCTAACGGACGTAGCTGAAAATACGTGCAAGAACTGGCATGGTCGTATCAAGAACGGCCAACGCAACGGCGGCTGTCGCAGCAGGCTGTGTATGGAAAAGCGCATGGCCGGTTTGATACAGGTCGTCAAAGGCTTGGGTTTGCATATTCCCAAGGAAACCACAACCATAACCGGCGGATCCAACCTAGAGGCACAATTCCAAGCCCAAACCCAACCCACCACAACCAACGGCATCGAATCCACCTTCCACGGTCAAGGAACTAAAATGACCATCGGCCTCTCCATCCACTCCGTTGTTGACATCCTCAAAGCCATTGAGCATGAGCGTCGCGGCAGGTACCGCTTCGCGGACGCCATGATTCAGCAGTTTGGCGGAAAATGCTACGACTGCATGAAGGGTTCGGCGTTCGGACCGGGCGAGCTTAACCCGACCAACTCGCTGTTTCCTATCATTGACTTGCTGTATGAAATGCTATGGGAGTTGAGGGTCAAGTTCCTTGAGTGGACGGAGTTTCCGTGGGCAGAAAAGATTGTGCTCACCCTTGGGGGTGTTGAGGGGGTTGAGGCTGAGAAGATGCAAGGCAGATTGCGGGATGTTGTGGGCGGCAGTAAGGCGGTGGTTACCACTAAGGATGGGATGGAGCCCGTTTCTGCTTCCTAAGATAGAGGTATGTTCGTTTGTGTGGAGTATCAGGTGCAGTGAAAAGAGGCGCAGAGAAAAGAATTGGCGTTATAGGCTATACACCCGGTTAGCATTGGGTGCTTTTGTGCCGGTTTGGCTAGGATTTTGGCCAGAAAACGCTTGACTATGGGTTATGTGGCAGGGAAAAGGGTTTCAAGCAGAATTGCGGCATCCAAGCATGTCATGAAAGGGAAATGATGGCGTATACGGTTGTTTTTTGACATTGAAAGTCTACGCATAGCCCGGCGTTTAGTTGTTCAACCTTCTTTAGTCTGCAATTATCAACCCAGCGTTGAAAGATACCACAGCTCTGTTTGTAGTCATGTATTTATATTCCATTCAAGATATAGCCACAAAGTTGACTCAATTCCATTCAGAAGTGTTCGTAACTAGTCGTATCCAACCAAGCATCCCAGCTGCTAAAACAGATCATACCATTACTCTCCCAAAAGTCCAAAATTAGTTCTGGGCCTTAATGAACTTCACAATAGCCTCACCAACTCCCTTAGCAGAAGCAGGGTTCTGGCCCGTGATCAACCTTCCGCCCGCATCAACAACCACCTTTTCGGCCCACGGCTGTTCTGCCTTCTCAAACGCTCCCTCGGTCCCGACCGCCTCCTTCAACTTGTCCTCCAACAGGAAAGGCATCACCTTGGTCAGTCCAACCTGATCCTCCTCGTCATTCGTGAAACCCGTCACCTTCCTACCCTTCAGCAAGTGGCTACCGTCGCTGAGCTTCACATTCACCAGCGCCGCCGGACCGTGGCACACAGCAGCCACTGTCTTGCCCGCATCCCAAAACTCGCGAATGAGTTGCTGAGATTCGGAGGAGGTGGCCAAGTCGTACATGGGGCCGTGGCCACCAGGGAAGAAGATGGCTGAATAGGGGGCGATGGCGGAGGGGTTACCGACAAACTCGGAGAGGGGGCGGGTTTGTTCGAAAAGGGGCTTGGTGGTTTCCGACTTGATGAAGTTCTGGCTGACTCGGTCGTCCTTGGCGGCCTCGATGGAGGAGGGGTCGACAGGGGCGAGACCGCCGCGGGGGGAGGCGACGGTCAGGGAGACGGAGGCGGAGTTGAGGACGTCGTAGGGGTGGGAGAATTCAGACTGGAGGTGGCGTTAGTTACTTCTGTGAACTGGAGGTGGCGGCGGTGGGAAAGGGAAGATGGGAGGAGAGGAGTGAGGTGGAGGGAGACTTACCAAGTACCAGCCAGTAGGCTTGCCAGTGTTACCGAGCTTGTCGTGAGAGGTGAGAACGACGAGGACCTTGGGAGCAGACATTTTGGTGATGTTGTGTTTTGGTGTTCTTTTCGTAGTAATTGGCTGGTATTGTAATCTGGAATTTCGAGGTAATGAAGGCGTGTGAAGAGTTGAAGGATTTTCTGAACTTTTTCCAGACAGATGAACAGCTATTTATCCCAAAACCAACCTCAATGACGCCGCAGTGATGTTGACAACTTTATAAGCTTCGTCAAAGACGTGGAGAAAGATTTCTAATACGTCACTTCGAAGGCCCGATTCACAGTATGTTACCCCGCCTAACCCACTTGTTAACATTGCCGATCTCGGTTGTTGATTTCTCAGCCATCTTTGCTTCGACGACCAACACTACTCTCGACAACGAGTTGTCGATAACATGCCGAGTTCACTAACTGATGATAAGTGAATACTCAATTTATTAGCGACGCCTACCTATCAATCAGTCGTCTCACATGCTTGGCAAAACTGACCACAATGACTTTATGGGAGTGGTGTCTGAAAGTGGTCAACATAAACTAAGGGGAGCCACGTACACTAGTGTACACACGTCCGGAGAAAAGTCCGATACTTTTGATAGGTTCGTGGAGCCCGCTCCTTTGGTTACGAGATGCGCACTGTCGATCGTCCCTGGCTCGCCTCATCAAGGGTTGACCTTGAGCCTCCAGTGACATCCTTGAAGTTTTCCACGTGGATGATTCCAGAACTCTATTGAGCCAGTGTATTCATAAGTGGTGTATGTATCCGTCATCTCGTACACTCCCTTCTTGTTCACTCATTCTGCGGCATTGCTCATTACACTAAATGGAGAATTGACTCCTGATATCCACATGAACCCACCTCATGGTCGACCACACTCTAACTGATATCGATCTTCGCACTCAACGCATTTTCCTTCTTTACGCCATTTATCCCGCCAATGACGCCACCAAAGACATGCCATTGAACTCCCGTCTCTCTCCCCATGTTAGAAAACAAATGAACCAAAAGGCAAGAATAGCCCAGGCAGCTTATGGTAAGCCACTGCCTGCAATATTCAAGTTAACAAAACTCCTTCGCCATGTCGACACAATACTCCCAAACAACGCAGAACATTTCCACAACCATGAACGAAAACTCAACACTCAATCCTACATCCACATCAAGTTCCGACTCTGCCTGCGATGCTGCTGCCACAGCGGCCGTGACATTCCGCTTCCAATATCACTTCCATCACCAGCACCACCGGCGTCCTCATCAACCCTCCCCAGTTCGCTACTCCTCTCCTCACCAATCCTTCCCAGCGCCGCATTAAAGTTCTGCGAAAAGGCATCAATTTCCCTTGTCAATGGCACCTGGTCCGGCTCGAGCTTGCTCTTCCGCGTAGCAGCCCCTCCAGCGTACGCAGCCGGGAACTGGCCCGGGTAATGGTACCCTTCGGTTGGCGGATATGAATTCTGTCGTATGTGTTGTCCAGGCGGGGTAGGGGAAGAAGCCACCGGCGCTGATGCTGCAGTCGCAACCGCACCAGCGACGCCCGCCGCGCCTGTGTACGCGTAAGGCGAGGGGCCGCCGGCGGTTAGATGGCTTGAGAAACCACCTTTTTCATTGGTTGTCTGGGCGACAGGAGGCAAGTAGCCAGGAGCCGGTCCGGTCTCGTAGGCGTCAGGATCTTGGCTTACGGCCGCGAAGCCACTATTAGGTCCGGGAGTTGGAGAGCTGATGTACTTGCCGTTGATTCCGGGGCGGCCAGGGCCGGTGCGCGAGTTGGCGCTGCGCCGGCGGCGGAGGAAGTACAATATAAGGGCGCCGATGAGGGCTAGGGCGGCAATACCTCCTAGTGTTCCACCAACGATTGCGCCGGTGCGCGCTCCTGTAGAAGTTTTAGATGGTGGTGCCTGGGGTGTAGTAGAAGGTTCTGTGGATGCGGTGGTAGAAGAAGCCGTCGTAGTCGATGTGGTGGTTGTGCCCGCTGTGCTCTCGGAAGAAACCAAGGAATTTGTCGTCGAGGCTGAGGGCTCCGTCGAAGCTGAGGATTCCGTCGAGGCCGAGGACGACGTCCGGGTCCGGGACGCGCTGGTGCTAGTGCTGGTAGCAATCCCCAGTGTTGTCGGCGTGCCAAGTCGACTAGCACTTTTCGTCAAGAGGGCAGAAATATGTGGGTAAGTGATAGCCCCCGCAAGTCCGTTGGCGGTAGTGTAAACACTTGTCGCCTGGTCGGCAGCTGTACCACACCCAAACTGGGAGGCTCCTCCTTCGAACATGTTCTCGTAACACACTTGGGCTCCAGTACATGTGAATACGTAGGGGTTCATCTCCGACTGAGGCCCGCTGTTGCCGTCCACACACGCGGTGAACACACCAGACGTACATGTGGCTGCCCCATCTGGACAACAACCGACCACCTGGTGCGCGGTGTCCAAGACGCAATGCGATCCTGCGCTACATGTCGCTGGAAGCGCCGACAGCCCGCCGATATAGCCACAGATGGTATTTCCAGCTTGTCTCCTCGCGAGATCGAAGGGGTCTAGCGGGGCAGCTGTGGGGAGGAGGAGTGGCCACGAAACGACATCGAGAGCGTAGTGCGCAACCGTGACTGTTGGCAGTGGCGGAAGGGCGACATGAGCAGCAACGCTGTTGAAAAGGCTGGCGAGAAGAAGAATGGCCGTTGGCGGCGGTAAGCGATGGAAAAAGTCCGTTCTCATGATCGCATGCGCTACTCGGTCCCGTCGCGTTACCGACGTAGGACGAGTGAGTGAGAAGGGAGCCGCGCGTCTTTGGGCTTTCGATGGGATTAGTCGATACGTAGTAGCGTATATAGTTTGAAGTCGTATTAATTATTGTGATTATTGGGGAAACACGGTGGACGTTTCGTCGCTCGTCGACCAGCTCAGCTGTGATTAGATCAAGACAGGAATCCAAAATTTGAACGTTAAAAGCGTTCAGAACACCTGGCAATGACCCTAGATTGTTCGCAAATCGTCAAGGGCGGGGAGATCGTATATACAATGGGCGTGTAAAGGGAGGAAGGAGGACAAGACGAAGTGACCGCGACGCGCGGAGGAGAGTCAGGAAGGACAGGGATGGCGTGAAGTTTGTTTGGAGGAGGAAAGAACTTGGAACAGTGAGCAGAGAGAAGAAAAACAGACGGACTGAACTGAATGGATGGATGGGTGGATGGATAGGTGCAGTAGTTTCGGTTCTTAGGCCGTTGCCCGGTGGGAAAAAAAAAACAACTTGGCAATACCGTTCGTTCAATCGTTCGTCAGATGTGACCTTCGCCGCTCAGGTACCTCGCACCCAGGTACGGAAGACTACTAGAGGTACACCTCTAGGAAGCCACGATGATACCTGCCCAGACTGCGATTGCAAGTGTTGGTGGAAGGCCCAGCGCAGGCTACCTCGAGGAAGGCCCAGATAATAGGCCTGATTCGTTCGCCTAAGTTCAGGGCAGTCTCACTACTGAAGAGAGAGATTCAATTGAGTCAATGCCCGCCCAAGTAACCAACTATGCCACTTCACGATTCCTTGACCTTTGCCTGGGAGCTGCTCCTGTTTCGAGACATCCATGATTGAAAAAAAGGTACTTGCAGGGATGTCATCGAACTCTTGGGGTCTCGGACCTGTGGGGATTTGGGGGTTGGTATCGTGGGGCTGAAATATCTACACCACCTTTCAGGTCGTTTTGGGATTCGGCTCCAAGGGCTGTAACGCCTATCATAGGTAGCTGAGGCCATATGTAAATCTGTCTTCTTCGTGGAACGAAACCAAGTGTGTTATTGCTTACCACAGTCGCCGAAAGGACACGATCCTCGAATACGTACGGTGAGAAAACGAAGAGGTACCTGCCGTTTTGGGGCCGCAGAACATCATCGTCGTCGTGCCCGTCCACTCACAGCAAGGGCTGCACGTCGTCCGGGACCTGCAGGGCACTGCCATGCCGTGACCGGGATGGTCACATTTCCAAGTACTGTCGAGGCCGTTCAGAGCTGCGATAATTCACAGCGAATCCAAATCAATACGATCAGTACATCTCTCGCTGAACAATTCAATAGTGCTAGTGCAAACAAGAATCCACGAGCTC